CTCACAGAACCTGGATGGAACTTAATATTCTTTGAATTTAGCCAATTATGTAAATCTTTTTTTAACCACTTGGTTGTGGGCATTTTTTCTATAAGTCTCGAGTGATAACTTGCGTTATCCATTACTAATATACAGTTCTGAGGAAGAAGATCTATAATTTGTTCGAACCACTCTTTAAAGACATCAGCATTCATGTCCTCATGGTAGTCACCGGTACGAGTAGATTCAAAAGTCAATAAACCACCTTTAACAAAACCTTTTGAACTACCGATGTGTACTATTATTAGTCTGCGCCCCTTTCCTGATGGTGGATTTAAATCAGTAGATAAATTATTTAAAAAAGCCTGTCTTCGACTTGTAACAGTTTCATCTTGCCAAAATTTATTTGGTTTATGTCCCTCGTTGATCCATGTTTCATCCAAATAAAATATATTTCTTCTTTGGTTTCACATTTCTTTTATAGTCCTTAGGTAATTTCTTCTCCATACTACAATATCGCTTCTTTCTATTAAAAGAGACTTTCTGGAATGCTTTTTCCATAGAAAACCTATTTCTTTTAAAAGTTTCCATAGTGTGCTTCGACTCATTTCAGGGTAATTCTTATCATCTCGAACCGTGGCAAGAACTTTGTCTACTGTCGGAAATTCTTTTCTAAAGAAGAACGCATGCACTTTCCTTCGAAGTTTTTCTTTCAAAAGATTTTCTAATTGAAATTTTGGTTTTCCTGGAGCTTTACGTGCTGTTTGAAACTCGCCACATTTCTCTTCTTTAACAACTCTGTAAATCGTAGATTTCCCAACACCAAGCGTACTACTAACTAATTCCACTGTGTCATCAACACTTTTACATAAATGTTTGTCTGTACATGATTTAAAACAATTAAATATTAATGTTTTTTCATTAACTGTTAAATTTAAAACAATTAAATATTAATGTTTTTTCATTAACTGTTAAAGGACCGATTTTTTGTCGTTTACGCGGCCTTTCCAAATTTTCCATGATCACACTACAATTCATACTGCATCTTGCAAGTTGCAACTAAACGACATTTAGTAAACTGTCAAGAATACACAACTTGGACCTCCTTACTAAATGGAAAACCTATAATCGCATTTTCGGTGAAATTTGTTGGGAAGGTATTTATCTACTTATAATTCGATTACTGTAAGAAATTCTTGGAATTAAAATAAAACAAAATTGGCAAATAGGTACTTATTGAAAATAATCTTAAGATACGGCTATGTAATCCTTAATACACAGGGCTTTTGGCCTGTCCAAACCTTTTTCTATTGTTCTGTACAGCTTATGTTTATAAAGGACCAATAAAAGACCCAAAACTTGTAATAGCTCAGGTACATTTATTACAATTTTATGAAATATTTAGATTATTCTGTAAAAATATTTAAAATGACCGTACTACTAGTTTTGCATTAGAAATGCTGTTTTATTACTCTTTCATACATAAAAATAGACTATAGTACCCTATAATTAAATTAATCGGATTCACCTTTATGTTTCTAGAGGGCACAGCAGATGCAGTTTTAAAGTTTTTAATATTACCATTTTAGTTTGTAGACTATTTTAGAAAAAAATTCGGACCTCGTACTTTTATCGCGTTTGATCTTTTTCTGAATTAGTTCCTATTCGATTTTATTCATCCATGTATTTAGTTGAGTTGTTATTGTTTTGCATTATTTGACTATTTATTGTTGTTTTATTAAATCATTAATATGTATATAAACTATCAGAGTTTCATGTCTAACACACATTTTCTCATATTTAGAAACAATAAATCGGAGTTTTTTTTTTCACCTCAAAGCGTTTAATGTTACTGAAATCTTTGTATTTACGAAAAATAAAACCTACCGTTTTGTTCGAAAATACTATCGTCTTAGTTAAATGTGATGAACAACTTAAATTGCTGCTAAAGAAAACACCTTAATTCTTAAACCTGTCCAAGTCGTTTTAAAATTTAAGTCTGTTCGTGAAAACATATTTGACCCTTTTACTTCTTAACCCTTTTAAGACAAAAAATAAATGCTGCTTGTAGTTTTCATATGCACTTGTGCAAAGCGTATTAGAAAACCTATAAGAAACTGGCTAAAACCACTCTTATCTCTATCATTTTTTTGAAATTTAGAAATTCATTGTCTCTATAAAATTTATTTGATTCTTTATTCCACAATAAAATTTTCACAAAAATTTTAATAAACAGATTTTTGTTTTCGAAAATAGACTTTTAAACAGTTACTTCAAATTTTATGGATGCACTTGAATGTTCTGGGTCGATTTATTTATTTGTAATTTCTTTGTTAATATAATGAGATACTAAAAAGATAAAATTATAAAAATTTACCACCTTTTAAAGGGGATAGGTTGATTTAGTTTAACTTATTATACCTACATATTTAATACAGGGTGGCCGATATTTCTCGTAAACCGTTGGTAACACAAAGTTGGTTAAAGGGAGAAAAAAAATGTATATTTAGAAGTTCAATCTGAGGACGCTTTAAAAACCAAAATATCAGGGACGGAAAACAAATTGCTTTTTCTACTACATTATGTTATGGGAGGTTTTCAAATCTCTAAATATTTGTTTTCACCTTTGACGGTTCGGGATGGTTTTAATAATTCGTAGGGGGATTTTTGAGATTTGTTTCCGAATTTTCAAAATTATTCTACATTTAAAATATTTGGCCTATATTGTAAGATTGCTTATTATATTAAGTATCCTTGTTCCTTTTTACAACATAAATACTTAACTTTTTTCGAAATAATTAGTTTTCAGAAGACTAAAAATATATCAATTATTATTGTCGTACTGTACGCAAAAAATAACATTTTTTTGTAACATTGACTGTTTTTTTAGCTCTTCAACTAATAATATATATGATCGATAAAAAATATATTTACCTACTATTTACTTTGTTTACAGCAGTTGCCATAGATAATATTTCAAAACGGTAATTTCGCTTAATTAGATAACGATTCTTGATCAATTTGTGTCATCGTCATCACACAATGATATAATATGGATTAACAGGAGACCTATTTTCAAACTATTTTCATTTCTCTCAAGATTATCATGTGAAATGTCATACGTCAACGTGAAAACACCATTTTTAAAGCCAGTGAGACTTTAAATTCCCAGGATAATTTAAAATATCTCTAAATAAACAAAGAGAAACAATCAGTGAGTTCTCACTGATTTTAAAATACTGTTTTTACGTTGACCTATGACATTTCTAATAAAAATCTTGGAAGAATTCCCAATCTCCCGAGTTTAAAAATAGCCCCTAGGTATAGAATAAAACTGAAATTAAACATATTTTTTTTGGATCGTTAAGTATTTTTGTGTACCGCCATTTTACCTCTCTCAAAAAATTTACCCGAAATGATAGACCAATAAGTAACCTAACCGATGCTACAATGTGGCTAAAATCAATTTTTACATTCGCCTTTATAGAAGCAATTGAAAGAAATTAGTTTCCACAAAGTATCATTGAACAAGACAATAATAGTTCAGTTCTAAAAATATAGTCTTTTTACGGGAATTCTGAGCGAAAATGTATAAAATAACCAGAGGCGTAGTAAAATAAGAAAAGGTTTAATAAAATAAGTTACTTACAATACAATAAGCCTATTATCCTGCTCGAAGGACCATGAATAATCTTTAAAGATAAATTTTGTAAGTACTACTGCCAAAGGACCATGAATAATTTTTACAGATGAATTTTATAATTAATACCACAAGATGCTTTTCATGAGTCTCATTTCTGTAATAATTTTGTAAAGTATACTACCACATGTTGATAATCAATCCAGCTCGAAGGACCATGATTAGATTTCAAAGATAAATTTTGTAAGTGATACTACTAGATGCTTTTCATGAATCTCATTTCAGTGATAATTTTGTAAAGTATACTACCACATGTTGATAATCAATCCCGCTCGAAGGACCAAGATTAGATTTCAAAGATAAATTTTGTAAGTGATACTACTAGATGATTTTCATGAATCTCATTTTAGAGATAATTTTGTAAAGTATACTACCACATGTAGTTAGTTAGTCAATATCTTTATTTCTTATTTTCATCTACATTTATATTATCATGGAATAAACAATATACAATAACAATTAATATTATTTAATTATTATTTAAATGTACATTAGAAAAATATTATTATTCCAATTTCGATCCCAGTTCAATGTTTTGAAATGGTTTTAAAATAACAATTCATCATTTTTGTTATTACGATATATATTGAACTTGAAATGAAATTGAAATAAACATTTTAATTAGATATAATTTATTTCATACACAGGATGTTAATTTATTAGTAGGTGTGTGAATATAAAGAATAATGTTCAAATCTAAACAGTCATTCTAAAAAATATTAAAAGGGATTAAAGTTTGGGAAACACTACCATAGGGCATAATAATACTGTGTGCATGCTTTTTTAATAACAATAATAGGGTTTAAAACATTACAAAAAAAAATAACTTAATTTAATGATAATACAATTTATAATTTGACAATAAAATTCGAATATTTTAAAGTTTGGCAACATGGTCTATTTCTGGGGATTGGTTGGACTACCGTCGTTATTTATTAAAATAGCAAAGCGCTTTCGGCATTAAACCATCTTCAGTTCTTATTGTCAAGTAAAAGACCAACTAAAATCGGTTGTTATCGTTTTTCCAATAATTAAATATTGAAGAATCTCACCTTGATAAATCACCATTTTTTTTAAGTTGTAAAAATTTTGTTAGTTTGTTTAATAATTTATAGTTTTCAACCCTTTATTAAACCATTTCGTCGAGGCAACAAATATATATTAATTGTAATTACGTAATTAGGAGACCTTGAAAATTTATCAATACTATTTGTTATCAGGTACACTTTAGTGTAGTCTCAATTTCTAAATAAACAAAAATAACAAAGAAATTACAAATAAACTCTATCTTTTAAATTTATTATAAAACTATCTTATTTAGGCAAAAAATTTACCTTGGCCGCGCCAACAACCTGAATGGCCGCCCCAAGAACCGGAAAATAACGAACAGTTTGACACTAAGACCCTTTCCCAAGAAAAAGAACAGGATAAAAACGTATCAAAAACCTATATCGCTTCAGAAGAAGAAAGAGACATTTACAGAGCAAAACCTATCGTTATCGAACGCACAGATGACCTCATAACTATTGAAACACCTGAAGAATTTCCAAAATATTCTTCAGATACGCATCCCACGATTCCAAAAACCGAAGATAGCCATCAAAAAATGCCTGAGCCAGAACGCGAAAGTTCCCCCGAGTATGTTGCTGAAATAACGAGCGACAGCGATTTGAGTTACATCAACTGTTACGATGTAGGGAATTCACAGGTTTACAAAAAATCTACTGAAAAGGAACCCCAGTTAGCGAAAACGGGTTTTACAAAAAACACAAAATCCCCTAATTACCAAAGAACAATTGTGAAAAAATCCGAACCTCCAACGACTCTAAAACGTTACAAAAGCGAATCTGATTTGTACAATGATTTCGACGCTCCGCCAAAAGTGCTGCCTCAAAAACGGGACAACACTCTTATTTCGAAAATATACAAGGTATTGTCAAAAAGTGATTTGTTGAGCGAATATCCTACATTTCGAACCCAAATGAGTTCGCCGGACGGAGCAGGTTATAATCACAATGATGAATTGATCAGGAATAAAACTGACTACAGGTAAGAAATATGTATTTTTTATTTTGCTCCTGATATACTCGTACATAGATATATCAGCAATTTTCTTAACCTAAACGAACTAAAAGCACAGCTAATACAATACAGCTCCACAACTCCGTGTCGGCGTCTTTGATCTGGCGGTCGAGAACCAAGCAAGACGGAATTGTGCTATCTCTGTTAGATTCGAGGGAAAAGTCGGGCCCGGATTAAACAATTTTTTTAATATTGAAAAAATTGAAAACCTTGGCGTAATAAGGTTGGTTACATGCCATATTAAGTAAGATTTGGGAAATTACATTTTTAATTTGTTTTAAATCTGTCAAATATAATTAAAAAACTTATTTAAATATAAATATTACGAAAAATAGCACATCTTTCGGATTAGAGGTAAAATAATTTGTATGTGGCTAGTAAAATCCTCGTTAACAAATGTTTTGAGCTAAAACAGTCACTTCATGACAAATTGTGGCTTGGATCCTTTTTACACCAAGGGCTTCAATTGTTAAAGAATTGTGTCACGCTCGTGGATGCAAATCAAGTGGTACCCCGTGTCTCTGGCAAGTGTTACTCTTCGCGCAAAGGGTTTATACCTAGATAAACGAATGCTTCGACTGAGGTCTGGGAACTCTGGTATTTTGGAATTATAAAGAATTTGTGCTTTTATTTCAACAATATTGGTTATATTTAGATGTATTCTTATTAATTGAAATACAGATTTGTGGAAGTAATACTTTGACAGTTTTTATTAATATAATATATTCATTTTTTATCTGACCATACCGAAGTAGGGAATTTTGAAACTTTATAGTAATGTGAAATTTGAATTACAATATTACACGATATTACATAATTAGTACTTATTTTAGGTAGGTACTAAATTTGTACTTGGAGAAAGTAATATCGATTTTTACAAGAAAACTTGAAAAGTAAATTAATTTAGTTCCTATTTCTGATGTAAAACTTAAACCAAGAAAACAAATAAATTGTAGTTTGTTCAACAAGGGTGGATATGATAGCCATATCACACAAAGACGAAGTTTGAGCACGACGTCGTAGGCGGAGTACTCAATCGTCTGATTGTGATATGAACAATCCACTCGATATGGTCAGTATATTTTTTCTACGACCCACTAACGAAAATCTACAAATTTAAAAAATTATTTTAGGTTATTTAGACAAAAAAACTAATTTTAAAATAATTTACGAAGTTGACTAATTTATAAAATAAAATAAACATGAAAAATTAATTAGTCCTCGGCCTAGATTCGATCCAGGGCTTTTCGCGTGTAAGGCAGATGCTCTGTCCTCATCTTCACCGAAACTTTCAGGACTTTAGTTTTAATACTCGTAATTAAATTAGTATCATGTAGTTTGATTAAAATTAATTTTTTTTAAATGTGGACAAAATAAAAACAAAAATGCTATTATTTATCGAGTCTACACAAAAATTTTAATGTATATTTAATATCAATAACTAAAATATATATTGACAATTAGTTTAACAGAATTGTCACTTATTTTAAAATTTTTAAATAATAGGAGTTGGGTGACCAAAATATGAACTGTGATTTGTAGATTTAATTTTGTTAAAGTGTTCTCACTACCTAAAATGGATATAAAATATATTCGTAGTTGAACGCAATAACATACTTTTTCGTTTTGTAGTATGTGCGTAGATTGGCTAATATCCATGGACAGATTACAAAACGAAAAAGTATGCTATTGCCTTCAATTGAACGAATATATTTCATATCCATTCTAGGTAGTGAGAACACTGCAAAAAAAAAATAAATTCGCCAATCACCGTTCATATTTTGATCAACCGACTGCTATTATTTTTAAAATTTTAAATAAATGACAATTCTGTCAAACTAATTGTCAGTATATTTTTTAGTTATTGAGATTAAACATACAATAAAATAAGTTATTCTTTTGGAAAACGTTAGCATGGATGACTAAAGGGTATTGGGTTAATTAATTCTAAAAGTGTGATACAAATGTTATTTTTTGTAGCCAATTCTTCAAAATTATTTTGAAATATGTTTTCAATATTGAATATTAGTTCTACAAATTCATCATTTGACAGTTGCAGATTTCCAAATGTATCTGAATTGGCGTTATCATATGCCTTTAAAAAGCAATAAAAAGAAAAATCATCTAATTCAACGTGATCTTTGTTATATTTAAGACAGGTATCGCAGGAGTGGATCCGCAAGGCTTTTATTAAAAGGTAACCACACACATACCTGATTAAATTTTTCTGTAGCAATTCGTCTTTACAATAATTTAGGGTGTTAATAATTTCATCATAAAATAAAATACAAGGTGTTCCATTTAAAAAACATACATTTTAATTTGCCAGGCAAAAACGTGACACCCTGTATATCCAAAGATATTTTTAAAATATATAGGTATTTTTCAAATCCATATAACTTTTATTTAAAACTTTCTTGCGTGTCTACAACAAAATAATGAACAATAACGCACTAATGGGACACCCTGTATAAATTGTATTTTTAATAATGAAAATTTCTTATAATGTGGTACTTATCGGTTTGGGTCCTTGGGAAAACTAAAGAATGTTTTCTTGTAGGTATAACCCTTATTGAAACAGCTTTTGACTGCACAAACAGAATGATGTCTTTTTTTTCACTCATTCTACTCACAGCTAAAGAGTCACTAAAATAATAACAGTACCTTTAACTCAAACAAAATCAACGAAATTATAGGCTCCACGAAACACCTTACCTAAGTACGCTTCTGAACGCCAAAACCGTCTTTTCCCTTCGAAGGCGGAGCTTAAGCGATGCGCAACGAAATCGACGCAAACCGTTGCCGCCAAGAGAGTGTTTTAGCTGTATTATATAAGCTGTGCTAAAAGCTTAAAACAAAGAAATCACCCATTAGTGCCTCTCGGGCATTCTAGTAAAAACAGACGTAAGAACAAAAAAACTAAAAATGTCAAAAAAGTAATCTAAAAATAAAATAACTAAGAATATATTTTCTGAACAAAAAAAATATTTGGTTTTAATCACATAATGACATCAAAAATACAACTTAAAATAGAACTTTCTAGATTTAGATTCAGCAAATATGTTTATAATATCATCACAATTTAAATTAATTGCAGTCGATTTTTCAATTAAAATTATAGACAATTTGTTAGTCCGTTGTTATCCTACAGAAAAACGTAAATATGACTTCACAAACTTAAGTTTGCTAAACGAACGTTCGTACGTAGCGGTTGTCACTGGGACACAGTTTATTGCTAAAGAATTAGTTAGCTCACTTGGACCAGTTGGATGTTCCAAAATAACATCCACTCCAGGGATACAAATTCAGGATGCGCAGAAGAATGCTGTTTGAATATAGGTGGTTGTCATATATTTTATTGGTTATGAATTGATTCTGTATGCGCCAGGGATACAAATCCGAGTTGCGCAGTGTATAAACTGGAACATTGAGATCAAAAGTGCCGACGCAGAGTGAGCCAACTGATTCTTTAGCTGTAAACTACTGGGATGCTTAGAAATATTCTCAAGGCCGTCTGTAGTTTGGAAAAATATTTTCTACGGACAGGTTATAAATACTTTGCAAAATTTCCAAGGGACCCATTTCAATAAAAATTTTATACAGTGTTTTACTTTGGAATTTGAAGCTTTCTATTTCTAATTTAAGTCTAATTTAGTTCAGCAGGATACTTAAGTTCAAGATCTGTGGCTTACATTTTGAATTTATCCAAAGTAGTTGTCTCGATAGAAACCCCGTTTATGAATCCAAAATCATCTGCTACCTCTTTTAGAGCCACAAATCTTTCTTCCATTTGTATGATGATTGTATCAAGAACCTGCAACAATCCAACTCTTAACTGCGTGGTGGAATCAAAAGAATGATATTCATTACTTGCTTTCGCCCCAGGCATTTTCTTTCTGTTTTTCGTTTTCGAGACTCGTGAAGAATTGGCTCAATGCCTATTTTCTCTCCCATATGCTTTGAGGACTGAATCAGTGGTGTAATCATTTTGTCTGTATGTTTTCACTTCGTCCAACAGTTCCTGAATCATTCGAGCACCTTTAGACACATTATGCTGCTTTTCTTGCAAGGAAATGTTAATCCTATTTTTTTTTAAAGAATGTTCCAAAACGTCAAGTAACAGATGAATTCAATTTTTTTTATTAACTTCAGTAATGTCTGATTGTACAATCGTATCTCCAGTACTTTCTTTCGATACGCTGATCTCTTAAAGAATGTCTGCAACTTTTTCCAGCTGGGACTTTAAAGCATGGACACCGTTAGCTTTTGATGACCAACGTGTATCGTTTGTTCCTTTTAAAGACGTCTTGGGTTTGCTTTTCAACAGTCCCCAGCGGAAAGGTGATCCAACAAAAAAGTTATATATTTGTTAAACTGTTTCGAAAAAGGTTTGCATTTTTGGATTTATCTGAGCACGATGAACTCCCGCTAAATTAAGACTATGGCAGTACAAGAAATAAATCGAACATTATCATTCAGTAATAGAATTCGAGCCTGAACACCCTTGTACTCACCAGCCATATTCGCGTAATTATCGTATGATTATCCTCTGATGTTAGTTATATCCAATTTGTCAGCAATCAGTTTTTTCTCTATTTCTTTTGCAAGCCCTTCGCCAGTTTTCTCTCTTCAACGGTACATTTCCTGTTAGAATCAATATTAACATAACGCATTATTTGAACTAATTGTTCCTGTAGTGTAGTCAAATAATATTGAAAACTATTTTTCAGTCCTGATATTCTCAATAATACGCCTCCTTACTTCTGTAGCTACCAGATTAGTTTTGTGTGGTAGGGGAAAAATAGGTCAACTGACCTTTATTGTGAGCCTCAATGCGATCTTTAATGATACTGTCACAGTGGCTAATCAGTTCAATTGTGTTTAGAAATTTTTCACATACCACTGTATTTCAGGCTGAAATGCATGCAATCGAATTGTGTGTAGGAGAGAATTTAAGAAGGAAGCACAAAAAGCAAACCATCTTAATTATCTTAAAGGCCCTTGGTTCAAACAGAATCAAGTCAAAGCTGGTCTGTAACAGCCTTTGGAATACTAAATTATCTAGCAACCCACAATAAGGTGAAACTATAGCATGGGCACCCGGACACAAAGGTAACCAAGGAAATGAAAAGACTGATGAACTCGCCAAAGAGGGATCAGAACTACCATTCACAGGACCCGAACCTGTATTTGGGATAAACAAAACTTTTGCTCGACAGGCAGTGAACTGGTGGATAACCATAAAACACCAAATTCACTGGCAACAGATAAAAGGGTACTGAATCAGTAAGCTCATGTTAAGGGGACCAAACTCACGCATGGCTACAGATTGCAAGGCCTCAGATATCCACCATTGTGGGATTACTAACGGGACATTGCTTACTGAAATACCTTCATGTCGATTATACAATGATCTCACCACGTGTGGAATCTGCATGGAAGAGGAAGAAACCTCATACCATGTGATCTTCGAATGTGAAGCTCTTTCTAGGCGGCGTATCACCCTTTTCGGTTTAGAACTGGAAAGAACACCCAAGGAACACTTGGTAAGGATCTTAGTAACACTGACCAAAGGCACAGGACTATTCCAAAGATAGTACCTGAATACGGGAAAAGCAGGAGAATACAAAGACACAAGAGGCTGCAGTTTTCTGGGCCAAATCTAACCCTACCTGTTTATAACCGACAAAGATATACTAGGGAGCATCCACAATATTTTGGAGTACTTTAACACAACCCCAAAGCTGTATACCATAAGTCCATAACAGGTTTTAAGACTTGCTTCTTTCTGCCAATTAACCAGTATATTTTTTATATTTAATATCTATTTTCTTTTGTTTTTGATGTACTCTATCCATCTAAAGATTTTCTAAATAATTCACGGGTTTGTCTGAAATGATTTTTTTTAATAAGTACTTAATTTTCAGTTCACATGAGATCCCATTAAGCTCAATTGAAATTTCAAACAACAGAATGACAATCACGAAAAACTTATCACTAAGCTCAGAAGATGACAATTCCGACCTTTGCTCCTTCTACAGTGAATACAGACCCATCAAAAATGTATTCCATTCGAACGAGGATCTTCTGTCGATGGATGAATCAGATCGGTCAATGAAGAAAGATAACACCCTTATTTCCAAAATTTATAAACAACAAAATGTAAAGAATTATGCGTTGGCTAAGAGACAGCAAATTCCTGAGATAGAAACCAATACCAGAAGTATTAAAGAGGTCACTAGATCTGATGGTGAATATGAAGATCCGCTTAAACAGAACAAAGTTCCTATTTCCCTGGAGGAAAATGGTAACGCGATAAATAACAAAGTCTCCGTCGAAAAAAACGAAAATGTACTCGAAGTGAATGAATTAGCGAAAAAAAGGATTGTTCACAATATTTTGGATCAGATTAGTCATTCCACTACCCAGAAAGAAAAAAGTCAACTTAGTAAACATTACACTAATGGTAAATCTAAGGAAGACATCAATGAGGAATCTAAAGAGAGCGATGATGACGAAATTACAACTTCAGTTAAAGATTTGATGAAAAAGTTTGAAAACAACGTAGTAAGTATTATAATCGGTAAAATAAAATACCTACAATAAAAAGAAGTTACTGTCACAATACCGCTTAGATATACCAACCCTTCCCTTCGGCAGCCTTTTTGTTTGGAATACGCTAGTTTATTGATGATGTAATTCAACTGACAATTACAGTGTTTACCTAAATTATATCGTTTTTTCACTTTTATAAATATATTCCCAAATAAGTAAGTAGATAACATGCATCAAATATACAATAGTTTAGTTACCAATTACATACCTTTAAATAATGTTTTAACCTGTAAACAATATTTAGAAATAAACTAAAAACAGTAGAAACGTATATGTCAAATTTATTGATGTTTTTGTTAGAAGTTTGGTTAGAATTAAATGTCAGTGGAACCAAAATGACATCACACTAAACTAGCGCATGACTAATAGAAAAAGTACCAAGTATGACACACAAATGAAACGCGATGCTAAGGTCCGTTATATTTAAAGGGTTGCGACATACGATGTAGTATATCTACGATAAGTGAAATCCTAAATAATGGAAATAAATTTAAATATTTTACATCTAACACAATGAAAATATTGTTTAAAAAAACAAACGTTTATACATTTTCTATAAATTGGCAGGCTTGGCAGCTACTATATCAAATAAAAATAGCGTCCAAGATGGGATGCTATGACGCAACCAGTGGCGGTTTGCCCGTAAGGGTACGTGTCCTAGTATAATAAACCAAAAAAAAAAATAACTTACATATTTTATATTTTCCTCAATGCCTATTATTATTTTATCTAATATTCAGCGCAAACCGCGTTGGCACGAGACTGGACGACCGGGCATTGAGCGACGTTCCGAGAATTCCGAAATTAAGTGAAAGATGACAGGTCGTTAGAATGGCTAATTTGGGGAGGAGAATGACAATTGGGTATAAGATGTAACTTACCAAATAAAAGTTTAGCCTGAAAAGGTGGAGAATTCCTATAGCAGGGTAATAGAAAAATAGATTGTTCCAGAAAATGTAAAATAAAACTTTCAAGATGAAGTAAATATTAAACTACAAAAAAAATTCGTGTATTTGGATTCTTTTTTACATTAGTTTTATATATTTTGAACAAAACAAAAAAAATATACTATCACTAAAAATATACGATTTGAAAAATCGTTGTTTTTAATAGTTTTTATTCAATCAAAAGTACCTACAATAATTGTAATGTCTTTATTAAATGACAGATAACATCAGACTAAAATGCAAAATAAATTATGTTTGTAGATAACGAGAAACTTGGAGTTGTCGCGACGGCTGGAGGAACTTCTGGTCAACTTAGCTGTTTCTATGATATATAATTCAATTAAATAATATACTATTTTTATTTCTTTAAGGGTAAAAACCAGGTAGTTTCCAGTCTAACAGCAAGAAGCTTATCAAGACACACAAGAAAACCACTGAAAGACTGAAGAATTAAGGTAATTTCTAACTATTGCAAAAATTATGTCTCTTTATATACACGGGGTGTTTCAGAATAAAGTACCGTAAACTGGAGGATTTGTAGATCTTAACTAATTATTAAGAAGAGCTAAATATAATTTTCCTGTAAAAACGTTCCAGTTTTCAATCAAGGGTTATGAAAACAATTGTTATCTAAACTTTTTGCACATCCTATAGGTATTTCATTAAAGTTAAGATTAATAATTATTCCTCACGGAATTTGTCACAATAAAGGGACTGTTGGTTGATCTCTGTGGAAATTTTTCAGTTTTACCTAATCCAACTCAAACATGAAATATATAGGTATATGTACAACTTTATCAAGGGCCGATTTCATAATGAATATTAAAAGGTCCATTATCTAATCGGACAAAGATTTTATGGACTAACCCTTAAAGCAAGGTATCCTATTCGCTCCGTGCGAAGTCATGGAAAGGGAAGCAAAAGCGATACTAGCGCTAGCTGCGGATAATTCGTGCATTTTAGGGCGATATTTTGTAATTTTGGCATATCAAATACACGTATACATTTTACTTTTTTTCAAAAAAGTAGGTAAAAACAATACAATAGGTAACCGGAGTTGCTGTGTTGAAATTGTACAAATAGTAGCAAAAAAAAAAACAGTGAAACTTTTATAAAAAATTTTAGCAGCAAAGTGGAAATTAAATCAAAGAAATAATTGGATAGGTGTACAATAAGAAGAAAAATTACCTTTATTTTTGTAATAATAACAGTAATGCTGGAAATAGTAGACATCAGAAACTTGAAAGGTTTTAAATAAACAATAAATTATCATTTTACGATGTTCTTTAATATCCCTTTATTCTTAAATGTTCATTCAGCAAGGACTAGATTTCAAGATTTCTGCCTTTGATTATATATGTGGCTGGAATACAATTTTGTGACTTACTGATGGGAAACCAGTTTTACTCATTCATTCTATGTTTTCTTTCCAACAAAAATGAAAATATAAATAACGATCCTTTTTTTATACATTTTAACTTCACGCTATTATTAAATGTTATTTTTTTATGTTGACAACAGGCTAATTCTTCAATGACAACTTATTAGACTTAGGCAACTTCTCATACATTTTCCAGTAAATACTGTTGCCTGCCTATATTTTATTATTCATTTTTATTGATTATACATAATTTTCTTTAATTTAAGAGATAAAAATGTATAATAATAATAAAATAATGTTTTACTTGTTTTACAAATCCATATACTTTTATTAAAACTAACATATATACTCTCTAATTACGAATTTTATTAAAAATTGCATTTGTCCGTATACGCAGAAATAGTCCATTAGTACCAAAACGAATTGGCGCTGCTGTCGCGCACGGAGCGAATAGGATACATCAAAAGTATGCTATTATAAATACATTTCGTCGCCTTTCTCACAAAGTGACCTAACCAACAAAATTGCCAAAATTGAGTTAGTCCGTATTTAAGTTTGTTTTAACTTGGGCTTGGACCTCTCAAAGTGGCATAAATGTATCTTACTTAGTTTAGACAACACAACATACTCTTGGAAGCGTCCTATCTGCAAACCAAAATAATATTTTCTCAAACAGACCTAAGTGAAGGTAGGTCTCTTTGTGAGCAAACATTTTCGCTACATAGTGTACATACTGTATTTTTTTGCAATAAAAGTGTTTGATGTTTTGCTTTTTTCCGTTTTTTGTGGCAATAACATACATTTATTTTTGGTTCTATCTGACATCCATTGCTCTAATATTCTTACAAAGTGATCTATCTGCACTTTTAATTTGTTTTTAAAGAAAACGACACATTAATGAAATTGGAAACATATCACATAAGGGTTTAGTACTTCAAATTAAAATTTATAACCCCTTAGTACATACGGTTTACAAATTATGTACAATGAAACAACACAATTTTTATATTTTTCCTTCTGTAAAATTAATTAAATGTCAGTTAGGAACCGACGATTTGTGCAATACCTCTGTGTATTCTGGGTAGTATACATACTTTAGAGCTGGGTCGATTTATGAATTTTTTTAATAGGCTTGCTGTGAGTTGATTTTAATTACTGAGGCCCTTCCTATGGGGCATTAGTATTGCATTCTTGCAGACGAAAAAATTTTCTTACCCCTATTTTTTAAAACTTTTTTTCATGTTTCCGATCATTCAGAGTCCGAAAATGCAAAAAAAAAAATGTTTCGTCTGGTCGTCTGTGTGTATGTATGCCGACACAATAACTCTAGAACGAAAGATCTGATTGACTTGCGGTTTTGATTTTCTTAAATAATTACTTCTAACTTAAAACCCTATTGATTTTTAGAATTTTCGGTTCATCCTAACTACTTTAATATCAATTTTCTTAAAATCCGCTTATGCATTTCTTATGTGACAATTTTAGGAATTCCAATTATTTCTAACGTTCTTAACATTCCATAAATTGCAAACATTCTCTAACGACCTGTCAAACAACAGCTGTTGATAGTAAAGGTGAAATTTCTAAGGCGGGTTGCGACCTTCATATTTGCAACTATAGCCACTTTGGAGGCTATTTTTATTCGAAATTAGTCGCCAAGCCTGCCAATTTATGAAAAATATATAAGCAGTTTTTTAAAAATGACTTTTTTATGGTGGTGCTAGCTTAAGCGTACTACTATTTCACCCCTAGCCACAAAAAAACCTTCATCAAATTCACTGGCTCTCTGTACTACAAACAAGTTTCCCTAGTGGATGGAGAGTATGGCGAGCCTGAAGATGAAGTGATGATACTTCGAAACCGGTCGCACTCAATGTTTTATTGAATAAATAAACATTAACTTTCCTTGTGAGATATAAAGGACTTTTTCTCCCCCTTCACCTTAAAATTACCTCAACTCACACATGGCTACCCCCCTTGTCAATTAAGGGTTAATGGCCCCATTAGTTATTGGACCTTTTAATATTGATTATGATATCGGCCCTTAATCAAAATTTTCGTTTTTTTAATTTCATAATGTACATAGATTTCATGTTTGAGTAGGAATAAAACTAAAAATCTTGAAAATAAAGTATTCTAAGTTTGGGTTAAAATTATTTTCTTATCCCTTGATTCTACGCCAATGGGTTATCGTAAGTGATCGAAATAAAATGTGTTAACTAATAATAAAGATTAACTAACATATACATATCTTTACGTTAAAGGTTTTACCGCAAGGAGATATTTAGAAAATGATGTATTTATTAAATTCACTTTATTACCCTGTAGAATAAAAACTAGGACGTTTATAGGAAAATTATATTTAGCTTTTCTTAATATTTAGTTAATATCTACAAATCTCCACTTAACGGTACTTTATTCTGAAACACCCTGTACATTAAAAGAGCTATAACTTGACAGCTAAATACTACAGGGGGGTTCGAATCCCCCCTTAGGCAGAATTTTTCATTAAGTTTGTTTTAACTTAAGGAATGTAAAAATAGTTTTCATTATTTTGTAGGGATGATTTTGCAATTTTTTTTGGGGATTTCCAAGGAATTTAATAGATTTTTCTAATTTTGACAAATAAAGTGACATTTTTTGTAATCGCAGCAAGTGTCAAAATTATCTTCTTTACGCAACTAGTTGCATAATGTTGAATATTATGAAACTGGTTTCGAAAAATTCATTATATAACCAATTGCAAAAAGAAAACAAATAAAAATAAACCCTTTTTGGTTTTATAATCAATAACAATACATTATTATTACAAGATTATATCAAAGGACAGATTGACTTATAAAAATTGAATTTTGTTAAACTTACAATCTAGTAATGTTGTTTTGTTCCTTATTTTCCATTCTAAATCAGTACAAAACAATTAAAGCACAATCCACGACAAAATAACTTACTTTTTTGAAAACTAAACAACTTTAATAATCAATAAAATGAAGCATATGCAACTAACAATACAAGAAGGTAATATTGGTTGCCTCGATGTCAGTAATGTCTTAATAAAACCAAATTTTATAAATTATCTAGTTAAAATATTGTATATAACACACAAGACTAGAACAGTTTATAAAAAAAGGTTCTATTTGGAATATCACTTAACTTACAGTTACTACCTTTATTATTGTTTTTGTAAATTCTTGGGTACCAATAGTTTATGTAACACTTGTATATTTTTCATTGTAGACCTGATGGCGATAAGGACCGAAACTAATCACCTTTCTTGTTTTAATTAATCTTTTTACTCTTATTCCTAAAAAGTAAAGAAAACAATGGACCTTTTATTTCAGAACACTTTTTTTGTAACTCAACTGATTTAAATACCAGTATGGTACTAGAGATGTCGAGTATATTAAACTAAAAGCAAATTACCTTGTAGAAGCAAGAACCAATTGCCAAAACATAAATATACTTAATTAATATTTGTGATATCTACTTTTTTTTAAATTAGATATATTTTCAGGCCAATTTGTCACAAGCCAATAGGATAGGAAAACAAGCCAGGTGTAATAAAGCTCCAAAGATATTAGATATACATTTTATTTAAATTGTTGTAATTTTCAATTTGTATATACATGTTTTAAATATTTTATTTTAGCTTAATATAAATTAATGTAACTTACACATGTAATAAAACAGAGTTACCACTATGAAAAATGTATTCCTTCTGCATTAAATGCATGTAATAATCTAAAATTATAAAATGTTATTATTAATAAAGATTATTTATTTATATTTTTATTTTGTTTGTTTTGTTAACTACGATGTGTCACAATTATTAAACTCAGACATTATAATAGGTTAAAATGAATGTCACTCCAGAGGCCCTATTCTCGAATGTCTATTAAAAATGTCGCATTAGTCGTAATGTCTGCTACTAATATCTATCAAAATGTCGATCGACTGAGACTATCAGTATTCTCAAAGACAAATAGACATTTTAAAATCGGTGACATATTTGACGAATCTGACAACATTGGATAGAAACATACAATACGAGTATATTACAGCAGACAATTACTTGAAGGATCTCTTAGTAATACAAAATATTACTGCAAATATATCCCAAATATATGTCTTTTTGATAAATATTAATTAGAAAGTAGAGAAAATGTAATCTTTTTAACTCAAATTTCATAAGGGATTAAATAGAAAATTGGAAGTACAATTTGGTAAAAGATTAAATAGTAAGAAGAAGAAATATATTATTATAATATAATCTAAACATTACATAAAATGTCTGTGATATAATCTTTTAACATGCAATTTGAAAAAATAAGAGCTATATAAATTACTTAATGACAGGTATTAAATCTCTTGGACAAACAGGAGCAGTGTCGGATCGGAACTTCCAATGCCTACCGGTCAGAACGGAGAAGGCCCACCTATCAATTTTTTTTCATGGACAGATTCCTTGAAAAGCAAAAAAGGGCCCTCTTTGCAAATTGATGCTTTTTCCAAGGGTTATTACGCATTTCTTATTCTCAAGGGCCCACAGACTGAGGTCCTCCGAGTTAGGCCCACTGATTGAGGCCCAGTGACTAAACAAGGACTCACTGCCCGAACGAGAGCCCACTGCCTGAAAGACTTTTGCCGGTAGACCGACGGTTCAATCCGAGACTGGACAGGACTAATAATTGATAAATTAGGTGAAATTGTAAATAATCATTTCATATATTTTTAAAAACAATTTGTACAATACGAGGCTGGGCTGAGAAATAATCGGCCTCGGCAAGAGTTGGCGGCGCTAGGAACAAATGCAATTGTTTTTCGTAAAAACTATCTTTCAAGTGGCTTCTGTCAAATTTTCAGCAAGCTGCGTCACTTAGTTTGTACTTGACAGTGATTGAAGGCAAACAGATTTTGCATTTTTACAAAAATGTATAAAATCGAATATCGCGCAGTGATTAGATTCTTGTTTTTGAAAAAGAAAACGAACGATGAGATCAAAATCGAACTGGATGATGTGTATGGGGACTCTGCACCTTCGTTATCAACAATAAAATATTGGACTGTCGAATTTAAACGCGGTCGTACGATAATTTTTGATGATGAGAGTCCAGGCCGTCCAAGAGAGGTCACCACACCAGAAGTGGTCGATAAAATCTATGGAATGGTAATTGACGATCGACGGGTAAGAGTGTGTGAGATTGCTGAGGCTGTGGGCATCTCACGTGAACGAGTGGAGAATATATTGCACGAAGATTTGGGAATGACGAAGCTCGCTGCCAAATGGGTGCCGCGTTTGCTCAATGCCGACAACAAGCGAAACCGTGTGACAACTTCAAAGAAGTGTTTGGCAATGTTTAACCACAATAAGGACTTTTTGCGCCGTTTTGTAAGCGTGGATGAAACATGGATTCATCACAATACGCCAGAGACGAAGGAACAGTCAAAGCAGTGGGTTCCTCAGGGCGAGTCAAAGCCAAAGAAAGCCAAGGTGGGTCTGTCTGCCAACAAGGTCATGGCCACAATTGTTTGGGATGTGCAAGGTATTATTCATATCGATTACCTTGAAAAGGGCAAAACTATCACCGGCGATTATTACTCTTGGACCGATTCGACGACGATTTGAAGTAAAAACGACCGCATTTAGCGAAGAAGAAAGTGCTCTTCCACCAGAAAAACGCACCGGCGCACAAATGTGCAGTCGCAATGGCAAAACTGTATGAATTGCGTTACGAATTGGTTGCTCATCCGCCATACTCCCCAGATTTGGCGCCCAGCGACTATTATTTGTTTCCAGACTTGAAAAAATGGCTCGGTGGTAAGAGATTTGAGTCGAATGGGGAGGTCATCGCTGCGACAGAGGCCTATTTTAAGGACTTCGTGAAATCGTATTATTCGAAGGGCATCGAAAAATTGGAGAATCGTTGGACAAAGTGTATAGAGCTTAAAGGGGACTATGTTGAGAAATAAATTGAGTTTTGCCAAAAAAAGTTGTGTTTTCTTGCCTAGGCCGATTATTTTTCAGCCCAGCCTCGTACTTATTTTCATTTTTCTTAGAAATAAATATAAACTGTCACGACAATCATATTATAACATAAAAAGGCATGCAACATTACAATGTCGACTGGTTGAATACCACTCGACTTTATGTGTAACAACAAATGTCGAATTCGCCATTCCAGAATACATTTTTGCATTCATCAATGTCGCGTGTGACATTTAGAAACAGACATTCGAGAATAGGGCCCCAGGTCATCTAAATCAATTTAAAGATTAAAGGTAAGGGGGGCCATGTCTGAGTAATAGGGATTAAGGATTCAAATTAGATTTACTGTAAATTTTTCAGAATTATTTTTTAAACAAAGCTCTGAAATTTGTGTGCAAATCATAGATTAATACTTACTGTATTAAAAAGAATTTAAAGCAATTCGTGTCATATAAATAAAATTAATATTTCTTCAAATATGATTAAAAATAAAATATAATTTATGAATAGTAAGGGAATAATTCGAAAAAAAAAATTAACTCCAATTATTCATGTTTCAATTGTATAAGATATTACATAGAGATAGTATTGCTATATTTATTAAACGGTAAGAGATAGAAAGTTGGTTAAATTAGACAAAAGTTGCACAGTTTTGTGCTTATTAAAATGGTGTCAAGAAACCTTTGATATTTACAGGGATATTCAAAATATCGGACAAAAATGAATGAATTTAAAGAAATGACAATTTTAATTTTTGTCCAATATAATGAATATCAAAGGTTTCTTGGCACCATTTTATTGAGCACAAAACTGCGCAACTTTTGTCTAATTACACCAACTTTCTATCTGTTATCATTTAAGAAATAGCAATAATGTTCTTATGAAATACTAGGGACCCTGTAAATTCCTTGTCCAGTATGTTTTAAATGCAAAGAATAATTATTTCTTAAAATCCTATTTAGCACATCAATTTTATTTTAGGTATGATTTTAGAGTTTAAAAACTTACACAATAAAATCATCAATATCCATTGTCCTCGCTCGTTTTTGGTCAGCCTCTACTTTTGTCAATATTTCTTCAACTTTGTCTTTTATAATAAAATCTGAAGGCAATTCCTAGAGTTAAATAGTAAATCTCGCATTAACACAATTGCAATTTCAGCCAGTATGTAGAAAAAATACTTAAATTTTCTGTTTAAATTAAATAAAATACTATGCAAGGGGGGGCACTTTTTAATAATTTAAATGTATTGCTAACTCGCAAACCGTTGGTGTGTTGTTTAAATGGGGAAAAATTGTATATTTCGAATCAAAACTGGGTAAAACATTTTGAAAACCAAAATATCTGTGATGATTCTCGAGATATTTAATAGAAAACAATTTCTTTATTCTACTGCAGTACATTTATTTTCAAAAATAGACAAAAGCTCATTTAAGGTATCTAATTGCATATCTTGTGGTGCATATGGCAGCACCTTTTGTTTTTTATAAAAATGCAGGACCACCATTAACTTCTTTGTATGAATATGAACCAGTATTATTCCGTCAGACCATTTTAATATAATAATAATAATAATAATACTCTCTCTAATTCACCCCCTTACGAGTGAATTTTAACCCCAAAAGCTGAGCTTGTGCGGGGAAAGGAACGGCTATTATTATTATTTGCCATGGCGCTCCGGGGCGACTTAAAGATGATTGATGGTGCCATTTGACTTACAGGTGAGGAAAACCAGCACACATCAAATCCTATACCGAACCAATACATGTTCATTGCTGAATACAATAATATAACATATTGTGATTAATCAACATTTCGGAAGATTTGAACATCATCAGGTAAGTTTTAGTACAGACCTGTATTTTGAATTATTTAAAATAATCAAATACATTTTAAAAGCAAAACTTACATTTGATTATTTTATTTATGTAGTACTTACAGAAAATAATTTCTAAATAGTACAGTATATCTAACTTGTAAATGAGATAGTCCAAAGCATAAAATATGTAAAAAAAAAGGAAAAACTACAACACGACCGGACGGTACAAGTAAAACTTACGACGTTCAGAAGTTGCAAGTCTCTTTTTAGTGCTAAAATATTACAATTAAATATACCATTAGAAAAATTTATTATAGTTCTTAAAACAAGCGATCCATAAACTAACTTTGTCTGTACTGCCATCCTAAAAACAGATGCCGTATCTACAAAAAATTGAATTTTAATATTTTTGCATCAATGAGTTCGTGGAAAGTTAAATTAACTTTTTGCCAAGCAGAAATGCTGTATAAGTTTCCAAGATATTAAAAATCCAACATATTAATTAGCCAGCTCTGAATACTTAAGGGCTAAGGAAATAACTTTAAATCCCATTTTCTTCGCTTATCGCTCTCAGTAGATACGGCATTTGTTTTTAGGATGGCAGCGTAGTTGGGTCAGTGTCTTTATATATTCAAAAGTGATGTGTTTTCCGAGTCCGTTGGGCAGGAATAATTTAATTTTTTCAAGTAGTGACTCACACTTAATAGAACCAACTATTAATTTTGCCAGTAATAGAAGTAAAGCCTTTTTCCAGGCTCTGCGTGTCACAGCAATAGTGGATTTAACTTTTTTTATGGGGGTAGTAAAACTTACCCAGATATGTTTAAAACAAAATTGTATTAATTTAAAACGGTATTTTTGTTATGTATTATGTAGCAAATATCAAGTTGCTATGAACAAATAAAATAGAAGATAAAATGGCCTATGAAGAACTGAGAAAACAAAACAAAAATCTAATAAAAAAAAATAAAAGAAGGTAGAAACATCAGATAAAAAAAGTAAGAATGCGATAATAGGCTCAACTTAATAAAAAACAAAAATTTTGTATGAGTTTTTGTCTATTTGTGAAAATAAATGTTCTGTAGTGTAATAAGGAAAGGGAACTCTTTTATTCTTAATTAAATATCTCTAGATTAGATTAGATTTAATTAGAACCATGGGCCAAGTGGCCTCCCCCACCTTTTCAGATCTATTGTGGATAACCTTAAATTGTTTACCTTGTCTAGTTTAGTCCCTTGTAGTAAACTCCGGAGACTAGTAAGTAGTTCTTCGGCATAAATAGTTGCCCTTGGTTTTTCTTCGCCAAGTGTAAGAAATATCAGTAGGTAATTACAACTAATATTACAACTTATTTAGTATTAAAATTAATTAAGAGTAATGTAATAATTAATCAAGAGTAATGTAATAATTAAATACAAGTTTTCGGAACATATTAAATGGTAGTGTCCAGTCTATATCAATACAATAGTGTTATTATTGGCCAATCGGAGCATGGTCACAAGAGGTGACCTGGCAGTGGTAAGAACTAAAGGAATATTAAACATACATGATGTCTCATTCTCCTCGGAGGTACATTAAATCGTATTAAGTATAGTAGCTCAGGTGAGTTCATTTTATAGTTAATAATTTTATATAAAAAAGTCAACATTATGATATTCCTTCTGGTATGAAGGGAAGGTATATTAAATTCTTTTCTTAAGTTTGCAGTTCTAACAATATATGGAGTTTTTTTGAAATAAAGATATCTAAGAAATTTATTTTGTATTTTTTCAATCTCATATAGATTTGTTGGATGTTCTCCCATCCATACCTCAGCTCCAAATTCAAGTTTTTGTCTAACTAGAGCATAATAAAGAATTTTTATTGATTCTATGTTAGTAAAACTTCTAGTTTGCCCAATTATGAACCCCAGCATTCTATTTGCAGCCTTAACTATATTTTTTACATGATTAGAAAAAAATAGAACACAATCGTCGTTCTATTAATTCTCTATTTATAAGGTAATCGAAAATAACAGAATTTTTTCAATCTACTTATTGTCATACTGCTACATTTTTTTGTATTGAAATTTAATTTATTTTTATAACACCATTCATTTATGTTGTCTAAATCTTTTTGTAAACTCACACAATCCCTAACAGTCTGTATTTTTTTAAAAATTTTAAGATCATCGGCAAATAGAAGACAGTCTGTAAACTTCAGCATAGATGGTAAATCATTGATAAAAATTAAAAAAAGGAGGGGTCCCAAATTGGAGCCCTGTGGCACTCCACTATATGCTATAAATTTTCCCGATGTATTCCCATTATGCTTAACAATTGAATATCTATTTTCTAGGTAGCTCTTAAATAGTGTAAGAGTACTATTTGTCAAACCGAATTTACTTTGTTTTCAAGTGCTTCATAAGCTGTAGTTACAAAACTAAACAAATTTGTACTGACACATTTTTTTGAGACAAAACCATGCTTGCATACAGTATATGTTCATATAATTTAACAGGGGCTGATAAAAGTGATATGGGCCTAAAGTTTTCGATTTCAATTTTATTTCCAGATTTAAATATAGGAGAAACTAGTGCAGTTTTCCATAAGTGTGGAAATTCATTTGTTGCAATACTTAAGTTGAAGATATGAAGTAAAGGTCTTTTTAACCACTCATTACAGGCCTTCAGAACATATGGAGGCATGTCGTCTGGTCGCGCTGCTTTTTTTGGTTTAAGTTTTTTAATTGCTTCTTCGTATTCTAAATCCATTAATTTTAAATTTAAAGCATTATTTGTACAGTTTTCAGAATCACAAGCTACATTATAAGAAGGTTTAGTAGTTGAATATATTGATGCAAAGAATTCTGCGAATGCATTTGCAGTTTCATTAGACTTAATTGTTTTCCCTTTAAATAAGTAATGGTTACTAGTGAAGTTACTACTCTTTTTATTATTCACATAATTACAAAATATATTTATATCTGTACATATCCCATCTTCAATATCATTGATAATTTTTTTCCCTCTTCTCTAATCAATTTTTTTATTTTCTTCCTCATTTCGTTATATTTATTTTCATAAAAAAATGATGTACTTCTTAGCCTTCTATATTTTTCTTTATCTTTCAGTAGGTCTTTCATTTCCTTTGAAAACCAAGGTTTATGATTATATGAACCGCGTTTTAAATCGAATTTAGGTACACACTCATCCAGAATCTCATTCCATTTAATGTAAAATTTGTCTATAGCGACATTCACACTGGATAGCTCATCGAGCACTTTGCTCCAATCTGCATCTCTCACTCTTAGACATAAGGGTCTATTCTGTAACAATTCCTTTATATTTAACGGCCATTAAAAATATTGGCGGCCTATAAAAACATGTTCGTATTCGTTAATTTACTTCTGTCATTATTTAATCAGATTTCTTTAAGATAGTCCTCTAATGTATTTTAAAGATCCGTTTAAATAATGACAGAAGTAAAGAAGAAAATATTTTTAAATGCCGTTAAATATAAAGGAATTGTTACAGAATAGACCCCTTAGTCTATTAAAGTCAGCTATTTTAAAATTGTAACCGAGATTTGAAATTTCTTTTTTTTTGTACATATTTATGTTGGGGAATCCTAATTGTGATATTTAAAGATGGATGGTACAAATCTTCATTGACGAAGGGAAGTGTATCTCTTTGAACTAGACAATTATTAAAATTATTTTCTGAACCTATAACTATATCTAGCGTTCTTCCTTGAAAGTTTTTAAGCTATTGCATTGATTTTATCGCGGGCTTTGAGCGCGGTGACCGAATCAAGAAATTCCGTAACGAAAATAAATCTAACACCCTCGAAAAATTGAAAAAATCGAAAAATCAAAAAGTTGAAAAATCGAAAAATCAAAAATCGAAAAAATCGAAAAGTCGTAAAATCGAAAAAGAAATTCCGTAACGAAAATAAACCTAACACCCCCCCCCACTCCGACCGGCACAGCGGCGCGGCGTTGAAAGCCGTGCATCGTCTAACGACGTTTCAGTTCGGCGGACTTCGGCACGGTGTTTGTGAAAGTGCGACTAGACGTATGCGTGTAGACTAGCTGCTAACTGCTCATAACTGATTCTATCTCTTTTAGACACAATTTCGGAAAAATTGAATTTGAAAATGAATAATGATCCACAAGAATCCACAACAAAATATGGGACCACCATTGACGCGGTATTTTCCAGATATTTAGAGGATATCAATTCTCAAACTTATGTTTCTTATTTCAGTTATCATAAACCTATAGTTTCAATGATAAACATTCCTGAATAACCTACATGTATTGTAAGATAATAAAAATATTTTAAACAATATTAACTTCTCATTTATTCAATAAAAGAAAAAAATTGTTTTCTTATAGGTCACCACGCTCAAAAAGTGTAACTTGAATTAATATCAAAGAAAAAAAAATACTGCATAAATAAAATAAATAAATAATTATAATTGCATAAGTTGATAAAAAAAATGCTCTGCAATAGCTTTACTGCGGAAGTCCCCGAGTGCCACACGTATTTTTTATATCATTGAATAACTTTAATCTATTAAAATCTGAAAAACCTTAAAATTGATTTAAAATATTATTATTAATTGAACGATCATAGTTTATACCTGAAATACTATTGATGTTAAATCCCCCATAATATATACTTTTTTCATGTCAAAATTCACTAAATTATTCTGTAAAAATTCTAAAGCAGTTTCATACGTTTTAAATGCACTACCTGATGGAATGTATATTGCACATAATTTGTATTTCACAAAATTAATCTGAACTTCTACAATGACTGCCTCAAAAATAGAACTAGAACTATGGTTTACTATGTTTAAGAGTTTAACATTTTTCTTAACTGTGATAATTACTCCACCACCTGTTCTCTTATTTGTTATTACCAAATTCCTATCTGCCCTTACTAAATTATATAAATTATTGTCTATGATTTCACCATCATGCACTGACTCCTGTAAACATGTTTCGAAGGCAATTATAATATCATAGTCTTCATTAAGACAAGATCTAAAAAAAACATTACACTTACTCTTGAGTCCCCTACAGTAATGAAAATAGATATGTAGAGAGTGTAGCATAAACAATATTCACGTTGTAAGCTCATATTCATTGCCAAAGATAAAACACAATAGTGGTACCTTAAATTAACTAAGTATCATTATTACAGTTAAATTTAATAGTTTACTATAAAAAAATTCCTTTAAAACAGATAAAAAATAGATCTTAGTCATAAATCAAAAACAATTACTAAAACAAAAAGAAACCTAATAGTTCTAGCCTAAATTATCAGCATTCATCCCAAATCAAATAAGTATTATCAATTTAGTGATATCCTCTGATATCATCAAGAACCACAAATAAATAAAATAAATCTTAGCCAAGGTTAATCATTGTTTATGATTTACCTTTTATTTAACAAAAATTAAATCCAATAATCCTAGAATAATAATTATTATCAGCATTCAGTTTTTCAAAATTTATTAGCAGAATCCCAAATAAAATGCAAATTAATTGAATGATGTCAAAAACAAGGAAAAACAAATTTATAAGTTGAGATAAGTATTGATTGTTAACTAAATATACGATATCTATTTATTTCAAAATTAAAACCAATATTTTTTTTACTTCTCAAAACTTCCCTAAATTGGGGATTTTGAAATATACAATATTTCCCCATTTGCCCAACTTTGTATTACCAACGCCTTACAAGATAGTAATACAAAAAGTGTATTTATATCAGACAAAAGTATAGTGATAATAGGGAAGATAATAGTTGCAACAAAATTTAAAAAAATACTCACTTTGTTATGTACACTACAATGCAGTTTAAAATTCTTTTCTAATGTAGCCAAAACTGATGTTTGTCTAAAAGAAGCTCCCAAAGTTTTATTTTTTCTAGTAAAAGCTATCCTAGTTAAACCATCCCATTCTGTATAATTTATTGGAGGTGGTGGATTTCGAGGTTCTATCCGTACCACTGAAGATTCCACTTTTGGAGGTGGTCTAAAATTATTTTTACCTACCTACAAAATATAGAAAATATAAATAGAATACATTGCAGCAGAAAATGTTATTTCAAACTTGTTTTAGTAGTACCTGCACACAAAATAATGGAATGGTTCGTAATCGAGCAATAAAAAACCTTTTATTTATATTTACCTTCATTAACATGTCTACCCTAGCCAGTAGTTGTGTATTTACAGACAACCTACAATACAACTTGTCACCAGGCTTGGCCACAAGTCTTTGAGCAAATTCTTGCTGAAACATAAGGACAGCACATCTGAAAAATGGTCTATGCAGTAAAAGTTTAAATACTAATGGCGATGAGATCTGGTATGGAATATTAGCTACACAAACATCAAAAAAAGGTAGCTCACTTTTTAAAACATCTCCTACTTTTATTTGTAGTTTTGATTGTAAAGGAGTGCCTAAAAATATTTAAACTTTATTAATTTCAAGATATAATACAAATTGTATAAAATATTTTACCTTGAACTCTTTTCTGCAATTCTGCCACTAATCTCGTATCTATTTCACAAGCTATTACTTTTTTAACTTGTTCTAATAATTTAACGGTCATATTACCAGTACCTGGACCAATTTCTAGGGCTACATCTGTAGGTCTAAGTCCAGATTTTTCTAACATTGAAGTTATAACCATAGGATTTTTTAATATATGTTGACCGAAGTCTTTATTGAATAATATTCCTTGCTTTACAATGCCATTTTGTGATTTTGGTTTCTTTTCTCGCTTAACTTTAGGCATTTTTGATAATATATTTTATTTTCATACACATAAACACATGCTCAACATAAAACGTCAAATAAAAAAAGTGAGGTTAATTTCATGGAATATTCTTCTTTTAATTAGGTATAACCTTTCATCTTGTATCGTATACAGTTAATTTTGTCGCACCGAAAATATAAATAAAAAAATTCAAATGAATTTTAAATGATAATTAAAACATAAAGAGGTACAATACAAATTTCTACAGAGTAGAATTTTACGTTTAACTACCAAAAATCATAATGATATAAATATTCAGGAACGGATCGGCTCACCGGAAAACCGGGAGATTTCCCGGTGGACCGGTCCTACAGGCGACGATAGGCACCGCCACGGTTTTTTCTTGTTGTTTTTTATTTTTTGTTTTTCTTGTGTTTTTTTTTAACTATTTGAAGTTTGAAAAGAATTGGCACGGAGCCGTTTCAGGTGACTACCCGCGCCGAGCCGAGAGACTCCATCCCCAGTATATCCACCTCTGCAAATATTACATAGATTTTCTCCACCTGCTTAAACATAGATAAGTGTTTTGGTACTCATAAAGCCTTCCGATGGCCGGAAAATCCGGGAGAGTCTCGGAATTTAGCGTTTTTGGTCCTATGACCCAGAATTTTCTAATATATTTTTTTTACAAAATTACGATTACGAATTATAAGATGACACTCGTATAAAGTAGCATTTCGCTGTATTGTACAGCAATTTCAAAATATCTCCAGCATTTGATCTTGTAGGTACAGCAAACATAAAATAAAACGCTGTATTTGTCCAGCAAAACGCTGCATTTTATTGTCCAGCAATGTAATACACAATTTACTGAAATGTAATAAAAAAACTTACGAACGTACATGATTTCTCTGTTTTTGTATTTATGTATTTACCTTTGGAGACACAAAAAAACTCCTCTGGTCTTCTATACATCACTTATCTGTTACTGTATTTATCTTTGGAGAGCTAAAAAAGTCATGAACTCTACAAAGTTCATCAATGTAGTATGTATATTTAGGTTCAGAGTATTCAGTGTTCAATTTTCAGCATTGAGCCGAAAGAAATATGCTCACCCTAACTACGACGGACCAGCCAAATAAAGTTAACTGTTTTTGAGGTCCCTCCAAAAGACTTGCCAATCATAAAATCTGGGCCTATTTTTTTTTAAACAAACATTTTTAATTATTTTGTAAAAGAAAATAGTTGGTTTTGCTTTGTCAATTTCCACAAGTAACGTCTTTTGCGAAAAAATGTTTAATTTAAATTACAAACTGGTATTCAGTTTTGAAGAGTCTGGCTCAGAAATCTTATCAGTTTCGCAGGACAGTGACATAAAAAAACTTATAAAAATGACAAAATCCAATAAATATTTTAAAAAATAGTTACATATGATTAGGATTTACTTTCATTTTGCAAATCCAAAGCGAGGAGTTTAATTTTTGTTTAAGGTTTAGTTGATGTTGTATTTTGATTTTTTGCGAAATTTTAATTAATACATAATATATTTTTGACAATAATTTGCATTTTTTTCCATTTTCCAGAAACATTAGACTTTGTTCCCTAATAGTTCTTAATTTTTATTAAAAATGTTATGTTGATATCGATTCATAGGCTTCCCCCCCTTATAGAGCTTGTTCTTTTCTGAAAATTTCAAGTTGGTATCGTTTTTCGTTGGGCGGAAAAAACAATGTGACATCGGACAGACGGATATTTTTAAAAGTTGTTTAAAATTTCATGAGTAGATTGATTTTGGTACAAAAATTTGTAAATTTGGATCAGTATATTAAAAATTTTAATTTCTCGAATGTCAACCTATAATAATACTCTTCACAGACTACTGTGTGAAGAGTATAAATAAGAAATGTTCCGTGTCTACTTTCTTCCTGCTTTTTTATGGCACTTTTAAGTGTCATGGATCCAACGTTGTCATTTTAAAAATCACTCATAGTCATGAAATCAGTCTCTCGTCAGGCTAAAAAATCCAAATGTACTGTGTTTTGTTACCTAAAACTAAGAAGAATGAAAAAGAAGGTCAAATCGCGTAAATCAAAGAATATGAGTTCAAAAAATAATTCAACCACCAATCCCAAATCATCCATAATAACTTCAAACTCCCTAAATAAGTGTGAAATGATTTCAACTCAAAAAAATGCAAAAGAAACCAAAAATAACTCAAATACAATTTATTGCGAAGAAGAACATATTGACATGAATCCAGAATATTTGAACGATCTGCCTTTCGATATGCCTAATGAATTTTCAACTGGATTAAGAAAATTGGCAGTCTGTTTGGGGATTCATAAAAATGCTCTTAGTAAACATGATTTATAAAGAAACTAAAAATGTTTGAAACTAAACTGCCATTTTGTAATATTATTTTGCTTCTTGAACATAGCACACTGCATATAGATCAGAAGATTTCTATAGGTTAGGTTGAAAATGAGTGGGATGATCTCGTCGCCTTCTACTGCGACCCACATGGGTCTATTGATGCTCATGACTAACTTATAGTTCACCGTACCATCCATACTTTTTGATAAAGGTCATGGTTGAATTGGGTGAGACTTCTTTAAAGTCGGTATACCTAAGTTTCGTTACCTTTTTCAATTAATGTTAAAAGGGAAAGGATTAAAAAAGAAATATTATTCATTGAATTATCTGGTAAACATTTTCAACTAAATAGGTATCTGCATTTGTTTCCACTATTTATATTTGATCGAATTTCTTAAAATACGGTAGTGTTTCTCAACATATAAGGGGTTTGCCCCTCAGAAAAACGTGAAATAATAAACAAAAAGTTAAAAATAGTTAGGTTAGGTTGAAAATGAGCAGAATGACATCGATCTATTATTGTGACCCATATCTAAATTATAGTTCACCGTACACGCCACACCTTTTGATTAAAGACCATGGTTGAATAGGGTGAGACTTGTTTAGGCTCCAGTCGGTTGAATCTGAAGATTTGGAATCCAGTCTTTCCAAAGCGGAGAAGATACTTAGAATGTGCTCTGCAGATTCGACAGTCCTTCGTTTGTTGCAGGGCTCATGTGATTACCTACACAACATCAATTAATAGATCTTTCCGGCCCAATTCCTAGAATTGAACAGAGGCGCGTTATCATTGAAGGGTTGGGTATAAATGCCTCAGAATAGTTGTCCCTGGGCCCTGGGGTATCTTTATACTTCATAAGTGTTACACCCTCTATCCATAGTGCTATTTGCATTGCCCAGAAATGGTTCTGGTCCCATATGAATTCAGATTCGGTTCTTCTTTTAACAAGCGGCTTTGTCCCAAAAACCTAGTGGAGACCTATATTTTCAGAGCAGCTTCTGCAGAGGGAGATTTTACCTAATATATGGCAATTGTGTCGTTTCCAAATAAGAATATGGCGGTTGTCGTTTAGCATAATTCGATAGGCGGAATTTTCTGTAAAAGTGTTTTCCATTTTATTAGTTCAAAGGTTTTAATAAAAACTAATCCAATTTTGCTTATTACTAAATTTAATAACTACCAATAAAAAAAATAATAAAAAATGACAATCGCAAACACATAGGTACAATTAGTAAATTCAGTTCCATATATCTCTTTTCTTTAATTTAATATTTACTCCATTCTGCGATTTAAGTACAGTCTGCGCTGACAATATCAAATCTTGACCGGAGGGTAATAGTTCGAAATGTCTCAATACTTTTGATAACACAACCTTCATTTCTAACATGGCAAATTTTTGACCTAGAAAAAATAATATAAATAACTATTTGTGTATTAACTGTGAAAACTGATACTTTGTCGCTTGAGACAGAAAGTTGCCCGCACGACGCGTAGCGGCATCAAACTTTTTGCTCAAAATACAAACAAGATTTTTTTACAATCACCATATTGTAGGAAATAGATATAAAATCTGAAAATGTAGTAGTAGTGCATAATGTGTTGCCTATATCTACCTTAATCATAAAACAGAAATTAATATTCAAAATCAATGTTAACTTGGATAATAAAACAAAAAAACACATGTAATTAAGTACAAATAACTTACTACAGTTCATCAAATTTCTAGAGGCTTTCGACGGCTAGACAGAGAAAGCACTACTGACAGGCATCCCGACGGATTTACGCAATGAAAGTATACTCTGCGCATCAAGTATTTCACTATTTCATTCAGACGTAAATGTCAGATGTAAATTTCGCTAAAACATTTCTTTTATTTTCGTTTGTGTTTTTTGCTCATTACAGTTTAATAGAACCTAAGTATGGAGTTTAATAGCAAATTAAGAGGCCGCGTGATTAACAGTCAATCTCGCGAAATAATAGCCAATGTTATAGAGTTTATGAGAAGAGAAGGAAACTTTAATTCACCTTCAATACCATTTAAAAATGTAAATGATCGTGTTGCTGCAGCCACAGGAGTATCTAAAAACACTGTCGTCTGCATTTCTGGAGAGAAAAAAAGAATCGATAACCGTGAGATATCGGAATTTTCATCACCAAGAAAAACCATTAAAAAACCAAAAACAGTTAATGATATAGATGAAGCTGCACAAGAATCAAATTTTATTTTTTTATTATTATATAGCTATGTTTGTTTCTGAGTTGTGTTCATTTACAGGCTCAATTTTTTTCCGTTTCTCCTTTTTGATTTTATATGGGGTTTCAAGTTGTTTTTGACTTATTTCGACGTAAATCACAACAACACACTTTTTTAATAAAGCAAACAAGTGTTAAGAGGTATATGTACGTGTAAACTACAATTACAAAAAATTGATATGAAACCCATGAAACCACGAACAAAAATGTAAAGCTAGCTTCCGTACTAGAACATGGTGTCATTCGTCGAGATAATTTATCGTTTTGTTTAATAGATCAAGAAATGTAAATATTCCCCTGTTATTTTTTATAAAATTATAAGAGAAATAAATTTTTTTCTAAATAGTATAGTTTATTATTTTGTAGAAAAACAAAATTTCGAAAATTTTAGTAATGTTTCAGAAACAACCGTTATTAATAATAGGTACCATTTTCCTTAATAAGGTAGAAATAAAATATAAACTATTTCCACGATTTACAAAGGCCTACAAAAAAATTATAGGTATTTTCCGCTATCCTATAAAATTTATATTTTCTGACTCAATTTCAAAAGGTTGAAGGAATTCCAAAACACCTTTTATGGCATAATAATTATTTTCAATTCTACATACTATCTTTAGCTGCTTTTAAAAACGTTCTAAGAAAGTCCAATCAGACCAATTTAATCCCTAAACTATTCCACACTTTTAAAATTTAATTACCTAAAAATATTAAAAACTATTTAAAATAACTTGTTTAGCAGACTGTACAATAGCTATCTTAGTCACACGTAGCGCGTTCTCTGTCTGGGTGTCGAACACCTCTAGAAATTTGATGAACTGTAAAAAGAAATATTATTATCAGAGATAAGGGATATAAAGATAGGAAACGCTCATAAGAAGCCCATGCTTAACAACGACTAGCTCCATCGCAGTTAACATCCGACCCACTATGTGGAGCTTTCATCGATATCAAACAAATAATGCAGAGGGAAATTTTAAAACCTGATAATAAAGGTTGTATAAATATCGATTGCACTCTCATGTTGTGGTAAATAAATTTAAAGAATGTTAATTACGCTAAATTATTTATTAAAAATAATACTACACTTACAGTCTATTATCGATTAATTATTGTAAACCTATTCAAGATAAATAGCTTTTTAATTTTTTATCGTTTTTTGTAACTTTAACATTTTGATTCCTATTTACCAAACGAATGGCCAACGGTGTCTCATTTGTAAAAATGTTGAGTCCAAACTCAATAATGGGAATTCATATATTGTTCTTCCTATATCAAATCTTCTTTCAAACGTTTTGAAGCCATTTTATTGTTCTAAAACAATAAATAATAATAAATACATACTTTGTGACAAAATTTGGCTACTGTTTGTGTTACTTACATTGCTAGATATTACTTTGGTAAATTAAAGGAACGCATGTGCAGGGCGAGAGGGGTGTAGCCGGGACTAATTCCCCGGGCTCAAGTGGGGGCCCGGCAGGTTTAGATGAGGACGTTCGCCATAAGAGCAGAAGAGGGGGGACCTTTTTTTGAGATTTCAGTAAAAAGGAAGAGAAAGGAGAAATTAGATTTTTTTGATCTTGAAAGGGCCTAATGTTTTTATAACATGGCTGTCGGCGGCCCTGGGCATGTGGTACTAATGAAATATGTTATCCGACTTATTGTAATATTACAAAATATAATAATTATTGTCCTCAAATTTCACACAAAAACAAACATAACCATTTTGCTTAGTTCATCTAGAAGATAACACAATCATGAACTCAACATTTAAAATTCAAATTCAGGATTCTACGATATACATACAACTAATTAACATTTATATTTACAAACTGTGTGACAAACTGTCCACTATGCTGTCCATGTCTACTGTCTATTTAAAAACGACGTGTACCTTTAGTTAACATCTGGGATGCATAGATGACGCCACCGTTACTGCAGTCGTTGCGTTTTCTATCTATATGTCCCTGACCTGTGTTTAAATTAGGCGAGCAACAGAGCTGTCATTTAATGTCAGTTCGCGGAATACGTCAACTTCGCAGTTGGATTTCGAAGCGCAAAAACCTACTTAGGATAATGATCGTAGAACAAATATTTTTTCTACTAGCGTGTACTCATTTTAGTGTTGAAAGAGTCACTTTTCCGCACTAGTGCGGAAAAAACATTTCCGCAATAGTAAATTTGTTAAGTTTTTGGGGAGTAAACTGACATTTGAATATTTAAAATATATATTTGTATAGTAGTTGTAGTTTACAAAATGACTGAAAAATTAAGAAATTTATTAGAATTCTGCTATAATTTTTAATAAAAAGAAACGTATGTTTCAATAATTTTTTAATTGCCCTGGTATAAGCCTCATCAAATGAATATCAAATTAGTAATTTACGTTACTAGACCGGAAAGTAGTGTTTTACAATTCGAGACAAGCAGATTCCAGGGCGAGCCGTAGGCGAGTCCTGGAAGCTTGGTGAGACCTGTAAAACGCTAATTTCCGGTCGTGTGACGTACAATATTTTTTTTAAGACCGACTTTTTAATGTAAACTAATTTTATTTGTTTTATTTTATAGTTATAATTAAGTAATAATCAACAAATACTACATACAACTAAACAGAAACTAGATAATGCCTAAATTGGCCAAATACATTATTTTTGAATATTTATGTTAAATGTACAATTGTGAACGTTAAATATCTGAAGGGAAGATGTGTCTGAAATACTGGAAATTGTTATGTTTTTTGTAGCGGTACTAACAAAATTAGTTGGCTGCATATTGTTTGTGGAACATCCCGCATGGATTTTGTTTGCTATATCAATTTTGTTTTTCATTGAATTTTCAAGATAACCTTCTGCTACGGTTGAGGATTTCCATCCTCCGTGCCGTTTTAAATTTATAAGATCGTCCCCTCCATCTACTAGCAGAGTTGCTGAGCTTCGACGAAAGCAGTGACCTGTGAATTCGCTTGGATTTTCCAATTTAAGATAGGAGGCGATTTTGCTAAGGGCTTTTCCCACAGAATGCAAACCTACTGCTTGGGTTGAACACTTCTAATTTAAAAAAAAATAAATAGTCGTTTATGGTTGGTATGCGGTGGCCTCAATTGCAAATAATTCCTATAAAGTTGAAAATCTCTTTGGGAATTTACAATAAACGTTCTGGTGGTATTCGTTTTGGTTATGGGAATTTTAACTATCAACATTGTTTCCTTATCCTCGATATCATTAAGTGTCATATTAACGAGTTCTTCCCGGCGACATGCACCTGCGGAACCCATAATTAAAAGTAACTAGAATAGAATTAAAATTTATTGTAATCAGTTCTTACTTCGTTTCTTTGATTTTAACTTACCTTGAGCATAAGATATTCGATATCGGGAGCATTGTTTAGAAATGTTTCGATTTGTTCTCTTGACATAATCTTAGATTTCTTTGCTATATGACCAACCGATTTCTTTTTAATAAACGCTATTAATTTGAAAAAATTGTTGATATTTACATTATCTTTTACAGTCATCGTAGATTTCAGCATGGAATATAGGCTCCATAATGATGAAGGAGCCAGTTTTTGTGATTTTTCGGCAAAATATGCCAAAAGCACTTCTTCGTTTACATTTTTTACTTTTTTTTTCTCGGCACCAATTTTTAAATGAATCGTATGTCTTTTCATAGCGGGTTTTTGATTTTATTGGTAATAAATCGTAAATAGCTTTCTTCGTTGTTTCTAAAATATCTTGTGGAATTTCATTTTCAGCATCTGAATCCATATTATTTGTAAATTTGAAAACTCACAAATCCAGTTTGACATAAACAATTAGGCATTCCAACGACCTGTCAAACAATAGGTACCAGTGGGAAATTCTTGTATATTTAAGGGGGTAGCGACATAGTCTTGCAACTTGGACGCTATTTTTATTCGAAGTAGTACTCGCCAAGCCTGCCAATTTATGAAGAAATGTATAGGTGGGTTTTTTAAATATTATTTTTATTGTGTTTGACATAAAATATTTAAATGTAATCCATTATTCATGATTTTACGTAAAGTAGATAGAATACACCATATGTCGCCACCCTTAGACATACCGAACCTGCCCACTGGTAATTCATTTGTTTGGAATGCCTAATAAATTAAAAATCAACGAACTGTCACTTGACAATAAATTGCAAGGCAGCCTGGATTATCAAACAGCGATTGGAAACATTGAAAAAGAGGGACCGGTAATAGTAGTTTTTTTACCGGTCCCTAGAGTCTACTTTCTGGTCTATACCGCCAAAACGTTACTTTCTGGACGAAAAATTGTCCAGAAAGTGTATATTTTCTGGTCGGTCTTAAAAAAAATAATAAACATCTGACATTTTTTATTTGTCACTTTGAATCACCGTATCACATCCGTATCAACAAAGAAATAATAAACCTGTCAGTCAAAACACTACCTTGTCAAAACCAATTTTACAGTCGCATCTTTTTCTAGAATATAATTTTTCATGGATTCTTTAGACGAAGTTTTGGAAGCGGCTAGAACTGCAAACTTGGATCTACTACCATCAAAATCCCGTTATATGTATGAAAAGGAATATATTTTGTTTGAAAACTGGTGACAGAATAAAGGAATTAAAACTTTTAAAGAAGACGTTTTTTTGGCTTATTTCGCTGAAATGTCCAAAACATGCAAGCCAGACACTCTTTGGTCCAGGTACTCAATGTTAAAAAGTGTAATTAAACCCAAAAAAGACGTCGATTTCAGCAAGTTTTTCAAGGTCATGGCATATATAAAAAAAGAAAACATTGTATTTAGACCAAAAAAGGCAAACATTTTCTTAAAAGGAGAAATTTTTAAGTTTATAAATGAAGCGCCTGACAAAATTTATCTTCATATAAAAGTCGCTACGATTTTTGGTTTGGCGGGCGCATGTAGGCGAGAAGAATTAACAAAGATATCTTTAGATCATATTGATGACAAAGGAAATATTTTATTGATAAATATCTCAGACACAAAAAAAAACACTCTTTCAGAAGCTTTGCGATTTCTGAAGAAGCTGAAAATGGAAAATTGCTTAATTTGTTCAGAAATTATGTGAGTTTAAGAAAGCCTGAAACCACACAAGCGATTTTTCGTGAAATATAAGAAAGGAACTTGCACTGTACAATGTATCGGAATAAACACCTTCGGAAAAATACCATCAGAGATTGCAAGTTATCTGAAGCTTCCAAATCCTGAATTATATACGGGCCACTGTTTCCGACGTTCCGCCGCCACAATGCTTGCAGATTCCGGAGAAGGAATAACAAATATTAAACGCCTCGGAGGTTGGAAATCGTCTAGCGTCGCAGAAGGTTATGTAGAAAGCTCACCAAGTTTCCAAAAGGGCCTATCCAATAAAATATTAAACCTCAATGACGCTGTCGCTGGCCCTTCCACTAGTCAGCAGCTGTTACCAGTAAAGCCTTCCAAAATTACCTCTTCCAGCCAAGTTCCCATCGCCACGGTTGCAACAATTAGTGCTGACAAAGCAGTGGAAAACCGAAATCTGACTTCATTGGAAAACATTTTAGCCTCTGCAATTAATTTGCAGAATGCTACAAATTGCACGTTCAATATTAACATTAAGAATAATTAATTTGTTGATATGTATTTTATAATAAATGTTTATTTACGTTAACTTTTGGGTTTTTCCGCACGCTAGTAGAAAAAAATAGTGTACCTAACACGTGCGTAAAGTGACTTCTTCGTTAACGCGTCGTGCGGCCATCTGCAATCGCGTGCAAAAAAGTATCACTTTCCGCACTTGTTAGGTAAACTACTATAAAAAAATGGTTTACGGAAACAAATGCCACAAAATATTTCTTTCTATTTTTCGAACATCCAAAAAACTGATTTTTTATAGTTTAGATTTTTAAAATCGATATTGTTTACAATCGATTCCTTTTTTACAATTGATTCATTTTACCATATACTGTTTACAATCGATTCATTTTACCATAGATACTGTTTACAATTGATTCTTTTTGACTATTAATATTTTTCCAATCGATACTTTTTACAGTCAGTTTTTTATATTAAATTTTTCGAAATCGATTTTTACAATCGATTCTTTTAACAATTATTTTTTGTAATCGGTTATGTTTTTACAATCGACACATTTAGAATCGACATATTGTAGTATCAATAAATTTTATAATCGATTATATTTACAATTCTTTTTTATCAAATAGATCAAAATAAATATGGCAGTTTTTACGGAAAGTAGGGCTTGTGATATAGGGCCGTTTACACAGTGTTTATTTGTTTATTTATCCCATCTTCTAATGTACTTGTATACAGGATAGCGAAAAAGTCTGGTAAAAAGGTATTTTCTTTGAAACGAATAAATGTATAATTTTGAAATCATAGGGTGATGAATTGGACTATATTTTGCATTGGCATCAAAGAAAATACCTTGTCGGAATTTTTCGCTACCCTGTATATGCCGGCCATTTGAAGGTAAAATTTAACAGGCCATCATTATAATTGGAGGCAGACAATTTTTGGGCTATTATTTGCCCAGACCAAAATTTTTTTTGGACATGGTTAAAATATTTACCAATTTTTATGGAATACCCTTTATATTCGGTATATTATTTAAAATAAGAATACGAACTTTTAAAGGAGAAATGTCTTTTTTCTACGATCACTATCCAAAGTAGGCTATTCAAATCTAACTGGAAAGTTGACGTTTTCCATGAATTGTTATAGTTTGCAGACGCCTATTTTCATTAGAAAATTTCATTAGAAAGGTTGTTATTATAAAGCTAATAATCGGTATTTTAAGAGAAAATGTAGACTAATCTGAATCTTTTAGGTGAACATTTAATACTCAAATTCACTTTTCCTTAATATTTAAAATGATAATTAAAATGATAATTAAAATATTAAAAATAAACTACCCTGTTTTTAACACCCATATTTAACATGTTTCGTTGGTGTAGAGCCTAGCGCGTTTGTCTTTGAAACTGACGGTCGTGAGTTCAATTCTCACCAGTTACTATTTATTTTTTTAAGTTTGATTTTTTTGTTCGTAAAATTAAATAAAACTTAAAACAGTGTATGAGCCAGTGTATGTAAGTTATTTTTAAGATGTACTTACTAACAAATATTTTTTATACGTATCATAAAATTAATCCTAGTGTAAGCAGGCAACACAATATACACAACATACTTCTAGTTTGCTAGTCAAGTTAGCCGTGTCTGTCAAATTAACGTAGTAAGATTTCAATTCGGCAAAATAAAACTATATACTTTTAATATCGTGTGATCGTAGAAAAAATCTTGTGTGTAATTCGAGCGGAAAGCTATTTGCCGCTTACGATAAAATGCCACACTCCGCTGCGCGTCGCGCTGCAACTTTTTATCTTAAGCGGCAAAGTAGCACTTTCCGCTCTTAATACACAAATAGCTATTGTATCCGATTAAAAGCCTTACCTATGCAATTTCTGGGTCCGGCACTAAAAGGTATATAAGCATACTGCGAATAAATCTTATTTTCTTCAAAACGACTAGGATTAAATTTATCGGGTTCAGGGAAATATTTAGGGTTCCTATTGACAGCAAAAATAATAACGAGTATTCCGGTACCCGCAAGTATCACATTACCATCTTTATACGATATATCTCTTTTAGTTTTTCTTCCGATATATGGCACAGGCGGATACATTCTTAATGATTCCTTGATAATCATTTCTAAGTATTTCATTTCCTGTAAGTCTCTATGAGTGGCAGATCTATTGCGGTCGCTTCCGAAGATTTTTTGTTGTTCCTCAACTGCCCTTTTCTGAAATTTATAGATGAAAAGTTTATAGAAAGAGAATAATTTCCTGACAGTAGTAGAATTTTAGGATTTTTAGAAGGTATATCTTTTTTTTTTTAATTATGATTATCAATATCTTGATAAATGGTTAAAAGCATTATTAAATATGGGTTAGTATCAATTCACAAGGAAAACTGCTTTGCAAGTAGACAGAGATATAACAGCTAATGCGCCCGCTTTGAAGTTAAAAAGAGACAAGTAATTGTCGACGACCGGCCAATATATCTATGATAATGCATGTGTTTGAAATCATCTAGGCATATGCAGTATCAACATTATAGTTCCCTGAAAATAAAAACCCAAATAAAAGGGTCGGCTTAAAGTTATTAATGTTTTTAATTGTTTCGTCTTGTATTTCACTGAATGAATTTTCAAAAAGCTCCTGTATTGACTCTCCAATGGATATCTCAAGGAATAAATCTTTTATTTGCTCTATTTAAAGGTCAAAAATTAGAAAAAAAATAGTTTGTGTTCAACACTCCAAAAAATTTTTCACTGAGGCCCAGGATCGGCTTTGTCTGCGACACTATCCACCACAATTTGACCTACCTCTACTACAACTCGCAAGCCGCGATTAAATTATGGTCACCTTGCGATTATAAATACATCAGTCGGATGTTATAAAAAACTATTAAAACATTTAAATTAGGTACCTATTTAATATAAATGTCTTCCTTGAATCATATGATTTTAGTTTACGGTATTATATAGAAAAACTAGTTTGAAGGACAGTTGTTGCTCATGTTATCTTATTTACAAATTCATAAACAACAAAATTGATTACGTCTATATGCTAGAAAACCTAATAATAATCACATTTCACTTAATTAATCTTTTTTTTATTCGAATGTGTCACCAGTTTACATAATCAAAAAGAATATAGAACTCTTATAGGATGTTTCAGCATGTAATGTACCTACTGTAGGTGTTGGACACTTGGATGATTCGAAATCATCCTTTAATTATAGGTAGTCATCTTAATATAACAAAAATAATAATTAAAATCCAGGTTCGGCTTAACAAAATTTGACCATTTCTTTCCGCTTCAAAAACAACATCCTATATAACCAAACTTAGCATATCTGATTAAATATCTCAAAAGGGCGGAAAAATCAGTTAAGTGTATTTTAAAATTTGCGCATGTCGTTTTAGAGGCATTAATTTTTTGATAAAAAATACATTTTTAAAAATTTGTTACCTTCAGAATTAAAAAATGATTTTTTGATGATAAAACACGGAAAATATTACTTTTTCAAGTATGCACTTTTCAAATATCTCAATTTTACCCTATTTCAGTCTTTGATTGAATGTTAGAAATAAGTTACAAGAGCGTAGTTAGCTAAACCAATAATTTGTTAAAATTTATTTTAAAATACCCTGTATAATGAAAAATAGGAAAATTAGGGATTAAAAATATTATTTCTACAAAAATGAGTTTAACACAAGATTTAATTTTAAACATAACTTTGTAATTATTACTCCTACAGTTAACTTTTTCTATTTAAATATTTAATTTAATTTCGTAAATAATGGGAATAACTCAAGAAAGCCCTAACTATTAAAACAATCTTCATCAACTTAATATTTAATCAAAATGACAACTATTTTATCAAATACCCCATTCAATAAATTCTTGGATTGCCAATCTTAGGATTATTTTTTCATATGAATTATGTATTTTCTGTTTTATAAATAACTTTATCTAGAAGGCAAGAAAATATTTAAACTTTTTGACAGCTAATAAATAAGTTTAACATCTTTAATCTAAGGTTTAACACGACGATTCACTACGGTTTTTTTGGTGCAAGCATTGTTGCTAAATAACCAAATCTAGAAATTCCTTAGCAATTCTCCAACGAAGAATATTCCAAAATTTTGTTTGCATACGGATTTTGTAATGGTAATAGTCGAGCCGCTGGTAAGGGAATATGAGAGGAGGTTTCCAGGTTTCGAACATATTCAATTTTTTTAAGCAGCACTGTCGTTTTCTTACAGCCAATACATAGATTAAAATGATTAAAAAATTAGTACTCGCAGAATAAGCAATGCAATAAATGTACCATGCGTTACTATCCATTCCTCATTCATGTACAAAGATTGGAGATGGGAGATGAAATACATAGGATACATTTTTCTAACTGGATTATTCAAAATAGAAGAATTCTTAATCGATGTTTATTTTTCGATGAATCACAATTCACTAGGGATGGTGTGTACACCTTAAAGCTGCGTTAACATGGGTCAAGTGACTTGATCAACTCACTTAAATTCAAGTGAATTGAACGTTTGAAAAGGTTTACACGTTTCATTTGGCATGAAGGCATTTCAGTAAGAAATGGCGCCTAGAAATTCATCGTGTTATTGTACAAGCAGTTTTAGATATTGCTAATGAAATGAAAAAAAAATATTGTCAATAAAACTGTTCGACGTAAAAGAAGATTCTGGTGTAGAGAATGGATTAAACGAAGAAGTGAACTAGGGGCATCAGCAAGGTTAATACAAGAATTAAAAAATGAAGAACCAGAAGATTAAAAACTTTTTTTTAGAATGTCTGAGAAGCAGTTTAACTTTTTACTGAAAAGAGTAACACCAAAACTTTTAAAAACTAAAATTAAAATTAGAAATAACACTTCGATACTTAGTTACCGGTGACTCTTTTAAAAGTTTAGAATTTCTTTATCGAGTACCTACCAAAAAGCACAATATCCCGTTTTATTCATGATACAATGAAAGCAATTTCTGATGCATTGCAAGAATTCATAAAGGTAAGATTAACCTAAAAAAAAGTATTTATTTTTTATTATTATGACGGGATTATTATGACGGAATCTAATAGTATTTTTACATTTTAAAATTTGTATTATAATCATCTTAGGACATATATAGTCAGGAAGCGTTAATCTAATCGATCTGACGGAAGTGGTAGCCATGTTGTACTGTGGATGACTCATCATCGTATGGTTTCTAAAATTAGTTTATAATTTTAGTGATTAAAATTTGTTAATAATTTGGATGTTTTATGTGGTAATTTAAACTTTCATCAAGCGTATGTTCTGTAGATATTTTTAAAAAGTGTTTAGTGTTTTAGTATTTATTTAGTATTACTGTTAATTTTAACTTTTCCACGGTAAAAGACAGACAAGACAATATGGTCAGTTTTTCGTCTTGTGGATATAGCAGCACAGATAAATGTAGAAAGGAATAATCTACATTTCATAAGCAAGTATTTTGTTCTCTCAATTTTCAACCACATTAAAGATTTTTATAATTTTTAATGTTTTAAATTTGTAAACGAATATGGTAAGTGCATCAGCGATGAACTGTGCTCATAGGCGTGGTCTTATGGTTTATAAGGTATACATACTTTTATTTAAACAATTCTTTTATGCAATATGAGATAAATATAGGAACATATTTTTGGGATAATTTATAGAGGGATTTCATTTGAAAAATCAAAGCAATAATGCATTTAAAAAGAAATACTGACTTTTTTACGTCTTTATTATGACAATGTTTATATTAATCTACATTTGAAAAATAAATATGTTTTGTAGATATGCGTTAAAAAAAATTAAATATCCTCTACTTATATTTAGGTCAAACACCGATGTGATATTTCTTTCTTAGATGTTTTTGTTGGAGTACATATAAAACTTCCTAATATCGAAGAGAATTTCTGATCATTTTATTACATAATATTATTAGTATTATTTTTTGCAGGACAATTTTGCATAAGCAGGTAAAATACCTTTCCAAGAAAGGATCCTATAACGTAATAATGATTCTATGAGTGCAAAATATATTATTTTTAAATGTACATTCAACGCATTATTTGTATGCTTAGTCCAGTTATGATGAGAGTCAATTTGTACTCTAAGGTATTTAATATCATTTGTAATACTTATATACTACTGAACGTTATCTTTTATTGTTTCTATAGGAAGAGGCCATCTTTTTGTAACTGTATATTGGAACAACATAAGTTTTATCAAAGGATTTTAAGTTTTTATAATTAAACCATTCGAAAATTTTTATAAGATCTGTTTCTATAATTAATTTTAATCAATTCCAGTTCTCTGCAATTTACAGAATAACTGTGTCGTCTGAAAAACTTACAATATTTCCATCTGTATTTAATGACAAATTATTTAAATTAAAATTAAACAAGATAGGACCTGAGACAGTATCTTGAAGCATGCGATATGCTACTTATTTCCTTACTTGAGATATTATTAATTCTATTTGTGTTCGTTTTTGTAAATAACTTTGTAATAAATTATATAGGGTGCATCACATTCATACAATAAACTTCTATTATACGAAAAAAACGGCACATGATATAGTTAGTAAAGAATTTATTTACTTATATACTTCAACCAGACCACTTTTATTGTTGGAACAGCTGTTGGTAGAAGTCTTATTCTTGGTTTTGAGGTTCGATCAAAACAATCTGCTTTAAAATGGCGTGAACACAAAAATTAAAATATTTTGGCTCACAATTTGTTTGTTGCATAAACTCAAGCCATAACTTTGTTTCTTTAGGAAATCTGAATATTGTTTACCTGGGATTAATTTATATAATTTGTAAATCTAAAATCTTTAAGAAATCTGAAAATTGTTTACTTACAACTAATTTATAAATCTAAATTAAACAATAATTTATTCATTTTAACAACCACATAAATATCTTAAAATTGCATAAAAGAATTGTTTAAATAAAAGTATGTATACATTATAGACCATAAGACCACGCCTATGAGCACAGTTGATCGCTGACGCATTTACCATATTCGTTTACAAATTTAAAACATTAAAAATTATAAAAATCTTTAATGTGGTTGAAAATTGAGAGAACAAAATACTTGCTTATGAAATGTAGATTATTCCTTTCTACTTTTAGCTGTGCTGCTATATCCACAAGACGAAAAACTGACCATATTGTCTTGTCTGTCTTTTAACGTGGAAAAGTTAAAATTAACAGTAATACTAAATAAATACTAAAACACTAAACACTTTTTAAAAATATCTACAAAACATACGCTTGATGAAAGTTTAAATTACCACATAAAACATCCAAAATATTAACAAATTTTATTCACTAAAATTATAAACCAATTTTAGAAACCATATGATGATGAGTCATCCATAGTACAACATGGCTACCACTTCCGTCAGATCGATTAGATTAACGCTTCCTGACTATATATGTTCTAAGATGATTATAATACAAATTTTAAAATGTAAAAATACTATTAGATTCCGTCATATTAATCCCGTCATAATAATAAAAAATTAATACTTTTTTTTTAGATTAATCTTACCTTTATGAATTCTTGCAATGCATCAGAAATTGCTTTCATTGTATCATGAATAAAACGGGATATTGTGCTTTTTGGTAGGTACTCGATAAAGAAATTCTAATCTTTTAAAAGAGTCACCGGTAACTAAGTATCGAAGTGTTATTTCTAATTTTAATTTTAGTTTTTAAAAGTTTTGGTGTTACTCTTTCCAGTAAAAAGTTAAACTGCTTCTCAGACATTCTAAAAAAAAGTTTTTAATCTTCTGGTTCTTCATCTTTTAATTCTTGTATTAACTTTGCTGATGTCCCTAGTTCACTTCTTCGTTTATCCATTCTCTACACCAGAATCTTCTTTTACGTCGAACAGTTTTATTGACAATATTTTTTTTTTCATTTCATTAGCAATATCTAAAACTGCTTGTACAATAACACGATGAATTTTTCTAGGCGTCATTTCTTACTGAAATGCCTTCATGCCAAATGAAACGTGTAAACCTTCTCAAACGTTCAATTCACTTGAATTTAAGAGTTGATTAAGTCACTTGACCCATGTCAACGTAGCTTTAAGGTGTATACACCATCCCTAGTGAATTGTGATTCATCGAAAAATAAACATCGACTAAGAATTCTTCTATTTTGAATAATCCAGTTAGAAAAATGTATCCTATGTATTTCATCTCCCATCTCCAATCTTTGTACATGAATGAGGAATGGATATAACCTATTACTTTTTAATGTTCGCCAAATAGTAACGTATGGTACATTTATTGCATTGCTTATTCTGCGAGTACTAATTTTTGAAAATATATATATTCTAAGATAATCATCATTTAGTAAGGAATTGACAGCTTGGGATAAAACGTCACTGCGACCCAGATTTGTAGGCGTTTGGTTACTGTCCTCCTCTACCTCTGAATACCCTTCACCTAACCATAACTTGGTGGTGGTGAATTTAAAAATTATTACTTTCGACGTGACTCGCTGGCCTTGAATAGTTTAAATCCCTACTGTTTGGTGGTGGTGAATTCAAGTGTGGAGACTGAATCTCCTATTCTTGCCTTGGATAGAATATTGTTAAACCCAGTGCTAGTGCCACTTATTCTCTTTGCACATAAAAAAAAATTTATAGTATTATCTTTAAAATTGTGTCTTCTAGGATTAAACCAGAATGTCTATTATTTATACAAAGTTCTTGCTATTTCCGACGGAGCAATAACTCTTGAAAGAAAATACCAAACTTAAAACTTGTTAATGTTTGCTATTAATTCAAAATTAACTTTTTAATCCTTAATTTCCTTATTTTTCATTATACAGGTACTAGTTTTGCGTATTTTGAAATTAGTTTTGCACATGAAGTTATTAAGATCATGCGTTAATTAACTGTTTACTTACTTGTACTTCAGGATGGGTAGATAAACAATAAAGTGTGAAACTCAATGAAGTTGCAGTTGTGTCATGGCCCTAAAAATAAAAATATTACCTAATAAATACTTCTGTACGCAAGAAAATAAATAAGTAATTTTTGTTTGGGTTGTAATCGTTTATTTGTTGTTGTTAAGAGCTGCTGTGAGATTCGAATCAACGCGTCGCGTCGTTTACATTGAATGACAGGTTTGGATTTCACTTCCAAGTCGCCATACAATTAATAATAGGTACATTGAAATTACATTAAAATAGACTTACTGCAAACATAAAAGTATCAACTTCTTGCCTAATTTCATTATCAGAGAGTTGTCGTCCATCAATGGTAGCATCTAACATCAAATCCAAAAACACTTTCCTCTTTTTTATACCTTCATCCTCATCGTTCTTTACCATTGTTTCCTTTTTAACATTGCTCTTCAGTTCTTGCTTTCGTTTATTAATGATTTTCAAAGTGTGGTCATGCAAAGTTTTCACGTGATTTAAGTCGGCGTAGTAATCGTTGGTCAAGGGGAATGTCAAATCAAACTTTTTTATAGGAGAATATATACGTTCAATTAGGATACGGCATTTTTCTTTTACTGCATTGATGTAGTCTGATTTAGGATTTCTTTGTGCGTTTATTGATACTCCCATAGTAGTTTCTAAAAAGAATTGAAAATAAGCTATGTCTGGCCAGGTAGACAAAAGTAATTTGATATGGCTGTAACGTTATATATAATGAAAAATAGATTTATCACCAGAAATTATGTCTAAAGCACTCATCGCAGCATACGGGAATACATCAAAGGTCTCTGCATCAGCTTTTTCACTCAATATTTCTTTTAAAATATCGGCATTAGAATTAAAAGTTTCAATAAAATTTTCTAAAATAGAAAAATGAAACGATGGCGTTAACATTTTTCTTGATTTCTTCCAGATTTCAGCTAAAAACAATTTTTCAGAATTATTGGAAAAGCTTATAATTAATAAATAAAAAACGTTTTGTAATCATCTTTTGAAAAGGTAGTCAAGAAGAAAAATATAAATGTCTTCTACTTACCATCTGCTGTAAGTAATCCACTGCCTAACCAATTTGATAAAAATTTGTATTCATACGATTTATCCAAGATATCCATTTTTCCCAATAGGAACTCTAAAAATTCCGGATTTGAAGCCACTATAAATTTTGCTGTGATTAACTCGATAGTAAATAGACCGTCATATTTTTCGCAATATTTCATAAATACTTTCAGGATTTCTGAAAAAGAAAAGGAATAATTTGTTTTTCGTCCGTTTTTCCGAGTTCCAAAATATCAGTGTAGAAATACTTTAATGCCTTAACCTTATGATTTCTACTAAATAATTATCAATAAATCATATCCATTTCTAATACTATCACCCATAATTATATTATGCTAATGATATCCCAATAAAGTAATTTTTCCTACTACCACTTAGGAAAGTGACACATATCGTACTATTTAGTCTCATCGGTATATTTACTTAATAGTTCATTCGTGTTTCCAGTCAACAAAGGACAAAGGTCTTCGTATCATTACGTAGGGACCTATTATATTATATATGGTGTTTCGTTAAGAATGGGACATAGAACAACTGACGATTCTCTAAATAAAATAAGACAACTAAACAAATCATGCTTAGATAAAATGTTTCTCGTTTCCGAATTACGGTGTTAAAATCCAAAAAATATTTATCGCTATATTTTTTTATTACTCACAAAAATTTTACTTAATTAGGCAAACGTTTTTGGTGTCATAATATCCACCTATCAGCAAAAAAATTAGTTACCGTAATTAACTTTTCCAGTAGCGTACAGCATTGGTACGTAATACCGCATCTCTCCTAAATTTTACGTTTTATAATAGGAAATACGAAAAAAATTAATATAAAAGTTGTATGACCATATCTAACAATTATTTATAAATATACAGGGTGATCCATAAACGATTGTCTGACCAAACCTATACATTTTTAAAGCAAAACACCCTGCAGGTAGTAATACATATTTGATTGTTTTCACATCGTTTAACAATAATTTCAATTTCATTCATTTGCTATGTTGTATATAGGGTGTGTCAAAATGGTTACGATTTTCTCAATTTTCTAAATGGAACACTCTGTATGTTATGCCACCAATTAATTAATACAGGGTATTCCATTGAAAACAATTTAAACATTTGTAACCTCGCGTGATGACACACCCTATATATAATATAGCAAATGAATTAAGTCAATTAAAATTATTTGACGACGTGAAAACAATCAAATATGTATAACTATCTGAAGGGCGTTTTGCTTTAAAAATGTATAGGTTTGGTCAACATCTCGTTTATGGACCACCCTGTATATATAGGAATAATTTTTAAATATGGTCATACAACTTTTTTATTATTTTTTTTTTATTTTTAATAATAAAACGGCTATCGATCAATTGCGCACTGATGGGACACTCTGTATATATGTTATTCTCTATGGTTGGATATGCAAATTTATAAGGAATTGTATGCAAAAATATTATACCGGGTGCTGCCTTTGAAAAAATTGAGTAATAAAAGAATCCAGCACTCTTACTACTATTCGTTATCTTAATGTGGTATAAGTCAGTATATTAAACAATTTTGAAATCAATGTAATCTTACCTAAATTATGATAATTTAATTTGGATCTGCATCATTCTCTAATTTCATAAAAATTTAATTGCTTGGCAGACCTGTAATATTTTTTTAAATTATTCTAGGGTTGAATTAGTATATTACACACCGAGGTGGAAAGAGTTTCATTCATGTCGGGCCATCAGTTAGATCACCGAGACGCGAAGCGTCGAGGTTAGCTATGATCTCGAGACAGGAATGAAACTTCCTACCGAGGTTTGTATACTATTTTATTTACAACCATCATGGGAAATGAGGGCGGGAAGTAAGGGCGGGAAGTAGAGGTGTGTAATGTGACACTTCCCAACCTTCAATGACGTTAGTAATGACAACATTACATATATGGTTGTAAATAAACAGTATTACCAAACCATTCTAAAATTGAAATTAAATACATGTTCTATTTTAAAAATATGCCAGGAAAAATTGTAACACCCTGTATATCCAAAAATATTTTTAAAATATGTATTTTTCAAATCCATATAACTTTTCTTTAAAACATGTTTGCGTGTCTATAACACAAATTAAAATATTGAACAATTACGCACTAATGGGACATACACATGGGTACATACACATAGCAGTTAACGTGTTAACTCAGAAATAAGATTCCTTATAAATATAAAATAACAATTAGAAGAAGAAAGCCAAGTCCGCAAATATTATGTGCGTATCATACAGTGATGCCAGGTCATTCAGATTCAAATTACATCGGAATGCAATAAAGTTCCTTCCCTTTCCTGCATTTCACCATTGTATATTTCACCCACTTTAAAATGAAATTCGTCCTAGAAAGAATTGAGAAATTATCGTATAAATCGATAATCTGGCAACGTGGCCAACACCTGTTCATACACAGGGAAAATAAATCGATTTTGTAGTTGGAACCAAGCGAGACAAATATATATGAAAATCGCGAAACAATAAAAGACGGCATACAGCTGTATCACTGATTCAAAAATTAGTACATCTAAACTAAACAATCATTCACCTATTAAAACCATCTCTAAAACAGAGTAGCTACATTTTTTTTTTTATGATGACCTTCTTAAAAATAGATAAACTACACAATTACAGGAATTCATAGAAAATCTCTAATTTGACAAATAAATTTATCAAATATTTGTTAATCGTATTTCCATTTAGATTTGAAAAATACGCAATAAAATTTAGAAATATTTTAAATTAGTTTAATTATATTTTATTATAAACCAAAGTGTTATAATTAGAAAGAAAAATAAAACGTTCTTTGCACACTAGTGCGTAAAGGAATATACTTTACGCACTAGTGCGTGAAGAAAATACACATAAAACCTTCATTTTTTTATAAAACTTCCGGTAGTAGAAAAAATATTGTATGCAATTCGTGTGTAAAGTCCCTTTTTTAGGGTAACTTTACACACTTGTTGCATAAATAGCTATTTTTATTTGCATTCAATTTTCCCTACACTTAATTTGAAAATATTCAGTTTAAAAAAAATCATAAATAATTTTTTTTTCAAATCTTTAGATTAAGAAAATCCTTCCAGATAATTGTCAGACTGTAGGTCAGCACATCTAGAACAGTGTATATGATAATCTGACGCGCTCGAGTATTTTAAAATGGCGATTTGTTTGCATTATCAAAAAGCCGCCGCAAGCTTGCAAGTTTTTTTTATTTTCTACCCTCGCAAACGACCACCCACGCCTTGCAAACCAGCAAATTAATTTAACATACCTTCCATTTTTGAAAATCTGTATATCATTTGTATAATTCAGTTGACATATGCCTTCATGGCTCAGAACATTAAGTGTTCCACTTTATCAATTTTAGATACCGCGACTCGGGTCCAATTCCCGATAAACAAGATTTTTTTTTTATTTTCAATACATTTTATTTATCATAATATAATCCCTAAAATTAGAGAATTTGTTATTCTTTTCACTAATTATTTTGAACTATTTGGAAAAAATTGAAAGTGGATAACTAAATTTAAATTTAAATAAAAAAAATCAAATTTTATTCTAGCTTCACAAATATTGATATTTCAACCCTAGAATCCTTATATAACGTATGACAAAACCAGTGTGGAGTTGACTGGTTAAGAAGCTAACATGGTAACATGAAAAAATATACTATTGCTTTCAACTGAACGAATATATTTCATATCCATTATAATAGTGAAACCACTGCAAAAAAATGAAATCCACCAACCACAGTTCAGTACATTTTTTTGTTATTGAGACTAAATTAATATACCTACATTAAAATTAGTTATTCTTGTGTAAAATCGATAAATAATAGCATTTCTATTTTTATTTAGTCTATAATTATAAATAATTCCTTAATTTTAATAAAACTATATGGAACATAGATAAATTAATAAAACAAGATGAATTTTTTAAATGCACGCCACTGTCAACACGTGGTAGTTCCCAGAATACTATTAGGTAGCGCCACCGTTGCAATAGTATGAAAGCGATGTTGCCGGTTTCCGTAAACTTTCATGAGATGAGAGTTATTTCAAATTCATCTTACTTTAATTTTTTATCAATCTACATACGCACCATAGCATCCATACAATGTCCATACTATTGCTGGGATTTTTAAAAGAAGGAATTGACAACCTCGTAAAAAATTAAAAACCGTGATGGCGGAAGGCCAAATATGATAATGAAATGTTAAAACTTATTTTATGAATTATGATGAAAGTTCTAAAGATCGGCAAGTTATTTTTAAGAAGATAAACAGTGTTGATTTGATGTAATTAGTAAGTATTAGCAATTTAATTTAATATTAAAGGTGTGTAGATTTATTTAAGGACTTTGTTTGTCATTGTTTTCTTAACCTTATATAATTTCATATTTCATAGATTTTCAATTCTGTTTTTATATTTGAAACAAAAAATGTCTGGCCCGGGTATAGTCAAGTATTCTCGAGAGTATTCTTGTTCAGCTCCTAATTGTTTAAATTATTCTAAAATTCAGAAAGTTGGATAATCAAATATTAAACCTTTTTCATTTTCCTTCCCATATTAAAATTTGCCAGAACTGGTTTAAGACTTTAAATTTAACTTTAGATAATAATACTCGCTATCTTTGTACGGACCATTTTTGCCTGAGTCTTTTAGTAGGGTTTCATCAAAACGTAAACTGTTAGTTGGAAATTCTGTACCAATTTCATTAGATAATTGTGCATCCAGTATCCAGTTCCAATATACAACCTGAGAAATAGATTTTAGAATAAGTTGAGGCCGAAGAACAAATATAGCAGCATAAGAAAAACAAGAAATTAGTTGCAAACTTAATAATTAGTGATGAACAATTTGAACGACCCTTGAAACGAAGAAAAACAATAAATAAATAAATAAATAAAAGTAGTCAGAAATTTAAGTCCTAAAGAGAAAAAGTTGTATTTTATTAATATTTGATAAGAGGAATTGTTCAATAAGACATATGTACACTTTTTGTTTTGTTTTTATAGGAAACACGGGACACCCAACAAAATATGGTCCATTTTTTCAAGAATGGGGGAAACTACCTACTATTAATTTTACTTACAATTGTTATTTAATATTGAGCTCATGTATGTATGTATTACTTACTGTATAATAAATAATTAAAATATATATTTCATATTTTATTTTAATGTAAATATTTTTTGGGGTTTTATTACAAAAAACTAATATTTATGTTAAATGCATTATTTTGATGTAAATATTAGTTTTTTTTAGAGTAATGAATGCCAAAAAAATGTAAATAAATAATAAATTATATTTGAATGAACCGCGGTTCGCTTAAAGCTCTTCTTTTTTTATTCTTCTCTTTCTTATTCGGCCTCTAACTGGCAAGTCAATCAGCCAGTGTAGTTAAAAAAAAATCCGTTCCATACTAATTCGCAGCACTATTTGTTTCCAAAAATTAACATGGGATCCGACTATCTTCTTTATTAATTTATCTATGATATGGAGTCAATTTAATTACGAGTATTAAAGCAAATTTTTTCCAAACCAAACCATAAAAACAAATATGGAAGTAAAAAAAATTAAGTTTTAATTAGTTAATTATTTATACAATTAAATAAGTAAATTGGTCACGTATGTCAAATTAACATCGTTATTAGCTAAGTATCGACGGTTTTATAAAAGTGTCAATGTTTTTTCTTTTTTAATAAATTTATCTATAGAAAAATATAAAAATTGTCTATAATGTAGGCATATTATTGCGCACTTTAAATAAGTACACTTTAATGTGTACTTTAACGAACTTGAAAATTTGGTAGGCAAGTTACAAAGACTCTAGAACAGAAAAATGTCCCAGATACAATATGTAAATGGATCAGTACCAGTCTAGAGAATGGGATATTTTTATCCACTCTAGGAAAGACAACCATACAGGTAAAAGATACCAGAGACAACCCAGCGAGACGTGTAACTCAATGTACTTTTTTTTTTGTTCGGTAAAAGTTGTTTGGGCGATTGTAACCACAACCAGTCTATGATGACGTCACTAGTAAATAGCGGGAAAATTAAAAATGTTTTAGGACGAGAAATTCAAATATGGATTCAGAAATAGTTTTTCTATACAAATTTACAAGAGAAACGAAAACTATTGTTTCACTGTATATTAAAAAATATAAAAGCTTACAATAACATCAAATTTTTTATCATTTTAATAAAGGAATTTTTAATCAGTTTAACATAAGCAGTGAACATAGTTTTTATTAATCTTGTAAATTTCGCTAAAAAAAAACTTAAAAATTCTATTGATTATTAAATATTTAAACTTGGAAAAATAATACACTAAACTCTTTTTCTATAAATTATATTTTTGTAAGGTACAGAAAAACAAACTACATTTACAAAGTACTTCGTATCATTTTGTTACAAATTACAAAGAAAGTCACAGTTGTTATATATTCATAATATATTTAAAAAATGATGTAACAAATATTTTATAAAGTATAGAGTATTTCGATACCTTTTTGCCAGACTATCATAAGTGCCATTTTAACAAATGTCGCTTACGTTAAAAGGTATCGATATGTTATGACTGTTTATTTTAATAGAAACCATGGAGACGAAACAAACACACACATACACTCACACAAATGTATAAGGCCCGAGCCGAGTAAGTTCACATCCTGTAAACTGGATCGAAACCTGCTAGACACATTCCGAACACCCCCCTGCTAACTCCTCTTAGGGTCATCAAAATCAATAGATTCCTATGCTTTGCCTTCTAAAAGGGAACGAAGGATGACATACTATCATCATTTAAACAGGACGTTGCTGAAAGCTTATCCCTGTTATGTCGTTTGTTTGTGTATCTTGTGCGTGTGCATTCCTGTTGTGTTCCCAGTCGTGTGAAAGTTGTCCTAGTCTCCTAATTTGGTGAATGGGTGGACCTTCTCCAACTAGTCGTCTAATCTATTCGATCTGCTCTGTAGCAGGAGGTAGGTACTTTTCAAACATAGCAAATAAAAATATTAATAATAAACACTATTTAAAGATGAATACATTTTTGTAATTTTTACCAGGGTATACCTATTTTCCATACTCCATTAATTATATATTACCTTACGATGTTTGAATGAATATAACATTTTACCCATGAAAAATGTAATTTCGAATTTAAATCTTTTTCAATTTCATTTGAAACAATTGGTATATTACAATTTATTATCATGGCAAATATTCTAATAAAGTTATAGCAAATCCTACTTAAACTACTGGTTGTTCTGCAGGATAAATTAACTTTTCTTAAGATTCTCTAAAACCCAAAACCGACCTGATGTTCCCAAATTTATTTTCCAATGCACCCTGATTTAAAATTCTGCCATTTTGTGATTCAATTTTTTTTTTCTTCGTTTAAATGACTCTACAATCTTCTAATAGCCACTAGTGGCTATTAGAGATAAGTGTGTGTAAGAAAAAGCCAATCTCTAAACATTTCAAAAGTCCTTTGCCAATACTACATGTGCAGAGATTTTTTTACTCAGCATACATTTCACTTCTTTTCTAGTAGGTGGGAACTTTGTGCTGCCATTAAAACTGTCGAGACATTCATTCACCTACTTAATGAACAAAAATAGCTGTAACAATGGACCTCTGTTCCAATTCACCTAAAATATTTATAGCCATTTTGTAATATATTATTAAACGCACACATTATACAGTGGTTTTCTTAATAAATTGGAAAGAAAACGCGAGTATGGTTCCAGAAATTGCTTCATGCAAAAAATAATATGCGAAAATAAACATTCTCCCCCTCCCCAAAGAAAATTAATTAAACAACAAAATCAGACTCAAAGAAATAAACGGGGCCCAAATTAAATTAATTTTAATAAAATGCACACGTTCATAACAACATTCATAACATTGTCAGTTGCCAGTTCTAATCGATACGTCGACGTCAAAAAACCAGCAACATCAGCGACCTCTAAGATTGGTGTTAGTTTTATTGGAGAGAAATAAATATATGTAAAGATCAATATAAAACAGAAAGAAAGTCATATATGTAATTTAAATGGACCACCGAACAAATTTTTCTATTAAGTTACACGTCTCTGTTGTCTCTGAAGATACACTGTTATACCTGATTACAATCATATGACGGTACACTCAACAACGTTGTTAATTTTAAAATATAATATTAGCATACATTGCCGATATTTCTAATGTTTATGTTCCAAAATTATCGCGTCCGTTTTTTTTTTAAATTATAACTTAAAGGGTAGAAATAGTGCCCAGATTATATGTCGGATTTAACGATCCTTTTCCAATGCAGGTAAGCCCAAAAATTTGATGCTCAAATTACGCCCGCTTGTTTTTGTTTCTATAAGCATATATGAATAACCGCTGGGATATTATCCGGAAAGTCAACATAATAATAGGGAGGCAATCGAAGTTATTATAAAACCAGTATAAGATCAATAGGGCATTAAGAGAAAATAGTTTTATTTTTATTTTAATTCAAATTCTTTGCAATAACTTTTAGTTTATCTTAAGGCAACTTTAAAACCAATAGCGTTTTATTGAACATATTAAAGCACCTTTAAAACCTAAATAAATTTAAATTATATTAAAATTGTTACTTATGATATAAACAGGATCACCCTGTAGAGACAATAAAAAAAATAACCAACCTCAAATTGAAAATTATTGTATGTTTTTTTTATTATATTTTTTAAAGTAGGTACCTGTAGAATCTCTAAGTTCTAGAACATTTCCTAAAAGCGGTACTCGTGGAGCTTCTGGCAGCCATTTCATTTTATTTCTTCTTTTTTCTAGCTGTATCCACCAATATGATACCAGGGCAACGAATAAACCAACGAGTACTGGCACTAAAATGGCCATCCTGAATTTTTCTCGGTTAACTTCTATTTGGGTTTAGCTTGTTACTTTTGGAGCTAAAAATATGAAAAAACAAAATATGAATTAGGTATTGAAAAACATTATAGAAATTATAAAATATCGTACATAGAATTATAGAAAGTTATATGTATGGACCATAAAAGTACAAATTAATGATAGGTTACTAGATCCAAAAAAAACTATCGATTATTAATCCGAAAAAAAGTTTAGTCCACAGTCCACCCCTGCTTTTCTTGATTACCATAGATTAAAAACTTTCGTATATCTGTCCCAATACAGTACCGTATTAAATACCTTCCTTTCCACCACGACGCTAGGCGTCTCGACGCGAGGCGGCGCCCATCGTCGCGACATACCTAAATCGACGCCGTCACAACGCTAGATGAAATTAGTACATAATCTAATGTCTGTATTTTCAATGGTGAGTCAAAAGATTTATGTACCTTTCTTTGAGATACCATCCGGGTTTCGTTTGAGGGCAGGCTTGACATTTGCTGTAAAATATCAATAAACCACATGGCCTTCAGGTCATACACCCCGAAAGACAAGATAGACATCTGTTTTTTCGATGGGTGAACTTTTGAGTATTTTAATAGAAATTATAAAAATCGATATTAAGAAATATACAGGGTTGTATTAAAATATTTCAATAAAAATTATGATAATTAATATTAAAACATATACAGGGTTGTATTAAGTCATATCAATAGAAATTATAAAAATAAATATTTTGGAAATATACAGGGTTGTGCTATCTTGGATAAATTGTACAAACCAAAATGGTAAAATTTAATAGTTAGTTAACCAACTGGCGAATACGCTGTTCGTTAGCTCAAGGAGGGACACCTATACGCTAAGCAACCCGTTCTACAAGGTTTGAAACAAAGTATATGTGAAATCAACATAGTAAGGTAATCAACTGGCGAATTGACGCTATTTGTTACTTCCGTTAGTCATCACCTCTATACTCATCGTAATATTTACCTAAGAGGGTGCAACCTGTATATATCTAGAATAGAATCAAATCAACATCAACTCAATAAGTTAACCAACTGGCGAATTGACGCTGTTCGTTAACTCCGTTGGTCATCAACCTAAATAAAATATATATTGATAGCAAATGAATATGGTCTGCGTTTGAACGGGAACGGGAATAGTAACAATTGTAATATACTTTGCTAATTATTGCATCACATTTAAAGTATGAAAAATAAAAATAGTTTAAATATAAATTTGTATGTTTTATTTATCAATTTGCACCAAACTTTGCATCGAATTCTGGTTTACCTAATTAACATTATCACAACGTGAGTATATAAATTATCAATTAACTAACTAGACGATCACTTTTACTACTAGAGGAAAAAAGGCCAATTACAGTAAGTATAGAATTTAAAGTAAAATAAACTTGTGAGGTAAATAATAACATTTCAGAGAGTAAAATAAAATAACGAACAAAATCAAAAAAGAAAGAGGGGCAGGGGTGGGCCGTCACACTCTCTACTACCGAATTGAATTACCTAAGTAAAATAATTAAAAAATATGTACGTACCTACTAAAAAATACCGAGATCTAATTCGGTAAAAGGTAAACACTATAGCAGTTAAAAAAAAACGATGAGTAAAAGAAGTAGGTATTTAGAAATTAAATTCAAAAATCATTAATGAAAAATAAATATCGAGCGAAAATAATTTAACACATCGTATTATCTATTATACACTTTAACCTAAGTATTTATTTTCATTATCATTATAAACATACAGTACAGTAGTAGAGATAACATATTATTTACCTTATAAAACGTACTCGTACTTTCACTTGTGGCGCAACAAAAGACGACTATACAAAATACAATTTCAATAATTTCAATCTTCTCTGTGGTCAGTAAAAGTAAATCGCAATAAAATTGAACAAAACACAAGGTCAAACCGTCTCACTCATTGAAACATTTTTCATTTTAATTAAAAGAAATTGTATGTATGTACTATTTTAAATAATTTTGAGGAAAAATTAAACAATTGCTTTGACGGAAAATAATTGACTGTGGTTGCGGTTGTAAGTTTTAATTATTGCAAGGTTTTGATTAGAGTATACAAAAACTGTTGAATGGAATATGGAATCAAGGTCAGAAAGGCGAATAAAAATATAAAGTAGTCTTATAGGTACTAGACAAAAAATCAAATGAAATATCTTGTTAATTTGTTTACATTTACGAATTATAAACATTGGCGTAGCTAGACAGGGGCAACATTAAGCGAGGTGCGCTAGTGCCCTGAAGTATTAATACAATTTTTTTAGCTTTAAAACAAAAAATATTTCTAAAAGATTTCAAATTTTAATTTCAGAAATATTACTGTGAAATATTATATTTACAGGACATTTTTACGTTTCAGGCATATTTCAGAAATGTTTCTGAGATGTTTCGTAATATTTATACAACATTGCAAATGTTACAATGTAACATTGTTGAAATATTTATGAAATGTGTTTGTGCTGTATGGGTAGCTCAAATGGCTTCTTCCTTTTGAGCCTTCTGTTGAATGTATAGTTTGTCCAGTAATTACAGCGCTTCGTCGCTGACGTGGGAGTGGAGTCGACCCTCATGTTTCGCAGCAAACCTCTTTATTTCTTCTTCGATTGTTGGCATCTGCAGGTCTCTATGAAGGTAATCGTTTCGATAGAACCAAGGTACATCAACAATGCATCTTAGGACTTTATTTTGGGAAACTTGTATCATGTTGATATTATTCTTACTGGTACATCCCCATAGCTGTATGCCATAAATCCAGATTAGTTTTAGGATTTGTTTATAAATCAATAATTTGTTGTAAAATCAACATGCACTGATTTAGTTTGATTTATTTTTATTTTCCACTATTTTGTCCATCGATTGATTCTGTTGCAGGTTTCCTGAAGTGTTTCTGAAGTCCCTATATTAGTTCCGCCAACTGCCAATATTGCAGTTCCATCCGCAAATGTTGCTATTTTAACACATTGTTGTTGAGGGATATCGCTGGTGTATAATAAGTAAAGAACGGGTCATAGCAAACTGCCTTGTGGGATACTGCTTTAATTTCTTTTATTTCGGAGTATGCCTCGTCTTCCTTTACTACAAACATTCTTTCCGTTAGATATAATTGAAGAATGTCGACATATTGTCTAGGGGGCATTTTTTCAAGTTTCTGTATCAGGCCAGCGTGCCAAACCTTGTCAAATGCTTGGGCTACATCAAGAAATATAGCTGAGCAGATATATTTTTCTTTGTAAACTTTTTCGATGATATCGGCTATACTGTGCACCTGTGCACTTGATGTATTGTCGAGTGTTTTGTTTCTAAAGCCAAATTGGTGCGAAGGGATCAGATTTTTATTTTCAATTATTGGTTTTAGTCGTTTTAGTAGTAGTTTTTCAAATAACTTTGATATTATCGGTAACAATGATAACACTTCATTCGGAGGTTTTCCTGGCTTAGGAATTAGAATAACTTCAGCCATTTTCCACACTGTTTAACTGCCAAGAGAACATGAATTCACACTAGTCTCGCGGATAGCCTCTCCGGCTACCCTCCAGTTTCTCCGACTAATCGATTATTAGGTTTCGATTATCGATGTTCAACATCAATGTTTTTTAGTCCGATGTTATTAGTTAACATTGATATTTATGTATCCAATGTTTTTTTTTGTGTTATCGGCATCGACTGCTAAGGTCATTAACCTCGTGTTCTGTGTAGGCTTTGTTACTGTTTCCCAGAGCCACTTTAGGAACAGCACTGTTAATTGGAACCCAACAGTGAATGGTCGAGTGGGGAATCCTACCAAGCCATCAGAATTAATTTTAAATAATTAAATTAAATAAAAAATCCCGGCCAACGGTGGGATTCGAACCTGGGACCCTTGTATCCGATGTTATATGTTAACATCGATTTTTCTATCAACATCGATGATTCTTTTCAATGGTTTTTGGTTTTTTATTAAGCGTCACGTTACATTGCTTCATTTGATGGTGGGTTTTTCTATTTTCCTTTTTTTTACTCTTCAATGAAGGCTTTTGGAAAACATCGATGTTTACAGACACATCGATGTATGGAAAATCAAACATAGATATTTAGAAAAATCGATATTTTCTTTTCTTTTTTTACAACAACGATAGTCTGTATTCGATGTATCATTTGATGTCAACATCGATGTTTTAAAAACTTTGAGCATCCCTACGCTTACGACGTCAGTATGCGGTGCGCAGAGGTAATTGCTAAGCGTGGCTACAACAAAGTAGGAATAGTGTACGGTAGCTGCATCCTTTACTCTCTTTGGTCTCTCTCTGTGCCAGTTGAGACGTCAAAGTCCACGAGAATAATCTATCGACTGTACCTCAGCGTTGCCGGTATAAATGCTATAGTACTGAAATCAGTGCTTATTGGCCATTATCAGTAGCGTAAGATTACAATAAGAACACAGCTGCGTCATCAATTAGCGGAAAAATTCGTTGGCTACCGCCGCCTACTGGAGGTTTAGTGGCGTGTTAATATTATAAGAATGTAGGAATAATATTTTTAAAACAACAACTTACATGTTCTTTATTTATTGTTAGTTATAGATGATATATATTTGAAATTCGAAATAATAGTTATGACGTAGGTAGGTATGTTCTTCTTATTGTAATCCACGGTGCTTGGGAACCAACTTTAAATGAAACGTTTATTTACTAGACTTTTTTTCGGTCAAAGTATTTCTGAAGCACTATAGATTGGCGCAATATATTTTTTAAAATCGGTTCCAGCAGCCGTTTTTGAGAAAACTCGATTTTTCATGAAAAAGTGACCTTTTTTTAATTTTTTGCTTGTAACTTGCGCATTTTACATTTTCTCGGCTTGCCAAAAGTAAATTTTAATGGGAAAATGTCCTCTCTACAAAAAAGCATCAATGACTTTTTTCTCTAAAATCAGCCGATTTTGAGTTAAATGAGACACGGTGCTTGGGAACCAACTTTAAATGAAACGTATATTTACTAGACTTTTTTTCGGTCAAAGTATTTCTGAAGGGCTATAGATTGGCGCAATATATTTTTTAAAATCGGTTCCAGCAGCCGTTTTTGAGAAAACTCGATTTTTAATGAAAAAGTGACCTTTTTTACTTTTTTGCTTGTAACTTGCGCATTTCACATTTTCTCGGCTTGTTAAAAGTAAATTTCAATGGGAAAATGTCCGCTCTACAAAAAATCATCAATGACTTTTTTCTCTAAAATCAGCCGATTTGAGATCTCATTTAACTCAAAGCAGGTAAGGCTCAAAATCAGTTAAACTTTTGGTCAGTTATATACAGGGTGAGCAGTTTACAAAATATTTATTTTTAAATATGTTTAAAAAATTCAAAATGGGTTGAAAGGAATCGTATTAAATCAAAAAGGTCCACTTGAATGGAGATGGTAATAAAAAGAGTTCTATTTTTGTGTAACTGGACCATTTAATGTAAATGAAAGATATTTTGTACTCATTAATATATTTTCGGACAATATCACACTTTATTATAACAAAGTATTTAAAATTAATTCCATATGTAGATACGTTGAATTTTCATGGAGTTCCTCTGGAGGCCTATAACAAAAAAAATGTTTTTTAATTACCAAACCAAAAGACTGTTTTAATATTCTTAATAGTTGAGTTGCCAACATGATGTAGTCATAAAATTACGACGAATTATAATTATTATATAGTGCAACTAGGGTTCTATCTATCTATCTGAATTAGGGCGTGGTTCAAAGCCCACTTGTACTGAAGCTCTAGGCTTATTGTACCCCTCACAGTTTCTATCCCATCAGATGGATTTTCTTGATGAATTCAAGAATATGTCTGATGGGTGCTTCTGCGATTTCTTCAAGTTCCGGATATTGTACCCCAAAGTACAATTCCCGTTCCCATTTAAGGTTCCGACAGTAGCATAGTATGTGAATAGGAGTTTAGTCCTCCTCTTCACATATTCTACATAGGGAGTCATCAGATATCTTTAAGAGATTTAGGTGTCTTCTAAGGCCACAGTGTCCCGTAAGGAGTCCTATTACGGCCTTGAGTTCGCTTCTGCTAAGGTTTAGCAGTTGATTTTGTCTGCTCGTGAATGGCCCATCTATGAATCTTTTGGACTGTCTATGTCCAGGAAGTTCCAACCAGAGCCTATGGTGTTCTCTATTTATTTGTTCCTTTAACACTCATTTAATATGTTGGTATGAGATACCACACGTGGGTTCTGGTCCAATAATAGTTTTTTCCGCTCCCTTCCTTGCTAGGAGGTCTGCTATCTCGTTTCCAAACACTCTCTCATGTCCTTGCATCCATTCAAGGGTGACCTTGTTATGTTCTGCCAGGGCCTGGAGTGACTGTTGGCAATCAAGTATTGATTTAGATTGCACTTCTACCCTTTTCAGAGCTTTAGGGACTGCCTGACTCTCTGTCATGATAAAGACCCTCTTATCTCTAAAAGAGTCTTTAGCATGACTTTGGCGAAGCCATTTATTGCTGTTACCAAACCAAAAGACTGTTTTAATATTATTAATAGTTGAGTTGCCAACATGATGTAGTTATAAAACTACGACGAATTATAATTATATAGTACAACTTTTTTTTAGATTTCACCAGCAAAGTACCTGATTTTGATGAGGACCTATTTTTAGAAATTTAATACAGAAAGGACTTGATTTTTATAAAAATGGCCCGCTATTTTTCACAAATCTGCCAACCCTAGTTATATAAGGGACCCTTGCCAGTGTTTTTAAAGAAATGTCAGTGTGTGTGGCATTTATTTCAGATCTATAATATTTGTACTTAGAAAATTGTTGAAAGTGCAATGAGTAAGTAAAAAGGCAAGGACAAAAATATAGACATTAATGCTGGTGACGATTTAAGTCGAAACATCAACATCGTTGCCAATAGGACCAATTTATACCCAATATATGAGCGACGCATTCAAGCCGTTAAAAAATTGTACATTCACAGTAACTGTTTTTCACAAACCTCATAGTAATCCTGTTCAGGAAGTATTTTTTCTGGCCTAGTTGTAATTCCTTTAGTAGGTGGTTCCATACCGTGGATCAAACGATATACTTCTGAACGTTGAAGGTGATCAAGTTTTTTTGGAGGTGGTGTGTACTTCATGAAATTGATCCTAAAAAAATACAAGTTTATCATTTTGTATTATTTTAAATATAATAGTAGTTGATATTATATGATACAGTTGGACAAAAATCATTCATAAATAGGTATCTAGGCAATTTAAAATTACTTGTTTTTAAAACTTTTTATTTCTATTAATTTTTAGGAGAGAAACATAGGATAGCTTGTTTGTGATAAGTATATTAATATACAGTCAATTTAAAGTACATGGTGTCCCAAATAAGAATGATCGATTTTATTTGGAAATTAATAGCTTGTTAATTGTTTTAACCCGTTATAGGGCAAAAGATTCCCTATTCCCAGGTGGATAAAATTTGCAAAATATGCCTTTTTTGATAACCTTAGCTAGTCTATATCACAAAAATTCCAAATTTTAGGCAAAAAGTTTGTGTTTGGGTGGCAAATTATTCTCTATTAGAATTTTTTTAGATGCATGTTTTTCTCGCCTGTTCATCAGTAACATAATACCTACGCAAACTCATTTACTAAAGCATCCTTTTATGTGGACCTTGGTGGTTGATGACCTCTTATGGAAGATAAAGAGAGAAAAACTTATACACGCAAGCATTTGCAGACCACATAAGCATCGTAGTAAACGGTAAATTTGGGTCTGTTGTTTCCGAAAGGATGCAGCGGGCACTAAATATGAAGCCTAAAAGAAGGATTGTCCACAAACCCGACAAAAACCTCTGTTGTTGCATTCACAAGAAAAAAGAACCTACAAGGAATTAAGGAGGTTAAATATTTTGGAATCACTCTTAATGACAAGCTTAGATTCTGCAACGATATAGATAAAACAACAGAAAAAGCTGTAAGAATCCTATGGACCTGTAGACGGATGGTTGGGAACACATGGGGGCTTAAATCAAGTATGATGCACTGGCTTTATAGTATGGTTCTAGTGCCTGTTATAACTTACGTATCAGTCATAAGGCTGCACAAGCCTAAAAGCATAACAGCTAACAGAAAATTAGACAAGGTACAAAGACTAGCCTGTTTAATAATAACAGAGGCATTTAGAACTACGTCCACTGCAGCAATGGAGCTACTGCTAGGTCTTCCTCTATTACACTTTGTGGTAGAGACACACATTTTTATCTTTAACTTCTGTAAAAAAGTATTATTCTTCCCATTCCGAATGAAAGTGGTATGTCTTTACCTTATTACAACTGCTTGCTATAATATTATTTTTTGTTGTTCTCTACTAACCCAACCGCTGGACGTTGGTTACGCGTTCAGTTTTAAACTAAGCGCAATGTCGCCGCGCCGTACTTATTTATCCCGTTCAAAGCAATCCTGATCGTTCTCGAACACTAACGCGCTGGTCCGGCTGGTCGGTTCTAGCCGATTCTAGCTTGATGGCGTCAGCGGCAGATCGCTCACCGCAACGTTGCCGCTGTTTATGTTTAATATTATGACATTTTTTTGTGGAATTTTCGGAAGCTTCTCTGATTTTTGCAGTTAGTATTTTTTAAATTAAAATCGTTGTGAGAGCTACTAGAATTGCCTCCGCGAGCTACCTGTAGCTCGCGATCGACAGGTTGGCGACCACTGATTTAGAGTATCATTCGAGGTTAACCGGTAGTCCCGATTAAAAACAGGCCATATAAAGTCTATAAATTATGGATAAATATATAATTCTAAATAAAAGTTTTAATAAATATCCTCGTTCTAAAAAACACGTTTTGTTTCTGCACGCAGTAAGTGGCTGTGACACAACTTCTGCGCTCTTTAAAAAAGGGAAAAAAAACTTTTTTAAGAACACTCGAGAAACTGCCAAATTTGTATCAACTTGTTGCAGCATTTGAAGAAGAAAACTACCCGGTTCAAACATTATGTAAGAATCGAGTGCAAACCTTGTTGGTAATCTATAATGCTCCAAAATCTGAGGACAATATCGATCGTATTCGCTACGCACAGTTCAACAAGTTATTAAAACTGAACAAACCTGTGCAGTTATCAAATATTCCACCAACGAGTGCAGCAGCTCACCAACATTTCAACCGTGGTTATTATCAAGTTCAGACTTAGGGCATGATTTAGAAGCCCGGGATTGGGGCTGGATAATGCGTGACGAATTCCTGGAACCTGTTACGATAATTTTGCCACCAGCTCCAGAGGAATTGCTTAACACAATATTCTGCAACTGCAAAAATGGTTGTGGTTCGCCATGTGGATGCAGGAAAGCAGGTTAACAATACTCTTTAGCTTGCAGCCAGTGTAATGGGCAAGCTTATCTCAATACCTCACCATATGAGAATGATGTCAATGAAGACGATACCTTTGACCCCGAAATCCAAAGAGGAATTTGAAATTTTACAGCGAGCGGAAGACGATGATAAAGAAGAAGAAAATTTAAATTAGAACTTATTGTTTTTATTCTTATTTATTTTTTTCAATTTCAACGTTCATAAATGTATGGAATGGTATTTTTTTAAAAAATAAAAATTTAGTTCTTTTTTTTGTAGTTAGGAATTAATTAGTATAAATTAGGTTAGAATTAAAAAGTTATTAGGGGAAATACGTTAATAATTAATTATACACGAGTAGGTAAGTGTTACTAAATGAATAGATAATTAATGAAAAAAAAATTATTAAATATAACGTAATAGTTAATAAAAAATGCAACTTATTTAGAATTATATATTTATCAATAATTTATAGACTTTATACTGCGTGTTTTTAATCGGGACTACCGGTTGACCTCGAATGATACTTAAATAGTTCAACACTGCGCGCTATCTGCTCTTTATCTCAAAAACGGTTTGAGATATGAAAAAATGTTTTAAACAAACGTAGATAATTCAATTCTTTACAATATTTATAATACAAATAGCATAAAACCCACAGAAAACGAGATATTTCCAAAAACTGTGCGACCTTTGACATTAGATATCTGTAGTAGCGAACACCCTATAATAAGTAGGTTTTGAGACAACTTTTAGGGTGTCAAAATAAAGGTATATACAAGTTTATAGCTGACTATCTAAATTTTCGAAGTGAAACCCCTAATATGACTGGACTACTTTGTAATTTTAAATACATTTTTGTTAGGTTTGTTATTGAATAAATTATTTTTGTTAATTTTATTTTTTATCAGTTTTTACATAAGGAAAACTGCAGTGGTATTTGAAAACTCGAATATCTGCGTATTTTTTTTTTTATTTGGTGTCATCGGCATCAACTACTACGGTTATTAGCCTCGTGTTCTGTGTAGGCGTTGTTACTGTTTCCCAGCGCCACTTTAGGAACAGCACTGTTAATTAGAACCCAACAGTGAATGGTCGAGTGGAGAATCTTACCAAGGCATCAGAATTAATTTTAAATAATTAAATTTAATGAAAAAATCCCGACCAACGGTGGGATTCGAACCTGGGACCCTTGGATCCACAGGCAGAGACTCTACCACTGAGCCACCAACCCCGTCAATATCTGCGTGTTCTTAAGAAAACAGAAGATTCAGACTATACATTTTTAAAAATAAGATGAATCTCTCTTTTGAATGCTATAACGTTTGGAACCGTTTTCGTTTAATATCATTTGTCGTTTATGCCTTGCGTCAAAAGTTGGTATTTCATTTCGATTTTGTATCTGTCAACAAATCAGTTAATATTAAATTTTAAATTATCTAGGTCATCCGATGTATTAAATCATTTTTATCTATCGTATAGGCCGTCTGATTTTGTAAGGTAAGTTTGAATACCGATATATTGTTGAAAATATATATTTTCTACAAAGATTTCTTAATTAAAATGTCAAATTTGAAACATAACCTCAACATGAATAACACATGGATAACACGTTTTGTATAATATATATTGTTTTGTTTGGAAGAGATAATATGCTTTACTATATTTGAATATGTTAAATAAGATTTTTCCTTTTCATATTAATTTTAGTCTCTGTGAAACTATTCACTTAATAGTTTAAATTGTTCAATTATTAGTTAAAGGTATTTTATCTGGTTCCTATGCAAATTTCCTAGTTCCTTTCTTAATATTGTTACCTTTCCTTGTAGCCTGGTTATATCTAGACGGTTCTGTAGGAGTTATATCTAAAGAAGTTCTGTATGAGTTATATCTAAAGAAGTTCATTTCGAGTCATATCTAAGAAGTTTAATTCAAGATCTACCTAAAACTGTTTATGCGGATTTCTATCAAGAGGTTTAGTTCAAGCTACATCTAATGAAGTTTATTTCAAGTTATATCAAGAGGTTTAGTTCGAGTTACATCTAAAGAAGTTTATGAGATTTAAGTTTATGAAGATTTATACCTAAGAGTTTGGTGCTATCCGAAGAGTATCGTTCGAGTCCCTTTGAAGAAGGCCTATGCAAATCTCTCCTTTATACTACCTCCTGTTATAACAGATAAGTCTATTTTTATGCAATAAACCATCTAAATTTGAATTAGTAAATCTCTGTGAATTAGAATTTGTTACTGCCTTATCTAAAACTTGGTTTAAATATAATATCTTAATGGTTAGTGATTTTCTATATTTTTATCATTAACCGATAGTACAGTAAGTTTTAAATATAGTAGTGCCCAACTTCTTGTTCAAAGTAATACGAGTTATTTAATAACCTAACCCACTCCCAAAATCATTTGAGCTTAAAACACTATAAAAAATATATAAAATAACAAGTATCATATTACAAAATATACAGGGTGTCCCGGAATTAGACGATCATATTTTAACAGCGTAATCTACATCCTAAAACAGGAGTAAAAGTTCACATAAACATAGGTACGAAAACGTCTCGTTTTTGAGATACAGGGTGTTAAAAATGAAGTCCTGAAGACACATTTTTGTAAATATTTTCTAAACCTTTAAAGATAACTACGTAAAATTTGGTACAAATGCTAAACAAACTATTTTACGCTCTATTTAATTGACAGTTTTTAATCATCTTCGTAGGTGGGTAAATTAGAGGGGAGGGGCTTAGGGTAAAATTGCCCTAAGTTTTATTATTGACAGTTTTTAACAAAAACATAATATGATCGTATCATGAAATTTTTAAATACTTTTCTCTTGGAAATGGTGCGTTCTAGCGAGATGCAACAAAAGTAGCTTTATTATAAAGAAAGCATTGGTTTTCCAAATTCTGTAGTTAAAAATTTAAAAAACTGTCAACAAAAAACTTTTACCCACCAATAAAGATGATCAAAAATTAATTTCGGGACACCCTGTATAAGTGGTCTATTTAAAATAAAACATATTTGTTCCTTTTAATTTGACCAACATTAGTGAAACATCCTCTATCGATGTAATAAAATGCAAACCCTATCTCTTTTTAGCAATTATTAATAAGCTATGCATTTACATTTAAAATCGATCACTGTTATTTGGGACACCTCGTATAATATAAAATTATTTCATTATATAAAAAAAATAAATTCGTTATTAAGTAGAAATGAGTTATGTTAACCACAGGACAGACATACTTTGTTTTTCTCATTTCAACTTAATCTACTTCGAACTACTTTGAGATGTGGATAATATTTGGAATTTTATATACTACTTAATATTAAAATCTGTTGCAATAATTTGATTGGTTAAAAATGTTTAGGAGTTCATTTTTGCAATAAAATACAATAATAACTAATTGCATTGCTAATTTGAAGCTTAAAATTTCATCTCAAATTGCTACATATTTAGAAATCTGTAGCTTTCTTTGGGAGCTCTGTAAGAACTCATTTGGACTATAGGTTAATCAGTTTTTCTTTGGGCTACGTCGCTAGCAGCTAAGATAGGCAAGACTCTTAGACTTCATATTACACCCATCTGGGTGTCTGATATAATGACATTTTAGGATTTGTCTAGTCATTATATACAGGTTTCTACTTTCAATTTTACTTAGTGCTTTTCTCTATACCCTGATTTATACCTTCGGGTCTGTTGATCCTTTTTCTATATATCTGCCCCCTGCAGTACTACCATTCGGACACTCATTCAGTAGCTAATTTTATATTTTTCAACTAACACTTTAAATAATCTTATTTTCATGTATTATCTTTCTATAAATCAGCTAAGTTTTAACCTGAATTTTTTCTGATTACCATACAAAAACCAAAATCAATACCCATTTCATCCTTATGACATCCTAATAACTTGATTTCTTTTTCAAATAATTTTCTATAATTTCAACCACCCCAGCTTTGCTCTATAAATTTGAATAATTTTGACAATGACAATTCAAACTAGATTATATGTTTTCACTATACTGATAATTTTCCATATTATTATGATGTTTTTTCTTCAATTCTACGTTCACTATTTTGGTTATAAAGTGTACAGTTTATAGTATCGCTTACATTATTAGACTTTAACTTCGATACAATGTGCAATTGTCCTGGCGATGTTATTGCTATTTACTTCCAATTTTCCGTAGATTGCGTCTATATATGAGAAAGATAAAACTCTAACAGGATGTTGCATATTATTGCCGATTCACGAAAAATATCTGTGAAATGGAATATGTCTTAGATAATTCATGACGATTTATGTTGATGAAGTAGACGTAGACCAAAGAAAAACTGATTAAACTGTTATCATCAGCTTCTAAAATGCTTACTAACGAATTACCGTACACAATTTTAAATTTTAAAATATTTGGAAAAATTTCAAAAAAGATGGTACCTGTAGACGGGCTTGACTGTATCTGACCAAGGCCAACTGTTGTTCCATTTGTCGACCTGAAAACAGGGACTAAATAAGCTAACTACATCAGACGCTTGCTTACCCTTTACAATTTCCTGCTATCACCTCCAAGCTGCTCTCGATTGACTCCATAATCATCTCGTCAGTCATTTTTGGTTTTCTCTTAGGAACTACATCATCAGGATCGATCCATTTTCTTCCTCCTGGAAGGACTATCGGCCTGAAGTTGGGTTTCGAGGGACTTGCCATTTCCTAAAGAGTTTATTCAAACATATGGATTTATTTATTATTACGGTTTTGAGTTTGACCAAAGAAAGTCTGGAGAAAATTAGTATGGAGTAGATGTTCTAAAAGAGACTTAGGATTACAGTAATGTGTCTTTTAAATCCTGTGGTACTAATGATGAATTTGGTGAGTGTCTGAAGGATAAAACTAAGAATTAACATGTTGATAAGATTAGATGTTTAAAATCGATCACATGACCTAAGACCGTATACGGACGGTTCCAAAACCATAGAAGGAACTGGAATAGGAGGGTATGGGCCGAGAACCAAGCACTCCGAAAGCTTGGGAAAATACCCAATCATCTTCCAGGCCGAAATTCACGCCATCGAGAAGTGTATCCAGTTTAACATCGAGAGAAACTATCATAGACAAGAGATTATCATCATGTCCGATAGTCAAGCAGCCATCAAAACGCTGAGCTCTTACGTAATCAGCTCAAAAATGGTCTGGAGATGCCTAGAACAATTGAATGAGCTAGACGAGAAAACTAGAGTTACTCTCACTTGGGTCCCGGGACATAATGGGGTGCAGGGTAAAGAGATTGCAGATAGTCTTGCAAGGAAAGGGGCTCAAACACACTTTGTAGGACCTGAGCCGTTCTACGGTATCAGCAGTAACTTAATATTAGGTGAGATTAAAAAATAATTGGGCAGTAGAAGAACCGATAATTGGAACAATCTCTTGGGGCTGAGACAGGCCAAGATACTTCTGGATGAATATAACCAGAAAAGATCGGAAGCCTGCATCTGCCAGAGCAAGAACAGGTTACGTATTGTAACAGAGATCCTTACCGGGCATTACCGACTAAAAGGACACCTAAGTAAACTGAGAGTAGTAGACGATAGTAAGTGCAGATTCTGTGAGGAGGAGGACGAAACCTCCATTCACATACTAACTGAATGTGTAGCACTCCAGAATCCAAGGGCACTATATCTAGGAGGATATCAAATAGAAGAGGGAGATTTACCTAACTTGAAGCCACTTCAAATCCTACACTTCCTTGAGAAAATAGGATTGGAAGGGTCGTTATAGGCATTGATACATTTCCTTAGTGCATTGGTGACAGAAGGGGTACAATAGATCTTTTAGGTCGCAGTGTATTAACACCCCATTCTCAACATAACATAACATAGTATGGAGTAGATGTTCCAAAAGAAGCTTAGGATTACAGTAACGTGTCTTTTAAATCCTGTGGTATTAATGATGAAATTGGTGAGCGTCTGAAGGATGAAAATAAGAATTAACATGTTGATAAGATTAGATGTTACACTTTAAAATCGATCACATGACCTAAGAAGAAAGACTGGAAATACGTCCACTTTTAAATCACCCCGAAAAGATGGCATATTTCCTGCCCTTCTGCTCAAAGGACAGGAATTCTTGGTATTCCTTCTCGTGGGGACTCTGTTTAGAGCAAACTTGGCCTGGATTACAATATGGCCACATAGTTCAACACTAAACTGAGACATGCCTTTCTGTTTTTTCTTTAAATTTGAGATAACTCAGGATTACCTGGTGACCCTTTAATAAGGGTAGTGCGGTTGTATTTCAGAACAACCGATTAATCTAATAATATTAGAAAAAAACTTTTATTATTAAAGTGGTCATGAGAAAATAAATTAAACTAGATTATTATCAAAAGAATGTTTTTTTTATTTAAACAATAATTGATATATACATACCAATAATTATTATATATATTTAGGTCATGTATGAACATTAAATTGATGAACTTAAATCTTTGACAAAATTGATTCTTTTTTCAAATTAACCAAAAATTAACTTAATCATTTAAAAACTTACCAAAATAAGACTTATAAAAAATTAATTTGTTGGCAGAACTATTACCAAAAAACATTTGAAAACTCAGCACCGTAAATCTAATTGTGATCAAGCTATTTGTGACGTTGCGCGTTGGCCCTACACGGGTAAAGTTTTGGCAAATATTCAAATATGCTCAGAATTCTTATCATGTTCTTTATAATGTAATATTAAACAATATCAATTTAGCGTTTATTTATTATCTAATTATATTGTTGATATAAAAAGTATTGTACCTACATTCCAAACCCAGCAAAAAACGTAAACAAAAAAATTAGGACGTAAAAGGGTTGCTATGCTCAGGGTAATATTGGGGGAAGGGGGTGGAGTTTAAACCGAAGATATATTAAATTTGTTCGTGTTCTTTATTACAGAACCATTTTAAAAAGGTCCAAAACTAGTTTCTTGTGGCCCAGATTTAGATTTTTGAGAACTTCAGAACAGTTGATATTTATGATTTGTGAAAATTGTTTTTAATCGATAATTTTTGTGATACATTATGATCCCTGCCATTAAAATTACATCATGGACTAGCCATTAATTCTGTTCTTAAACAACCTTACACTATGTGCTTATCAACTAAAATCAGTCCATCGATTTTCATTTGATTTTAGATTGTAAGTACTCGCCCACTGTCCTCTGCTTTCACATATACACAACAGATTACACACGATCAAATGGCTTGGTTCCCTTCAATCATTCGACAAGGTCCTGATTGTTCTCCACTAGAATAGCCAACAAACATTTTAATTTCTTCTTTTACTGTTTAAATTCAAAGGTCTCGATGAAGATCTGCACTGGGCGTGTACCATGGAACGTCCACTATGTTACGCAATACTTTTTTCTGAAAAGTTTGGCTAGACTGTTGCTATCTGTAGCACATCCCATAATAGAAGGCCTAAAGTCATATCAGTCTTATAACTTGGTTATAGATTAATATTTTATTTAATTTCCAACAGCCAGTAGTACTATTTTTAATTTAATACTAATTTAGTTCTTATCTTTAGAACATGTACCTTTCTTCGTAACTTGGCAGGAATGGTCAAAGATATGACTGATCTAAGGTATATTTTTTGCAACTTCGGAAACTTTTGGCAAAAGAAATTACAATAATTATACGTTACCTTCTCTTTTTTTGCGAACAATTCCTCTTCTCTTCTTTGTGCTTCTAACTCTTCTTCGTGTATTCTATTAATTTCTTCTAAATTCTCTTGCGTTTTTTCCTCTTCCTCCTCTCTGTCTTCCAGATTTGCTCTTTCTAGAATTTTATTCAATTCTTCTTCAACGACCAAATCTTCCTCTAGTTCATCTCCTACTATAGAATCTTCTTCATCTTCAGTGGCTCCATCTGCTTGCGCTTCAGCAGAACACGATGCATCATCTGGAATAAATTAATAATACTACAAAAAAGTATTAATGAAGAATGTTTGCTAACCTCTAGGATCTTCTTTGTCTTCATTATCTTCTTCGTTATTAGCGACAATACTTGCCAGTTGTTTTGAAACTGCATCTAAAGTTGTTTGAACATCAGATGGAAGTTGTGACAAGACTTCTAATTGCTTTTGAAGTGATCTAAGTTGTTCTGCTAATGTCATTGCATTTTCTGAGTTAGGATCGTCTATTATTATTTCTGATATAGATTTATATTGTTTGTTTAATGAATCGTCTAAAAAAATAATAATATAGATACTGTCAGTTATTTATATAGTGTGGTACGAATGAGTTTAGGTGGGATTATTGCTTACTTCTAAACTGTATATCAAAATCTGTCTCATTTTCATCTTCATATTCCACGTATCCTTCATTTTGATATTGATGATCATTTTCATCTATATAGTCATTATTATAATTATTATTTTCTTCTAAAGAATCTGGATCTTGTTCGTAGCCTATACTATCTGGATCAGGAGAAATAGTTAATTCTGGAGAATCTTGATTTCTCGAAGATAATGATTCTATTTCTACTTCAATCTGAAATAAAATATGAAAAATTAAGTCTGGTATGAGGTAAATAAAATTTTGTTGGCAGGTTCCACGTTGTCAAGAATTATTTTGGCACTTTTTTAATTCGGTGATAATTTTTATTTTACTCACAATATTTTGGTCAAACTGCACTCTTTTTTCTTTCGGTAATGATTTCCTTCTTGACTGTTTTTTAATGACTATTTTATAGGGTTCATCCTGAAAAATAAAACTGTTTTATACAGGATGGCTCATTCGTGTGAGTTAAGTCCAATAAATGTCTCTTTTATCATAAAAAAACGAAAAATATTTTATAGTGAATTTTCAACATATCCCTAATATTTAAAAAGTTTTTATTGAATTGCCGAATACAATTCCACCACGGTAAAGTTAAAAGTAAAAATAGGGACTAAAAGAATACTTTTTTGCATAATATATTATCTTTCTTAGATCATGTATTCATGGTCAAATAATATCTTCATTTATAGCATCCAAATATTTTAAAATGCTTCAATTGCGCGCCATAAAAATCTAGATGCTCTGCCAAGCTCTTTTGTGTTTATCGGCCAATAATTGAATTTATTTGACAATAATTTTTAAGAGCTGTCAAATTGAAATGCGATGAACGACTATGAAATTTAATTTAAATCACATTTCAGTTTCGTCAGCTGTACATTAAATTTTACGCTAAAATCAATGGTTAAAAAAATATACACTCACCAACTTAAAATTCGATCCATTCAAAATAATGATTTATTTAAAATTGCTCTAACTTTCAAATGCGGAGGATGATTTATTTGAATTTTTTAGCAACTTTTAGATAAAATACTGTAGTTTTAAGATTATTATTCGGACATCTAAAAGTAATTTAGTACTCGCCGCATTTTTTCCTCTACTTTTGACACACCCTGTAGGTTAATTCTGCTAGTAGATCTGCACACAATTAACTTTATCAAGAAGACTGATTTGTTTCCAATACTTTGTTTTTTTATTTACCCCGATATCTTAATTTGTTTGTGAAATGTGACGGTTTAAAGAAAATGCTACATTTTAGAAACGGTCATAATTTAAATGACATAAAAGAATAAACTACAAAATAAGTGTGTGGCCAACTCACAATATGACAACTGTTAAATATTCGTTACTTGGCAATTGCAGTTTAATTATCAGCATAACAAATATTCATTATTAGCATAATATCATGGTTTTAACGCCTACTGATGCAGCACGAGCATTTGCTCTGGTACAAGACGGTAGGTCTCAGTATTATGCTTCTAGAGTATTGGGTGTTACAAGGTGTAGCGTTCAGAGAGCTGTAAACGTTTCAATGAAACTGGTAGTTTTTCGAGACGAAGAGGATCTGGCAGAAATGTTCGAGATGATCGTTTTGTAACATTAAATGTTTTGCGAGAAAGAAATACTACTGCTGTCATATCTCGAAATCGTTTAGAAGAAGTACATCAAGTATCTGTTAACGAAATAACGATTCGAAGGCGATTACGAGAACATGGATTACGCTCCAGAAGACCTGCAACTGGTCCGGAGTTACTTGGGAATCACAGAACAGCACGTCTTCGATTTGCCAGGGAGCATCAACATTGGAATGTCGATGACTGGTGTAAGATTTTATTTTCTGACGAGTCAAGGCTTTGTTTACGTTCTCCTGAAGGCCGTGAAAGAATATACCGAAGAAGAGGCGGAAGGTTTGACCAAGCAAATTTGTTCACAAGACTCAGTTATGGAGGAGGATCCGTAATGGTTTGGGGCGACATAAGCATGGAAGCTCGTACTGATTTGGTCGTTGTTGGCGGCGGCGGAGCAATAACAGCTAATCGATATATTCGTGATGTGATAGATCCACATGTAATTCTATTTGCACCGTTTATAGAAAACGAATTCATGTTTATGCATGACAACGCTCGACCACATATTTGGACGAAACAGAAATTCAAAGGATGAACTGGCATCACGTAGCCCAGACCTCAATCCAATTAAGCACGTCTGGGACAAGATGGACAGACGAGTTCATAACCGAGTTTCTCCTCCAAGTAATTTAAATTTTTTGAGAGATGCTTTGGTCCAAGAATGGGATCAGGACCAGATGGAGATTCGACATCTAATATAAGGTATGCCACGACGCACTGAGGCAGTTATTCGCGTTCGTGGGGGAAATACCCGTTATTTATTTGTAATATTTATCAGTTTATTTGTTGTTTGATTTGTTTAAAAAATTATATATTACTCTGCTAAAACTGAATAAAAAAATTAAGAATAATGCATTTTATTTAAACCGTCACATTTCACAAACAAATTAAGATATCGGGGTAAATAAAAAAACAAAATGTTGGAAACAAATCAGTCTTCTTGATGAAGTTAATTGTGTGCAGATCTACTAGCAGAATTAACCTACAGGGTGTGTTAAAACTAGAGGAAAAAATTGTTTTCATTTCCCTCCTGTATAATAATAATAAAACTACAGTATTTTATCTAAAAGTTGCTAAAAACTTCAAATAAATCAGCCTCCGCATTTGAAAGTTAGAGCATTTTTAAATAAATCATTATTTTGAATGGATCGAATTTTAAGTCGGTGAGTGTATATGGCGACGGGTCATTTAAAAATGTCGACATTAAGGCTATATATTATTATATTTTTATGAGAGAGATATTAGAGTTCCTTTCCCTAATGGCGATATGATACTATATTATTATTAATAAAAATCATATTATTTTTATGGGCTAAGGTTTATCAAGTTTTATTTTATCATAGGAGACATCAAAACTGACAAAAAATGGCAACAGCGCAGATAGTTCAGCGGCGATGACCTGCTGTAGTACAAATCTTATAAAATGCTATTTTAATATCTTCATAATTTGGTCGACTCACTACTCACAAATTTTAGAATAATAGAATATTAGGATACCTACCTCCAGTTTCTGTTCTTCAGGTGTCTTTTTAGGCTGCGGTTGAGGTCTGTCAGGTTTTATTAAAAAAGTAGACCATTTTTTCTGTTTAACTTTGTCCTCTGTAGGGATATAAGTCTGTGTAGAATTTGAATACACCATCTTTTTCTCGCTACAAGTAAAAAAAGATAAAGCATTATTTTATAAATAAGACAAATCTTACCGTTTTTGATTTACTGCAGCTCTATGGTGACCAAATTCTGTAAAGACTGAAAACAAAATTAGAATATCAGAAAATTTATCACGAATTTATTAAAATATACTTTGTTAAAAAATATTGTAATGAATTATTCGAAACTCACTTTCTTTTCCTAATATTTCAGCCAACTGCTCGGCCTTGTCAATGATTTCTTCATCTACAAATACTTGTACATCTCTAACTTCAACTTCTCTACCCTCATCCTAAAAGAAACTTTTAATCAATTCGATTTTTGAACAAAAACGCTCAAAATACTCACTTGTAAAAGATGTGGTGATACAAATTCTCCCCTAAAACAAATAATTTAAAAATATACATCGGTCAATAATAAATTTATTTTTTAAGACAAGGCCGGTTGCAATAACGTCAATAAAATATATGGATCTGATAAACTTTGACAGAGCTTATGAATGTTATCCATCTGAATGATATAAACTTCAAATTATTCTAGAGAACTTTAAAAAAAATAATACACATGTAAAAGTTTTGATTAATAGATAAACATTAAATACATTTTACTACGACTACGACTATGATTACGATTATGATTACGACTACGACTTCTTTTAAATTACTCTAAAGAACTTTAAAAAGAATAATAGGTACTCATGTAAAAAGGACACTAGCTGTGTTTTAGTTTTGATCAACAGATAAACTTTAAATAAAGTTTCATGATATTTTTTGCAACCGGCTGCGGCTGTTGAAAGCCAAAGGTATTTTTTTCATCATTTTCTATCTCTTCTTCTCCTCTTCCTTTCTCTGCTACTTATTCTTTTCTACCGTCTCCTTCTTCAATTTTTTCTTCCTCTCATTATTTCTCTAATTCTCGCTACAGCTACGACTATGACTACGACTACGACTACAACTACGACTACGACTACGACTACGACTACGACTACGACTACGACTACGACTACGACTACGACTACGACTACGACTACGACTACGACTACGACTACGACTACGACTACGACTACGACTACGACTACGACTACGACTACGACTACGACTACGACTACGACTACGACTACGACTACAACTACGACTACGACTACGACTACGACTACGACTACGACTACGACTACGACTACGACTACGACTACGACTACGACTACGACTACGACTACGACTACGACTACGACTACGACTACGACTACGACTACGACTACGACTACGACTACGACTACGACTACGACTACGACTACGACTACGACTACGACTACGACTACGACTACGACTACGACTACGACTACGACTACGACTACGACTACGACTACGACTACGACTACGACTACGACTACGACTACGACTACGACTACGACTACGACTACGACTACGACTACGACTACGACTACGACTACGACTACGACTACGACTACGACTACGACTACGACTACGACTACGACTACGACTACGACTACGACTACGACTACGACTACGACTACGACTACGACTACGACTACGACTACGACTACTTTTAGAATTCTTAAATAAAACTAGGCCAAGTTTAATATATTTTTGTGTTAAATACTAGCTATTGTGTTCATGGAGTAAAACTAACAAAGGAAAACCCAGTATAGAAGTTATTGGTACCATAATAGTTAATGATTTTAAAAATAAATTAGGCGAGTATTTCTTTAACATTTTTATTTAAGTTTTTAGTCTTCTTTCCTTATTGTCTCAATGTGTTTACTTTGTTCTAGTTGTTTATTTTGTTTTTAGGTTATCATGAGACTTATGTCATCAGCCTTTATCATTGCATAATATTATTAATAATAATAATAATAATAATAATAAAATTATAATAATCCATGTTTTGTTCGGTTACCATTTGGTATGTCTTCTTGTTTTCCTGTTGTCTACTTCATTTTTGCAACTTCTAATTTTTGTATGGCACCTCTTATGTATTTTGAATGATACTTTAATCTTTTAGACGTATAGCATTGGCAGTGGAACAGTCAAGCTTCTTCATTTTTGAAATTAAAAATAACATAGTTTTGTACATACCTTTTTATTCTTAAAACAAATTGTAGTCCTGCTGAGGCAATGAGGTCGTGTACTTCAGAATGCGTTAGTGTCGCTGTATCAGTATTGTTAATTTTTGTTATAACATCGCCTACTTCTAGTCCAGCTTTTTCTGATAAACTATTCTCGTGTACCTGAAAAGGACAAGACAAGTGTTTGGTGCTAATGAATTATATTAAAATGAAATTAATTATTTAAGAATAAAAAATAAAGAAGCCATGGGCGTAATAATCATTCTCCACCAACCATCGAGAGTATCGAGACCTCTGTCAAATTTTTGGATATTTAGGTATATTAATGGGCTGTTGCTTAGAGTGTTGGGATGAATTAAACATGGAATAATATACAGGGTGTTCCATTAAAGAAAAAGCAACTTTGTTTCGTCATGACTTTTGACTAACCCTCTATAGTTAATTTGTCTTTGTTGTAATAGATTTTAAAAAGCCCCAAAACTTCGTTAGCTATTTTACTTTAGAAGAGAATGGACCATGTATACAGAGACAACAGAGACGTGTAACTTAATAGGAAAATTTGTTCGGTGGCACATTTAAATTACATATATGACTTTCTTTCTCTTTTACATTGATCTTTACATATATTTAGCTCTCTCCAATCTTAGAGGTCGCTGATGTTGCTAGTGTTTTGATGTCGACGTATCGATTAAAACTGACAACTGACAATGTTGTGAATGTTGTTATGAACGTGTGCATTTTATTAAAATTAATTTAATTTGGGCCCCGTTTATTTCTTTGAGTCTGAGTCTGATTTTGTTGTTTAATTATTTTCTTTGAGGGGGGGAATGTTTATTTTCGCATAATATTTTTTGCATGAAGCAATTTCTGGATCTAAACTCGCGTTTTTGTACACGTTTTTTTCTAGAGGTAAGTAATTTCCAATTTATTAAGAAAACCACTGTATAATGTTTGTGTTTAATAATATATTACAAAATGGCTATAATTATTTTAGGTGAATTGGAAGAGAGATCCATTGTTACAGCTACTTTTGTTTATTAAAGGTGAGATTACAGAACATCTGCAACTTTGCAGATCTGCAAATATGGCGGACTTACAAATGCAAGTAAAAATATCTGCAAATTCGCAATATTTATTGTGGTTTATTACCCCCAACAACATTAAACCCAAATTTGGAATACGAAAACTTGATACTTGCATGTGTAAGTTAGTCATATTTGCAGATTTTCAAAGTTGCCGCCATATTTGCAGATCTGCAAAGTTGCAGACGTTCTGTAATCTCACCCTAAGTATTGGCGTATTATTTTTCCAAGTTAAAATATTTAATAATCAATAGAATTTTCAAGTTTTTTTAGCGAAATTTACAAGAGTAATAAAAACAATGTTCACTGCTTATATTAAACTGATTAAAACTTCCTTCATCAAAATGATTATGTATATGATAAAAAATTTGATGTTATTGGAAGCTTTTATATTTTTTAATATACAGTGAAACAATAGTTTTTGTTTCTTCTGTAAATTTGTATAGAAAAACTATTTATTTCTGGATCCATGTTCGAATTTCCCGCCCTAAAGCATTTTTAATTTTCCCGCTATTTACTAGTGGCGCCATCATAGACTTGTTGTGGTTACAATCGCCCAAACAACTTTTACCGAACAAAAAAATACATTAAGTTACACGTCTCGCTGGGTTGTCTCTGATATATATCAGCGAACCTGCGCATACAGGATGTTTTTAAATATCATGTATGTAAGGAAGGGGGTAAGTCTTTGACTTATTTCATGGATAAAATACCATATAGACATAGGTCCCCAAAGTCTTCGTTACCGATCTACAGAACAAGGGCGGCTCCATGACGAATTTTCGGGGGAGGGGGGCATTGCCATTAGCCATTCCTTTTTTAGAATATTTTTTTGAATAAAAGGCCCATAAATCGTATGAATTTTCATCTCGAGGGGGGGGGGGGATGCCCCCCACCTGGAGCCGCCCTTGCTACAGGGTCTACAAGATTTTTTTGTTTGTTTATAGCTCCTGCAGTTTTTGATATATTTAGTTCAAATTTGGAATATAGGTTGCGCTGTAATGCTTACATCATTGGACATGCCTAATGGTTGTGATAATCTACAGGATGATACTTTTTCAGGGGTCTTGTCCCATTTTCTTCCCTGAACTTTTTTGCGGTGCACCGCTAGTTGATTCTAGAATACAAAATAAATTTACTGTTCCGTATAAAAACTTTTTAATCACTGGTAGTTTTATTCTAATAGCGACCGATATCGAGAAAAAAACAAAAAGGACGATTTTTAGTTTATTCGCCACTATCTATTAAAAAGTAAAGCATTTATTTATTACAATTCAAAAATCCTAAATAATAACCATAATAAGCAAAATACAAGAGCTATAAAAAAAAACAAATCGTTTGAGTTTGAGGACCTATGTTTGTATGACTTTTTACTTTCCTATCTGTATACAAAATTTTCCTCAAAAGGTCCGTATTCGAGAAATTTTACAAAATGTAAAAAATTCAAGTTTTTATGAAAATTGTTCAAATAAAAATTCAGATTTTTGGCAGAGTCGGAACATCTGGGAATGGGGAGTATTATAGCGGGTCGTTTTTATATTTTATGGAATATAGCTGTTATTTACGTTTGAAGAAGAAAATTCTTCAAATAACTTCAACTTCCAATATTATTTTCTATAATTTTTTTCCCATACAAAATTTTCCTAAAATGGTCCGTATTCGCGAAATTTGACAAAATGTGAAAATTCTGATTTTTAAGAATATTGTTAAACTAAAAGTTATTTGCGATATCGATCTCTATAATTTTTGTTGCATAGATGATTTCTCTAAAATGGACCGTAATGGAAAAATTGGAGAAAAAGTGTAAAATTTTAATTTTTCAGTATTTTCGTTGGCAATGAATAACCGGGTGTTCAAATTAAAGTGCTACAGTTAAATACAAAAGTTTTATAGTTTTTTGGGGAAACATTTTGGCTAAATTCATTTTTTTATAGCTGACCATAATATGGCCATATCGAGGTGGACTTTTTTTTTAAATTGGTACCCCATTTTTTACACACTCTCAAAGTACATAAAAAAATAAGAAACTTTTGTGGGGAAATATTTTTTTATTGGATTTTTACTTGAAAATTTTGCTGCGCGAAAAAAAAGTTGGCCATATTATGGTTAGCTATAAAAAACGATTTTAGCCAAAATTTTTTCCCCACAAAACTATAAACAAAACTATAAAACTTTCGTCTGAAACGTTTTTTTTTTATAAAAGGCGGTGTTTAGCTGTAACACTTTAATTTTAACACCCAGTATATAAAAAAATGCTTCGAGTTAGAAGTATGTGGAAAATGTATATATTTAGTTTATCCTCTACACATTTACAGATGTGCTACAATAGGTTGTACAAAATAACCGGAAAAAGCCTGTAATAGCTAAGTAGGAAAGTCATGTGTTGGACACATCAGATTTTTAGTCATAAAATAAGCCACCTTCTGCATTAATAGAAAATGTACATACTGCGAAGCTATACCTCTACTTCGCCTATGTCAAAGGAATAATAGTTGCGTGTCGTCAGTAACAGAATGAATATTTATATGCTCCAATAATTTATGAAGGTCGGTAACAAAAGAGGAACATGGAAGGAGCCTTTAGGGTACTCCTTAATAAAATTTAAAAAATCTTAGTAAAGTTTCATCGAATCCAAACTATTTGAGTTTGGTACAAAGAAGCTGATGATCTATAGTTTCAAACGCTTTAGAAAAGTTAAGCTGTAGCCGCTCCTGTATCCATGGATCTTATGGTGTTATCTGTTAAATCTAAGAGTAATGTTGAAATACTGAATCTGATTGTTTAGTATAAGGAGAAAATACTTATGGGCTAAAGATCGTTAAATATTTCCGGTTTATTTGATTTTGGCAAAAGCTTGATTAAGGAATATTTTCAACTGATAGGAAAGTAAACAACTTTTAAACAACAATTTACAATATGCGTTACGTAAGGAGCACAGATGGAAATAGAAAATTGTAACATTTTTGCTGAGATGATATCAATTCCTAAAGCGTTTGATTTGAATTCCAAAACTGTTGAACTAATTTAATTTACTATGCGAGTTTAAAAGAAACGCTAATAGCAGGATTATAAAGATTTGAATTATAATAGGATGTAGTCGCAATTTCTCTAAATATATAGCGACCTAAAATACTTGTTTATATCCATAGGCTCACTTAAGCCATCAGGAATTAAAAATATAGTTTTATTTGGAATATTCAAGGATTTTATTACTTTCCAAAGGTCTTTTGTGTTTTGCGTGCTTGTACGATAGTTTAAATTAGCTGATTTTGTTTCCTAATTGCAATAAGCAAATTGTAGGTGTCAACCAAGGGGCATACGATTTAGTTATCTTAGCTTCTACAAAAGGGATATGCTTGTTAAATAATGTAGTAGTAATTAGGTTATTAAAAATCTGAAGGAATACATAATAACATTAAAAATTGAGTAGAATCAACTGGTCATATAATATATAATCATATAGGAAGATACAATAGTCAAAAGAAAGACATCAGTAATTTGTTTGCTACCCATTTCTCCAGTGTTTATAAGAAAGATATTGTAGATGAGCCATATAATGCTTTTAACCAGCCTGATATTCCCTTTATACAGTTTTCCTTAAGTGATGTTTTTGATGGTATTAACTCCCTAAAAGATAAATTGAGTTATGGTATAGATGGAATCCCCGCTTATTTTTTGAAAAAATGTAAATTCACTCTTTCCAAACCACTACAGTTTTTATTTAATTCCTCTTTGAAATTACAACAGTTTCCTGCAAAATGGCGTGATAGTTTCATTATCCCCATATTTAAAATGGTCAGAAAGATGACATAGTTAACTATCGCCCTGTAGTTTTACTTTCTGCAATACCTAAATTATTAGAAATATTGTTATATAAACCTTTGTCATGGCATTGCAAAAACATTCTGATTGAACAACAGCATGGGTTTATGGGAGGTTAGTCTACTAATACAATTTACTGCTCTACGAACATTATATCATTTCTGCCTTCGAAAGGGGGTGTCAGATTGACTTAATTTACACTGACTTCTCGAAGGCATTTGATACGGTGAACCATGATTTGCTTTTAAGGAAACTAGTGAAATTCGGGTTTCCAAACTCCTTAGTGAAATGGTTAGAAAGTTACCTGCAATCCAGGGTTCAATATGTCAAAGTTAAAAGTTTTACTTCGATTCCAATAAATGTAAGTTCTGGTGTCCCCCAGGAATCTCATTTGGGACCATAACTATTTAATATATTTATTAACGATTGTGGCTTCAGAATTCAAATATTGTAAGTTCCTACTATTCACCGATGAGCTGAAATTATTCATGGAAATCTTAAACTTACCTGACTGTTTGAAGTTACAGGATGATTTAAACTATTTTATTAATTGGACTTTTAAATAATGCCATGTCTTTAAATCCACGTAAATGTTTTTCAATCACCTTCACAAGATCAAAAAACCCTATAAATTTTCTTTATAATATCAATACTACTGTTTTGGAGAAAGTTAGTGAAATCAAGGATCTATATAGGTGTGATCTTCGATAGTTTTTTGACATTTGTCCCACACATGTGATCCATCATTAGTAGAGCTCTGAAAACATTGGGATTTGTGACGAGGAACTCTAGGGAATTCTCTGTACCTACATTCCGAATCCTTTACTTAACACTAGTGCACAGCATCCTCTTATATGCTTCACCAGTCTGGTCACCTCATTACCGGAATCATATTTTAAATTTAGAAGCAGTTCAAAATAGGTTTCTAAGAACTTGTCATTGGAGGTTACATATGCCATATATCTTTCTAAGAGGGAGCTTAATAACCATTTAAACTTATTGTCAGTCGAGAAAACGTTAATTAGTAATGATTTTATTTATTTATAACCTCCTGGAAGGGAATATAGCTTGTCCGGATATGTTGGAGCTAATAAACTTAAGATTAAACAACATAAATATTAGAGAAAAGTATTATTTTCAATTAGCTTCCATCATACGAATCTTTTGGGAGTTAGTCGGTTTAGGTTTAAAAATCAGCTGAGGGAGTACTTATCGAGTTAGCTTTAGCTCTAAGTTTTTTGTAATATTTAAGATATTTAAGTTTTTTCTCTTTTTTGTGTGATACTTTAGGTTAGGTTTAAAATAACTACTGATAATAATTATTTTGTAAAAGGAGATTTTCCGTAAATAAATAAAATAAAAAATAAAAATAAAACAATATACAACCATGGACATTGGAAAAAGAAGAAGCGTAAAGAATGGGTAGAATGGGATAACATATATATAAAAAATGAAAGAACCAACATGAGCTGAGACCGCAAAGAAGAAAGAAAATTAAAGGAATTGCAAAACAATAGTGAAATCAGAGAAGCCAACAAAAGTCTTTTTTGTAATAGTAAAGTAACATTCGTCCGTCTAAGCTTCGTAATATCTCTGTATTAGCCATTAAAAAAAGTAACTGGAGAGACGGTTAATATTCTTATTCATTACATACTGCTAAATTTTATTTTCTTCAATTACTTACCAGGTATATTAAAAACTAAACATCACTTACGAACTAATTAAATCAAAACTTTCTAAAATTGATTAAAAAATAGAAATTTAGATCAAGAGTGCCGAATGTTTCGTTACCTTGACAACAACTAGCGGTTCCTGAAAATCGGCGCCTCCCACCAATCTGAACCCCCAATTGGAGGTCCTATCCGATTTTGAAAATTTCAAATCTAATTCCATCGGATAACAAGGCCACAAAACAATTGAACTACAGGTAGAACCGTTAGATACTGTTTCAATGTATGTATGGATTCTATTTCCAACCTGGAGATTAATACTATTGATCCAATTAGTTGTTTGCCAATTATTTTGTTACGTAAACAAGCAGATGACATCCGTTGTGATTGAAAGGTCAGATTTATTTAGTTCCAGGAAGAATTTCGTACAGGGTATTATTAAAATATATTCGTTTCAGTAAATACGAGGGTTGTCTTCTTTTTAATTTTGCATGTAGAGCTAGAATAAAATAGTAGGTAGATTTTAAGGACTTTATTGTTTTGCGTATTTTTCACGAAGTATAAAGCATTATTTCATTCGCTCGAACCAATTCTGGAATCGGTTATTTCACTCCTTTGTTGATACAGTCAAAATTACTTTTTACTCTAAGGCGTCGGCTGCTTTTTCTGGCAGCTGGAACCTGCGGTCACGCATTTCGTTCAGGATTTTTGAAAGTTAAAAAAATCGTTGGGGCTTAAGTCGGGACTGCATGGAGAATGGTCCAACAATTCGACGTATTTTTCCTCTAAAAATTCAATTGCCTTGCGAGCTGTATGCGAGCTTGCATTGTCTTGGTGGAAGATGATTCGTCGTTAAAAACTTGAAATTTTAGATGCAATTTAATTAAAATTTTTAGAAAAAATCAAGCTTTATAAGGGAACAAAGCCTATTAATTTGGAAAAATCTGAATAAAAATGGGGGGTTAAGAAGGGTTCAAAATAAAAAAAGTTAGAAATAAAATTATGCTCTAAGGGAATGAAGCCTATTGATTCTGAAAAAATCTAAATAAAAATGGGGGGCGTTAAGGTGGGTTGAAATTTTAAAAAAAATTCAACAAAAAATCTCCAGAAAAAATCGAGCTTCATAAAGTTTTGAAAAAAAATATGATGTAAAATGGGGAGTTACATGTGGTCTGTTAAATTGTGAAGAGTATAATATAGAATGTCTAGCATTATATATCTTCATTCTAATAGCATCAGCATCAGAGCTGGGCAGTACTCGAGTAAATTGTACTCAAAATTGTAGGTACTCGAGTACTCAAAGTGCTGAGTAATTGATACTCGTAAATACTTTCATCCTGATGGGACTCATGCTCAAAAAATTTCGAATACTTCATATTTTAGAGTACTCAGTACTTTTTATTCCTACAGATGATGAGTAACGAGTACGAGTCCCGACGCGAGCATATACAGGGTAGACCAATCTTGTGGAAAAGTTCGATATCTTCCTTGTTGAAAGAGATATTGAAAAAATGTATTAGGAAAATTATGGACATGTTTGAGGTTAACATTTTAAAATTATTGGGAGGTACACAGGGTGTTGCATAGCTCGTGTACGAACCAAACATATGTTTTTTTTAAGATAACCCCAGTATATTATTTTAGATTCTGTTTACTCATCTTTTTTCCATTCTTTTAATATATGGTTTGTCTATGTTATATAGGGTACTTTTCAAGAAATTGACATTTTTGTAAGAGAATCGTACATAATTCAACGTCCAGCAGCCAATTACACACTGTAGAAAAAATGTTTTTATTACCCACACGAATTTTATAATATGATGTTTTATACTTTTTTTACTTATATTTTTATTATCTAATTATTTGTATACAGGGAGACTCAATACTCTTGATTTTCTTGTTTTTTTTTTTAAATTGGACACCCTATATTTTATATCACCAGTAAAATCATATATTCCAAGTCTTTCATTTTTATAAAGCATTCCCTTTACCTAAAATTAATGTTTATCGATATTTTCTAACAATAAATGAAAATTATGGTTATTTCGATAAATTAAACTAGTTTTTCATAAAATACTCTTTATAAACAATAATAAATAATATGTGTTATTTTTTATATAGTCTCCAATTCATTTAATATACCTGTCACCGTCCAGTTGACAATTTTGACATTTTAAAAATCAAGAGCAACTGCCTGTGTGTTAATGTTTTAAGTAAAATACTAATAATAAGATGAACAATACGAATTTTTCTATCCCGGAAATGGTGGATATGATTTATATACTAGGTGAATGCAACAAGAATTCATTACTTGCCTCCAGAGTGTACCACCAACGATATCCGGAACGCCGGAAACCAAATAAAAAGGCGTTTGAAAAACTAATGGACCGTTTTAATCGTACTGGTACTGTATCATACGAGCAAAAACAAGTAACAAAAACTGCTATCACGGAAGAGAATGAAATGAAAGTATTGTTGAGTATTTATGATGATCTGCATATTAGTAAACGAAATATTTCAAGACAACAAGTCAGTTACGGAACTGTTCAAAGAATCCTATCAAAACATAAAATGCATCCTTTCCATATCCAGTTACATCAAGAACTTCTTGAACGGGATTTTGAAAATAGAGATTTTTTTGAATGGTCCAACAAAACATTAATCAACAAAGAAATGTCTTTGATTTTGTGCTCTTTGGTGATGAATCGACTTTTCATAAAAATGGAGGTTTAAATAGGCATAATTTTCACTATTATTCTACAACAAACCCACACATTATAGTCACTCATAGCCAAATGAGGTGGTCATTAAATGTTTGGGGTGGCATTGTGGGTGATTATGTGATAGGGCCACACTTTTTTGAAGGACGAGTAAATAGTGCAGTATATTTGGATTTCCTTGAAAATCATTTACCTACGTTACTCGAAATGTTCCCCTTCACATTCGCCAACAAATGTGGTTTTTGTACGATGGTGCACCAGTCCATCATACTGTTATAATTCATAAATATTTAAATAATCACTTTCCAAGACGGTGGATCGGAAGAGGAGGACCAATAGGGTGGCCAGCGCGATCACCGGATTTGACAAAAATTGATTTTTTTCTGTGGGTTTATGTAAAAAACATGTAATGTACCTGCAACGACAAAAGAGGACATGAAAACTCGAATCAGAAATATATTTCAAAGTATTTGATGTTCAAATGCTGAGAAATGTGAGTCAGTCATTCGAAATTCGATTACAAAACTGTATTGATGTTATGGGAGGTCACTTTGAACAACTTTTATAATTATGTTTTAATTGTTTTGTTTGTTTTTTTGAGTTTTTTTTGTATTCACACATATTATTTATTATTGTTTATAAAGAGTATTTTATGAAAAACTAGTTTAATTTATCGAAATAACCATAAATTTTCATTTATTATAAAAAAATATCGATAAATATTAACTTTAGGTATAGGGAATGCTTTATAAAAACGAAAGACTTGGAACAGATGATTTTACTGATGATATCAAATATAGGGTGTTCCATTTAAATAAAACAAGAAAATCAAGGGTCTGAGTATTGAGTCTCCCTGTATACAAATAAACAGATAATAAAAATTTAACTAAAAAAAGTATAAAACATCATATTATAAAATTCGTGTGGGTAAAAAAAAAATTTTCTACAATGTGTAATTGGCTGCTGGACGTTGAATTATGTACGATTCTCTCACAAAAATGTCAATTCCTTGAAAAGTAAGTACCCTATATAACATAGACAAACCATATATTAGAAGAATGGAAAAAAGGTGAGTAAACAGAATCTAAAATAATATACTGGGGTTATCATTAAAAAAAAACATGTTTGGTTCGTACACGAGCTATGCAACACCCTGTATACCTCCCAATAATTTTAAAATGTTAACCTCAAACATGTCCATAATTTTCTTAATACATTTTTTCAATATCTCTTTCAACAAGAACGATATCGAACTTTTCTACAAGATTGGTCCACCCTGTATATTAAAATGATTCCACCTTGGAAAGGTTGAACCATTCCAATATCGTAGAGCGTTTATGGTTAAAATAATACTAATTGGTGAATGTTGAATTTGAAAAAAAAAATAAAATCTTCCGCTTCCTTTCTTTCTTCTTGATCCCTGTTCTTCTGCTTTCTACTCTAACTCCTGACTTTCTGTACCTCCTGTTCTCTTGCCTGGTCTCCTCTTGCTGTTTTCCTATACTTTCTCCTCTTTCTCCTCCTTCTAACTAACTCTCCTTTCTGTTAAGTTCTCCTTTCTATTCTTATCTTTAATTTAAATAAAACTTTCTTTATCTTTCTTATTTATTCTTTTTTTAATTCATCTCTACGATATAAAATCTTCAACTTTAACCATCTTAACTTTAATAAAATATTTTCTGACTTTTTTTTTTAAATATCCCAAATGACAATAATTCTAAAACCTGTCAATCTTTCAAAAATATATCTGACAATTCCATTAATTTTCAAAATCCCACTATCATCGACGTCAGAACCCTAAGGCAATTCTCAATAACTTATCGACGCCAACGATACAGGATGGAAAAGATAAGAAAATGTCAAAAGACGGAATCGTGGCAACATATATTTTAAACTATATGACTGTTCTTTTGAGTATTCTCTATCTGTATCTCTGCTCCTACCTAATAGCTTTATTACTTTACTTTAACATTAAAATGAAAAGTTGGGCGTACACGTTACTGGTAAAGGAACCTAGGGGAACCCTCCCCAGACGTCGTTCGATTTTTTCCTTTTTACAACTTCATTTGCAGTTAGTTATTCTCTTACATTATCCATCATCCATGAAGTTGTAAATCATTAACAAAATATTCAGTGGACATAGTGAACAAATATTCCTTTTGGGGTCTATAACTCAGTTATTAAACCTTGAGGGGTGCGGAGCCCTTCTCCCCGTCTACCCAATGGGCCAGAACATCCACATCCGTATTTGGACATCCAGTGTACGTCCGTTTATGATTATTAATTTGACAGTTGCATATCAATACCCAGAAGACGTCTCTTTTTGGATTTAATTTTAAATTTAGTAGTAATTTAACATCCAGTGGACGTCCTTCTTAGGTCATTATTTATTTAGCTTACCAAATAATACCAATCTATATACACTTTCTTTTTTTTAATATACCTAATTGGTCATTTAAAATTGACAAATTGAATATATTGCATTTCATTCTATCAGCGGAAGTTTGAAATATTATTATTATAACCATATCTACCCAGACAACATACCAAATCCCAAAAATATCCACAGAATATCTTTTGTGGATATCCAATATATCCACAGGATATCATAGATATCCAGCAGATCTAATATGGATATCCAAATTCTATGGATATCCAGCAAAATATCTAATAGGTACCTTTAGTAGAGGTTCATAAGTAACCAATGGATATATCCTATAGATGTCTAATATATCCAGTGTACATCCATTATTTGATATATTTAAGATATCGAAAATTATATGCCTATAGGGTGTCGTATTTAATGCTTTTTTTTTAAAGATAAGTGGAACTGCAGTCTACTGCATAATCTAAAAACATTAAATATGAAGAAAATCAGCATTTCAGTAGCGTAACATCGGAACGCCCCGAATTTTAAATTTGGTATGTACACCCATACAAAGTTTACTATTCTAGTATTAACTATTTTTGATGCTACACAGCAAAGGTATAGCATGTAGAGTAGAAAGAGTATCAACATTTTATTTTTACAATTAAATATTGTACACCATACCTACCTAAAAAACACCAAAATATCATTGAATATATGAAGTAAGTTTTAAATTGAATGCAACGCACGAGTTATCTAACATATAAGCATCTTACAAATAAATCTTATTCTTTATTGATGTTATATTAAGTATAGTTACGTAAAACAAAGACAAATATTATGAGCAGGGTAAATATATTTAAAAAAAATAAACTATAGTATAAACATACTATTATATTAAATAACATATTTCAATTAAGCTGACGAATGAACATAGTACCCACAGCCACGGAAAACCTTAACTTAATCACACATACACATTATATATTGGTGCCACAATCCCAACTGAAACCTCCGCTGTCCGTCTGTCAGCGGCTGTATCTAATGATCCGTAATAGGTAGACAGTTAAAATTTTCAAAGAATGTGAATTTCTATTGCCACTATATCAACTAACAATAAAAATTAAAATAAATGAAAAACTAAAGGGGGCTCCCCTACTAGAAACATGTTTTGGCTTTTTTTGCTCGATCTTAATTAAGTATTTAAAAAATTTTCAATTTACAATAACAGGCCCTAGCGCAATAATGATTGATTTTATAACTTTTAGAAGTAAACTATCTTTTTTGTCATACTGTTTTACAAGCTTGCTAAGTCTTTATATTTAAAGTTTTTTTTTGTTTCCTGATCATGAATAAAAATATTAAAGCTATTTGGATTATTATAGCAGGTACCTAACCAGACAACACACCAAATCCCAGAGATATCCACAGAATATCTTTTGTGGATATCCAATATATCCAGAGGATATCAGAATTATCCCGTGGATCTAATATGGATATCCAAATGTCCGTCTATATCCAGAATATACAAGATACCCCTATTGATATCCAGCAAAATATCTAATAATAATAATAATAATAATAATAATAATACTCTCCCTAATTCACCCCCTTACAAGTGAATTTCAACCCCTGAAGTCGACTGAACGACTTGTGTAGGGGAAGGGACGGCTATTATTATTATTATTATTTGCCGTGGCGCTCCGGGGCGACTTAAGGATGATTGATGGTGCCATTTGACTTACAGGTGAGGAAAACCCGGAAAACCTCACCCACCATAGGTATCTTCTAGACAATATAAGAAATCCCAGATATATCCACAGAATATATTTTGTGGATATCCAATATATCCAGTGGATCTAATATGGATATCCAAATGTCCGTCTATATCCCAGGATATAGAAGATATTCGGATATTCAGCAAAATATTTTATTGGTATCTTTAGTAGAGGTTCATAAGTAACAAATGATTAAGTATTGAATAACGTCGAAAGAAAATAGCAGAGATAAATATTTTCAACACCCAAAATATTTTCAACACTGCCTTTGATTTTACCCACTAAGGAGAAAGTTGTCCTTATTAGGACTCTTCAGCAATAAATGGAAATTCTCGACTCCAGTCTCTAATGGAGTCTGACTGGGATACCAATTTCGATCGAACTCAATTACGGCGGGTTGAGCATGAGTAGATATTCAACGAGCGAAAGTGGTATCGCCATCTATACTTAGTAAGCAAAATCAAAAATTACATCTAGTGGATATCCACCATGGTTTCCTTTCGCGGCTAGACTTTTGATATATTTAGTGGATGTCCATGGGATATTGAATACACCTTAAAAAAAATAATTTTAAATATCTGAACGGTACTATTAGCTACAATGGCGTATTTTTTTAATAATTTGCTATATAATTACTATTTATGGACATTTGCATGTCTATAAATTACAACTTATGGATATAAAATAGATATCCACCATGGGCTAGACGTTCAGTGGATATTGGATGTCCAGTAGATATCCAAAGGATTTGGTGTGCTGTCTGGCTAAGTTGGACTGCTTTGATAATAAAAGAAGTCTTTAAATCCCAGCTTAAATCATGTATGTTATACTTTTATGTCTAGATAATTTAATATAATTTAACTTATTTACAATCGTTATCTTGTTTTTTTTTAATATTTAATTTTTTCTTGTTTATGTTAATTTTATGGTAATGTGTGTTTCTTTGTTTCAACATTCTCTAAGTCTAGGTTAGGTTTTAAATTTTCCCTTTTATTAAACTTGTATTTTAATTGGGCAATTGCTTGTTAATAAATAAATAAATAAATAAATATTGTCTACATAAATTTGTGAATAAGTAAATAATATATAAATTAGGATACATAATTTTAGTGAATATAAATTAAATAAATAAATAGACGTTATATAAACTTATAAAATTAAATCAGACTAAAAATAAACAAGTTTGTTCTGATACTCTTAAAAAATTGTTGAAACCACCTAGAAGGTTAGAAAACTTACCACATTTTAATTTAATATCAAATTAAAACTTCTGTAGTTGACACACCAGAATGTCGAAGGCATTCAAATTAAAAACATTCAGTATAAAAATATTAAATTTATTTGGTATAAAATACTTTTTACAAAAATATTATCAAAAAATATATAAAAAATATTAAAAAAAAAAGAGCGTATCATGGCAATTTTAAAGGCTTGTCATAGCTGGAGGTCTAGCATAAGCTTTCGGAATGAAACCGTATTTTCTAGTTTTAGGAGCGTAAGCCCACAACCAACCATCCACCGTTTGATTATTGAGATCTGCATATATCCAATCGCCCCTTCGAACTGTCAAATCGTCAGGAGCTTGCGCTTTGTAATCATAAAGCATTACCAATTCTGTACCGTGATAACGAAGATCATCTGCAGTAGACGTGCCTAGGGAATGGTTATTGTTCTGATTGGGAAAGTTGCCGTTTCCACTAGCATTTGTTGAACTTAAATGTCCTTAAACAATAAAATATATATTAGGGCTACTATTCGTATACTAATTTTACCCCACATCCATAATCTCTTCATTTAGAATGACATTAATTAATATTTATATTGTTAATGATTTGAGAGAGAATACAATTTTGAGTTTGCTAAGGGTACATTATGGAGAAGGGCTAGGGGAGAGGGTGGATGATTCGGCCACTTTGTAGAAATGAACTCATAAAACTCAGATTTCTTGTTAAATATTAAGAATTTGTATTACCATCAGTTCATCAACTTCTCTGTCAATTTTACTTATACTAGATATGGGGATAATTTCGGACGTGGCCGGAACCTCCACCTACCTAGAAGCCGAAGCATCACCATTAGTCCAAATTCACAAATATGGCTCGTGGACCAGTTAATATTAGTATTTAAGGTTAGGTTATTTGTGAAACATAGCTCTAAGTATGTCACTAAATAGGAACACTAAGTGAAATATTTTTACACATTGACTATTCTCAAGAGTTTCTTAAATTTGTAAATTGCAAAACTCACTTTATTTTCTCTAAAAGCATTTAAAAATGTGTCACCATAAACAAACACTTTTGAGACGCTTTCCATGCGGGTCAATACTAAAAACAAACTTATGTGCGTTAAAAATAATTGACGTTTCGCAGGAAATTTGAAATAGCTTAATTAAATCGCTGATGGCCGAATCCTCCCAGGGGCCGAACCCTCCACCCTCCCCCCTACTACCACAAAATGAACATTGAATTATTATTAATAGATTTCCAGTAATCTTTCGATTCCGTAAACAGTGGAAAGCTCATGTATATCAATCAACTTACCTTGTATCACATTATCTGCTGGATAAACAAATCCTGAAGGAATAAATCCCTCCTGACCATCACTCCTTACAATCCAGTACCAATCAGGATCTTCCCTGTTTAAAACTGTAACAAAAATCAATTCAAGCAACCTTGAAAAATTATATTATATTGGACATACCAGTTACAAATTCTCCTCTTTCAACTGATACATCATTTTCATCTCTAGCTATAAATGTATACAAGACAATGTACCGACCAGACGGGTCTTTCGAAAAAGGTATCATGTCAGGTTCAGAATGAATGCTAATGGGGGACGCCGCACCTGTTCCATGTTTTTTTCTATCAATAGAATCTGTGTCACTGTCGGCACCTGCCCCTTCACTAGAAAATTAAGATTTTTGTATAATCTATATAGATGAATCTCCTCGTAGTACTAAATCAGTTTTTTTTTTATTTTTTCACAATACTAGACAATAATTTCATATTTACAAACTCATTATTAATAGGTCAGTGTTTGACGGTTTTTCACTCTATTGACGTGAAATTTGTACAGTACATAAGGAATGGCTCAAGGAAGAAATGTTATATACTGTCGATATGTACTTTCACCATGGAGGTGGATGAAAAACTGTAGATATCGATTTATTTCTATGAAGTTTTTTCGATAAATCAATCTTTTTTGAGTTATTTGTGATCATGTTAATTTTTCATTGATTAATAATATTTTTAACTAAATTATATAACGGGTTAAGGGAAAAACAGGGAATGTCACATTTTTTTTGGATTCGATAAAACCGGAATATAAACTTTTGCTACAGCTCTACTTCAATGAACAGTTTCATAACACTGGCGTGCACATTTTTGGAAGGGGAAGCGATTGTATAAAAATACAGCAGGCCAGTAAGCAAAACGAAGGTCCATGTAATTTCCTCGATTGGCGGATCCACTTGCTTCATTGTGACCCGTAAAACTCTCATAGCGGATTCGACTGGCTCCATTAATGCGCATTTAGTTCGACTTTTTTAAGTGGTGTCTGTTCGACTGGCAGAACCTAATTAATTAAAAGCCAATCATTGCATTCGACTCAAATTGCTCGGTACCAATGTATAGTGAAATTTTTGTTCGACTGGCAGGCGCTCTTGCCCAAAGTTCGAATTTTTTGGAACTGTACTTTTTTTCAGTGCCAGTCATTTTGGAGGTTAGGAATTATTTATATTTTTAAATATATTACCTTTTTGTTTTTAATATTAGTGAGAATGGAAAATCTTTGAAATTAATAGAGATTCAATTTTTGGTTTGGCAACTATAAATAAATATCGTTAAAAATTTGTTAGAAACCTGAAATATCAAATGCTAACTGTTCCAGTCGAATAACGATAAAGTTGCGCTACGCCAATATCGAACTCTAACTTGTGCTTGCTGTGTGCACTGCTAGTTATAAATTTGAATTATAAAAATGCTGCCCAAAATCAATTCAGAACTAAAAGCGCTTTGTCATCGAGCAAGAGCGTGGCAAGAGCATTTGAGTCGAATCCGCTATTAGTCCGCGCTCTCCCAGGAAACAAGTTACATCTATTACTCCTTGTAAGAAGTTTCTATTTTTTTTTACCCTTTCATTGTGAATTTAAATGATTGTCCAAACTATGATTAATGCGATAGGTTCTGAATGTTTTTAAGCTATTGCATAGCTTTTATCGCGGGCTTTGAGTGGCGACCGAATCAAGAAATTTCGTAACACCGTAATGAAAATAAACCTAACACCCCCCACTCCGACCGGCACAGCAGTGTGACGTTAAAGCCATGGAATGTTATATCCGACCCTATTCGTATTAGTATGAAACGAAGTTAAATATACGTCTGCGGACTGGAACATTTGTGCAATGCAAGAACTAGAAGAGCTTCTAATAAATTGGTATCACAAATGTTCCCGACAATTAAAAGTTTAGGTAATTCTAAAAATTCTAGTAATTTAGGCAGACACTTTTGAGAGGGTTTAATTGCCGGCCAACATTAAAATAAGTCTTATTTACTGTAGAAAGAGATTTTAAATTCACATTTCGGGGTATAATAAAAAAATGCATTTATTTAGATGACTTATGTTTAAACTTTTAATATCTCAAGATTAAAAATTAATACAATTAAGTAATAATGATACTTTTATAGTTTTTAAATCATATATTTATGTGATTCCATTAAATTACAATATAGGTATCATTTGACATGATAAAATGTTTCATAAATATTTGTAATAAATTGTTATATATTATTATAAGCGATTCCAAACATCTATCAATATGTCCTCGGTGGCGCAAAGCGCACAGTGGTCGTAATGTGGATAGTGTGGGTAACAAGTTGGTGGTTCGAGCCCCGAAAATTTTAGTTTTTTTTTTTTTTTAAAAGGAAAAATATTTTTGTTTTATTATTTCACAGTCTTGGTAATTTAAAATGTTTAGTTTTTAAAAATTATATACTTATTCAATGCATAGTGGCGCATTCAAGTTCAGCTAATTTTAAAAATGCAAGGTACCAGTGGAGACTTCGTTTATTTAAATTCAAAAAAATAGGAATAGTATATTACATTACAAGTGTGAAAAATCACTGAATAAGTATATACCTTCTAAAAACTAAACATTTTAAATTACCAAGACTGTGAAATAATAAAACAATAATATTTTTCCTATTTTTTAAGAAAAAAAAAACTAACAGCCGTATGCATAGTCAATCGCCAGCGACTCGCCAGAGATTCATTTCGCCGGAGATTGTCACCGGTATCTCTCGCATTTTATTCATGATTCATTTCTTAAAACTCAAAAAATAATGAACGAATATCAAATTTTTCCCTATAAAAGAACATGAAAACTTGCGTGAAATGACATTCCGGTGACAATCTCCGGCGAGTCGCCAGCTTTTTGGGCTTTCGCCGGCGAATCGCTAGCGAATCGCTGGCCATACGCCGAAATGAATCTCTGGCGAGTCGCTGGCGATCGACTATGCATACGGCTGTGAAAGTTTCGGGGCTCGAACCACCAACTTGCTATCTACACTATTCAAACCCAAGTAGGTGTATGTCATCTATGTACAACAGTGAATAGCTGTACGCGTAAAATTTGTGTATAAAGTGTTTTAAATATGAATAAACAAAGTGCATTTATTAATGAAGAAAATGATGAAAAAATAATGAAAGAAAATGAGTGAGTACTCTATGTACATACATTTTATTATTATCACAAATGCAGTATTTAGTACCTTTTAGCCCAAGAGCCCACTGCAAATTTCGACCGTCATCTGATAACGACATGAAATATGCTCCAAAGACATGTAACAACATTGTACTTTACCAAATTGCACCTGTGCCAATCCCTATCCTGAGCAAAGTGGTTAAAAAAATTATTTTATAAACCTCTAGTGTCAATAATAAGAATAACTGAATAACCTACATGTATTGTAAGAAATTTAAAATATTTTAAACAATATTAACTTCTCATTTATTCAATTTATCGGTCACCACGCTCAAAAAGTGTAACTTGAATTAATATCAAAGAAAAAACTTGAATTATTATCAAAGAAAAAAAAAATACTGCATAAATAAAATAAATAAATAATTATAATTGCATAAGTTGATAAAAATGCTATGCAATAGCTTTACCGCGGCAGTCCCCGAGTGCCACACGTTTTTCTTTAATTGTAGCACTTATATGAGATTTGCTATTTACATGTCGTTTTACACTTTTGTGAAAATTATTCAAGTCTGTAATACCGACTGAGTTCTAATGTGTTTTTTCGGCTATATTAAAAAGTAGGCAAGGCAAGCAAAACAATTTCTTCAAAGTTTGCAGCCAGTTAACCATTCATACTTTTCATAGAACCCTACGTGAAAATGCCTGGTAATTTTTTTGCTGACTTTTCTACTTTCGTCTCTAAATTGATAAGATCCTTTAGTCTACTAGAATTAATAATGAGTACACAATACAGACACAATTTACCACATTATTATTGCTCACAGGCACAGTGCATAGTTCTTCCATTTTACAAAAAGAAAAACAACTACGAAAAACAAAACGAAATCTATCTGAAGTCTACGATTTTCCTCACACATCGATTCGCGGTGCGAATTGCAATATGCGTAAGGCAACATAAAAATCGCTGCCTCTCGACCGTATTTTACGTGTCCAAACAGACTGACTACTGTCGCGGCAAGCGAAATTAATTGGAAGATGAGCGGGCTTTTTCAAGGCGCGCTTCCGCCGACGGACTCGAAGTATATAGTTTTCGTTTACACAATTAATTTTCTCATGGATGTTGCGTGTGTTTACACATTACACCAATTAATTGTTAGTACATTTACGAAGTTTCAGAGAAAATATAGTACCTAATTTAATATTAATTTCTATGCATTGTAAACTGAAAAATATTTATTTTTAAATCTCAAAGTGTAGGGAAGCGGTGCTTTCCCCGCTTCTTCGATGGATCGCACGCCGCTGCTTCATAAATATCAATTTTTTTTTTAATTTAGAAACATAATACAGTATTATATTACCTGCAAGGACATTTTTTAGTAAAGTGTTAAAAAAACATTCAAAAATTAAAAATAGTAACAAAATACAGAAAAAAATGAAAAAACAAGGAATGTCTCAGCGTTTAATTGTAGGAACGGGGCGCAAAAGTAGCGGGATCGCTGAAAAAACGGAAAAAAATATGAAAACGAAATCTGAGAAGAAAAATTATATTTTAGCTGAAACTACAATATAATAATGAGTCCTACTGATGTGGCAGCGATGTGAAATAAACTTGGGCCTCCTGGTTGCAAAATCTCTTAACGTCATTAGATTTGTGTACTTAGCCGCGGGAATTGGGAGTAAATCTGAAAAAAATACATCTAAATATTATTTTGAAGTTCATTTTAACATGTTATTTATTATATTATTACCATTATATGCGGGTAGGGGAAGTTCAAATTCACCATCTGGTAGGGGAGTTTCAACTTTTGAATTTCTTCTGGGGTTTACTGTCATCGAGTGTTGTGTCCAGGTACCGTGATAGCTTGTTCTGCAATTAATGAGTCTCGAATGTTCTTGGTGAGCTTATATTTGTTTGATTTTCTGGATAGGGAATGTGCATTTTTTTGCATAGCTTCCATTTTTAAAAAAATTCCCATTTCTTTATTATGTTTTGTTCCACCTCAACTACTTCGAATGGTGACGGCCTTACCCTAGATGCCCTTAAAAGTTCAAACCTGTCTCATATTTTTATCACATTCCATATAGGAATGGCCTCTTTCAGGAAATGTGATTCTTATTGAGTCCAGCAGTTTCATTTTGTATACCACATAGTGTATAAAACAAAACATGGGATAATTTTTGTTTTGGCTTGAACTATGCTTGCCATGCTTGTCTTTTACCCAGAGATCCTGTAACTTTCAAGTTTTTTTGCAGATATTCATCTTTGCCCTTACTTGTGCCATGGATTGACTGGAAGCCTTTAAAACAGACGTTCACTTCTTCTGCTTTATCGCCACGTTTAATCCTAACTTTGTACATAAAATAAGCATCGTGAAACATTGCATTACCTTCTTCTTGACGACATCGTCTCCTTTGTACTGCCAAATATGCATTTTATTCGTCATTTGAACTTAAACTGTTAAAATATTGCAATACTTATTTTCTCTCTACATCAGTTATGTTTTCAAAATATATCAGTCTTTTACAGTTACATGGCGGCCCTTCTTTGTGACTGTAGACATATTTTTTTTTTTTATCATATCGACCGTTATTCCAGTTTTTCTTTTTTTTTAGTGCAATCAGGGATAACATTAGAATCACTTTCAGAAGACATTGTTTACCCACACAGACACTAGAAACACCTATTTTCTATTTCTTAAACTGCATAGAATAGACACGTTCCTTCTAACCTGCGACAGTAAAACTTAAGCAATGTGTGAAATAATAAATTTTAATGTTTCTCATTACACATGAACACTCTTACTTTTCAATCTTCACATGTGGACATTCCTTGTTTTTATCCTTCGTACCGATATTTTAAGTAGGCATATTAGCTGAACAGTTCTAGTTTATACCAGCTATTGTCTTGTAAGTTTGGTTTATAATATAGCTAATACATGGCACTAATAACTTAATTGAAGAAAAATTGTGACATTCCTTGTTTTTTCCCTTAACCCTTCATAGTTTTTAGTGCAGGTGCAAATTAATCTTAAAATTATTCCAAAATTGAATATAATTTTCCTTTCATCTATTGTAATAAGAATGGTTTTTAAGGGTTCTAACATTGCAATAAAACAGAAGTAATAATAATAAGAAAAGTGAGAGAATTTCAATCCATCAGTTATAAATGGACCATTAAAAACTATTAAGCTGTTGAAAACTATTTTTTTGTCATAAAGGTTGAAACATTAATAGTTGAACATGCTTTTAATACAAGCAAGGACTAAATATATGGTTTTTTAAATTTTTTTTGCGAAAAGTGGTGCTTTTCAAAGCCTAAAAATAAAAAGTGCAAATCAGAAACATATAACTATTACAAATTTTCATCCAAAAGAATTCCGAGATAATAACCTATTTGTACCTTCAAACACTGGACTATAAGACCTCTTTACATATCGTCCCTGTCCACAATATCGTATGCGCCATTTAAGTAATTTTACAGGAAACACAAAAAACTGTTTTTGTCCTCTTTATGTTTAATAGGTTTTAGAACTTTAGCTTTTGAATAAAACATAAGTGACATATTTTAAGATTATGGTGGATAAAAAGTGACAAAAGTTTCACAAAAAATGTTGCTTATGATACTTTGCCTGGACAGGGACGATATTAGAATACAAATTTAATATAATAGAAATGCTTGAGGAAATATTTATTATTCTTCTAAATATTTAACAATAAACTAATAATAAAATAAAAAGTATATGCGTACCAATCTTGATTTGTGTCTAAACTTTCTCCAGATGCCAAATGTTCTCCTCTAGGAAGTTTCTTCTTAATAGCAAGTTCTGCTAAATGATTGTTGTAAGGTGTACAATATGAATAAGGAATAAAGCCTTCTTGTCTTGTATCAAGACCTATTACGTACACCCAATCATTTTCCCTATACAAAATGTTCACAATCTGCAATTAAAACAATAATTAGTAATGAATTGTTTAGTAACCTTAATTATGCAAGTATTAAAATGTTTCGAACACCTGTTCTATAGATAACATAGAAATAGTATCATACAAACAGGTGAATACAAAAAATAAAAACTTATACACATTTAATAAATTTTAAAATTTCAATATTCTAACCTGTCCTCTTTTTACTTCAAGCTCATCATCAACACATGGTGTAAAATCATGTAAAACAACCATTTTACTGTCTGGGGATAATCCATGCTCTTTTTCAATTCCTACTCTAACTAGTGTTTCAATACTTGCAGAACCTGTGATTCTTCCCATTCCAGGTGTAACCCCATTATTGGATCTTGCAAGTTCTTTTTCTAGATCTACACTTGATGCTAAAAAGGAAAGTACATTGAATAATTTTAAATAAACTGATTTTACATCGATTACAGTGTGTAATTATTTAATTAATTATCATTGAGTTTGCATGATAACTTACATTTTTTCTTTTTACCACGTCTGATACGAACTGGGCATAAAAATGCCATTTTACGATTCTTTACATACTTTGTTAAATGATTACTTTAATTTTGTGTTTATTTAAAAAGGCAAATTTTACAGAAACTGTATTTTCCCACTTACATACCACTGATTATAAAAATAGCAGTGTACTCTTTAAAATAAAAAAGCAAAACAACAAATCAACCAGCTAAGCAAAGCTAACAACTTTTTTCAGGTGAACTTTTCAGCAGTTCTGCCCAGCAACCAGCAACAATTTCACCAGAAAAGTTTTAGACAACACTTTTTACACCAAACTGCCAAAACTTGTTTAATTTTGCCTAAAATCTAGGGGCAAAAATTGATTGAAGTGACACGTTATCGCAATGGAGTTACCATTGTTGCCAGGTGTTATTTTTATTACTTAAAAATAGGACAATTTTTTACAAAATTAATTTAGAATTTATTAATTATCGTTTCCCTCTATCAAGTTGGCAGGAATAGTAGACCATGATCATTTTACTTCTCCTGTGGAACACTGATCTAATGTTTTAAGAAAACAATGTTTTCAATATTGTTTCTATATTATTTTTTTTTTCAAAATTAAGCTATTAAAAAAAATGTCTTCCGTGACAATATATCATCAAATAATTGCTACATAGGCCCTTCATCCACTTGTGTCTTCAATTATATTGTTTCACCGGAGAGTTTGTTATTTTTCAACAATTTGGCGCAGATAACTAAAAAATGAAAAATTGGCCCTTAGGTCATTGTTCCACCGGAGGAGCGATATTAAAGGTATATATAACGGGTCTGGTCCAGGCCAACAACGGGCCCAGGTTCGTCAGATTTGTACGGTGTCACATATCTACCGCGCGATGAAAATCAAACGGACCCTACTTTTATCCTATTTGGCTCAGCCCGGCTTTCCATCGCGTGGTAGATACAATGAACTGGAGTGGGGTAGAAAGCTAATGTGCATATTGTATCATAAAACAAGATGCGACTCTATGGGCGCAGCCATTTTTATTTCCTATCTCACTCGGGAGTATTTATAATAACCATTTTCTGTTTCACATTGTTATTGTTCAATCCACAAGCTGGTGGATCAGACAATAACAAAGTGAAATAGAAAATAATTGTTATAAATACTTCCGAGTGAGATGAAAAATAACCTGTCTTTGCCCATAGAGTCGCATCTCAAGCCTATTGACAAGCGTCTACCCCACTCCAGTTCATTGGGTAGATATACGACACCATACAAATCTAACGAACCTGGGCCCGTTGTTAGCCTGGGCCAGATCCGGGCCCGGCCCGTTATATCTATACGCACCTTTAGAATACTGTGGTTAGTCCAGTGAGTTTTTTGTGGGTTAGACTTACGAAATGATTAGAAAGATATAAAACTGAAAAATGTATTGCAAAAAAGGATGAAATTAATACAATAGCTACAAGAGGACCAAAAATTAAAAAGGAATAATAGTTGAGAAACTGGAATTCAACGCAGTAAATGTACAAATTTTGAAAAATCGTTTGATGGACAAACTAGAAAATGCTTGCAAATTACATTTCAAAATCTGACGCCTCATTTAAAATATGGTCTAAATATATTATTGAAGTGATGAGAAATATTGTTTTTATCCAACAATCATTATTTTTGATTTATTTTTTTTTTACTTTCATTGGTGTCATTAGGTTCGACTAAATACGCATACCATTATTAGATTATTAGCCTCGTGTTCCGCTCTTTCAAAGCTTTGTTACTGTTTCCCAGTGCCGCTTATTTAAAAATACACATAACAAAACTTACGTAGAATCCCAGTATTTTCGGGAAATATTTTTTCATTAAAAAATTTTACAGACAAAAATTCATGGTTTAGAAAAAACATACCATTATTTGCCTATAGTATCGATTTTACGATTTTAGAAATAATATCGCAGGTTTTGTTTATTGTAACACTGCGTTTTAAGAGGCCGTAAAAAGCAAGCCAGGCTTTATTAGCTACCCAACCGGTTCCGAAATGTAACACATAACAGGTTTGTTCGGGTTTCTTTAAAACTCGATGCAAACCGTCCGAGAACCAGTGGAACAGTTGAATTCCAAATTATTCGTCGCGTACAACTATTAAACTGTCCACTGGTCAACTAGTTCTCTGATAGTTCTAAAGGTATTTTTGAAGAACTCGAACAGACCTAATAACTGATCCAAGCACTCCAAGCAGGTCATCTTGAAGAATGTCTGGAGGACCCTTCTCAGGAGTTAATCTACAATCTCATAGAAAGTATACCACAAACTACAAAGTAACCCGAAGTCCATATTTTACTTAGAATATGCATTCATTTTTGAAATTGCAAATTCTTTTAATAAAACTAAATTTATTTTTGATGTAAATAAATGTGTATTGTAAACTATATTCTGATATTTAACGACATTTTTAATATTCGTGGCAACATTGCAAACTAAAATCTGATTTTATTTCTGACATTCTGACTCTTGAAAAATAAAAAATAAAAATAAACATAACATAACCCCACTTTGTTTTGTTGCTGTTGTATTCTTCATTGCGATTTATTTTATTTGTTATTTAAAATGAGTTCAAATAACAAGAGAACAGTTTATGTTGGAGGATTAGCAGAAGAAGTTGACGAACAAGTTTTAAATGCTGCTTTTATCCCCTTTGGCGACATAATAGACGTCCAAATACCTCTTGATTATGAATCGGAGAAGCACAGAGGTTTTGCATTTATTGAATTCGAAAGTGCCGAAGATGCAGCTGCCGCTATTGATAATATGAATGATTCGGAATTATTTGGAAGAACTGTGAGAGTCAATTTAGCTAAGCCTCAAAAAATAAAAGAGGGCTCAACGAGACCAGTATGGTCTGAAGACACATGGTTACAGCAGCATGCTGGTGAAACCATTGGGAAGAAAGCCGGCACTGAAGAAATTACTGAAAAAGAAAATGAAACTGAAGATATTAGTAAAACTGATTCAAAGAAAGTGAAAAATCCGCAAGTCTATTTTGATGTTAATATTGGAAAAACAGAAGTCGGTAGGATAACAATGATGTTACGGGCTGATATAGTTCCAAAAACTGCTGAAAATTTCAGGTGTCTTTGCACACACGAAAAAGGTTATGGATTTCAAGGTAGCATGTTTCATAGAATAATTCCAGATTTCATGTGCCAAGGAGGAGATTTTACCAATAATAACGGCACAGGAGGAAAATCAATTTATGGGAGAAAATTTGCTGATGAAAATTTTGAACTGAAACATGTTGGTCCTGGTACTCTATCTATGGCTAACTCGGGACCAAACACAAATGGGTCACAGTTTTTTATTTGTACATCAAAAACGGACTGGTTAGATGGTAAACATGTAGCATTCGGACATGTTATTAGTGGTATGGACGTAGTTAAGAGAATGGAGAGGTGCGGCACGAAAAGTGGAAAACCCACAGATAAAGTGACTATATCAAGTTGTGGTGAGATCCAATAATTACGGATTATTTAGGGTCTACTTATACCACTTTATTTGTATGAATCTGTAAAATGGGTCTACCTAATATCCTTTGTAGATATGTAATAATATTATTAAATAAAATAAACTTAAAAGTCTGTTCCCTTTTTGTTACGTAATTCCTTTGTTATTTCTCCCCATTTTGTTTATTTCATAACGTGATCCTTGTTTGTCACATTTAGGCTATATCTCAATATTTAACTTATCATACTTAGTACTTGGCTGTATGGCGTTAGTCAAGGGCCAAATATCTTGAAAAATAAGCTCAAAATTTCTTGGAAATATATCCGGCCTTATCTGTAACGTGTGGAGAGTGGTAACTCCACGTTTACCACACTAGGCCCATAGTGCATCCTCCTAAGATGACAAAAGAAAATTATTTATTTTTTCATTATTTCATTAAAGCAAAGAGATATTCAACTTCTGTTTAGATTATTATTAGTTTTCAAACAAGCAAAAACTTCTAAGAACATTTTTTCGAAAGGGTGAAAATAAAGTATAATAGTGAATAAAATTTAATTAAATCAGAACAAATTTAGTGGCTATTTTACAATTGATGGTCACCTAAAGTGAAATCGTCTCATAAGTTAGTTAATATAAATATCCTGGATTTATCTTACCTAAAAATGTTATAATATATAAACTATGGAATGATTGGATGAGGTGGAGCAACTGCATGATGGATATCTAAATTATTGAAAATAGAAATTATACAAAAATTAGTCTAAAAAAAATATTAAAAAAAATCGTACTTACCCCTCGGACCTACTATATAAAGAATTAAAAATATGAGATCCTAACATACATATATTAATATAATTATTATAATTTTACAAAATATAGGTAGTATACAGGGAAAATAAAAGAATAGAATTCTTTTAAATTTCAATATAGAGCAAAATATTGAATTAAAAAATTGATAGGAACATAGGCGCCGAATCCCCGGGGCTGCGGGTGTGCAAGCACCCAGAGCAGTTTTAAACAGGGTGCGGAGCACAACGAGGACAAAAAGTGTCAATAAGTAAAATGAAGAAGCTGCCGTGGCCCAAGTTGGTATAGCGTCAAATGCCTCAATAAAATATTATCTTTCGGAGCTATATCACACCATAGATGCTTCAAAATGACCGATAGCATTTTGAACAAAACCTCTATTATTGCATGGAGGCCCAGAATCAGCATTTCTAGCATTTACTCGATTAACTGGTAGGCTTTTACAGAAAATAAAAATCGTTAAAAGATAATGGCTAGGAAGACAGTGGCGATTTAAAACTTGGGGGTTATAATCTATGTAAAAATACCTTCAAAATACCAGTGGTGGCTGCACCGAGCATATAGGGTTGCCAGATATCCCATTTTAGGTGAGAGCCTTCAGCCTATCCAGCAATTGCCATTTGACAATACCTTTTTTTTAAAGAAAATTTTCATAAAATCAACTTTAAAATAGCTTTTTAAAAAACCGGTGGTGCCTTTAAGTGAGTTGTGGAGGGGGGGGGGTTGCCCCCATTTTCCGCATAGAAGCCGGGCACCCAAAGCGATTTTTGAATTCCGGCGCCTATGCGGATAGGAATTAAAATATGTACTTAAGTTTAAATCATTGCATTTATTTTTAAATGATTTTTATTTACTTAATTCAATAAAAAACAGTAATTCACAACCAATGTATGTATGTATTGGAAATTTTAAATTTTAATAATTTCATTTTTGTTTATGAATTTGCAAGTGATTTAGAACATTTTATCGAGTATTATTAAAGAAATATGGCGACGTGCTCTGCTTCGAGCACGTCGTTAACAACAATGTGTGAAGTAAATAAGTTGCAATAAATAACAAAAAAACGGCCACTCTTTATTTTTTTTTTTTAGAAGAAGAAGTAATTGAGGTAAGGAGAAAGAAAATTTATTTTCGAGGTGAGGACCTTTTTTTGTTAGAAAACGAAAAATTTTTGGTTAAGATTCTTTGTGACAGGGCCCGATGTAGAGAATTGTCCCGGGGCCCGGCCTGGCTCTCGGCGGCCCTGGGCCCCTGGCCATTCCACTTTTACTCCCTTTTTTCATAAATTGTCAAATTATTTAAAAACAAATACATACCTAGCTATTTTCTGTAAATGGCATTAAAAATGTAAAAAACGTATTTCTCATCTATTAAATTGTTATTAACGATAAATAATACTTTTAATTTATTAAAACAAAAATAAAACCTGAATCCATAACTTAAATCACTGAAAATAAGTTACTTGAGATGGGGTCGTTTTTATGGAAAATTTTAATGTTACTACTTTACTAATTAAACTACAGTTAATTTATCTTAGCGCGTTTTATTAAAATGTAAATGTATTACCCTAATGAAATGAATGCCGGTAATCAAGGTTTTAGGCCTCGTCACTTTAACATTTTTATTCTCCCAGTTGATATGTGTGTGTAAAGAGATCTATTGTTTCTATCAGACAACACTCTCCATTAGATCCTTCTTAGAAAAAGCCTCCAGACTATCTGAAGGCAAATTTTACCAAATTTATATATTGGTTTATCTATTACAAATGACTTTCAAAACAAATGTTTGTTATTCTTAGAGTAAGAAATAATAAAATCTGTCGATAATTATTACATATCAATTTTATTTTTTGAGATAGGTGGCTATGATTCCATATAAAATGTTTCCATATTTTTAAAAATAAGTAACCGTCCTAATTTCTATTTTTTGACATTCCCGTATATGGTAAAAAATGTGAAATTTATTACTTAGTGGTAACGACACACCTATAGGAAAATATAACGGAAGAGTTAATTGGATTTTCTTCTTGTTGAGTTTCAAAAATAATAATTTCTCATGATTTAAAAACAAAATACATGAAATGGCCAAAATAGGCCTGCAAAGGCACTTTGTGCGCAATCTCGCCTTTATCGTTGTGATGTAATGCGCCAATTCAATTTGGCTTACTTTTGTTAATAGAGACTGGCGTTCCATTTTAAGCCTTAACTGGTCCGGCACTCTGCCAGTAACGTAACTGGTCCGACGTAGTCTGTAAGACTACTTTTTTCTGAGAGCAAAAAAAATAAAATAGGCAAAATGAAATGTTTTATTTAACATAGATATTAAAAACACCTAATAATAATAATAATATGTAAAAATAAACATATTTAAAACTAAATAAAAACAAAATTAAACCCAAAACTAAAACCCGCACAGACATTTTGAAAGAGTACATATTTTTAAACGAAATGCAAAAAATACAAGAAAAAAAAAATTCTTTCATATTAAATTAAATTGTCAAAGTGTTAGGTAAACAAAAACTTACATAAAATACAAATCTAAAAAACAGTTGATTTCCTGCATAAGCAAAAGTTCACTACCCTGGAACTAATTTTTCCCACAGCTATCTGTCGAGCTACAATACGGAAAGGATTAGATGTAAGGACCTGCCTGTGGGAGGTCCCAATATCCAATAAAAAATAATTTTTTATATCGCGTAGTCTGTCAGACGACGCCGGACCAGTTAAGGGTTAAATATACAGTTCACTGGGAAAAGATTATTTAAATATACACTGACTGGGAAAATAAGTACGAAAAAAAAATCATTGGCTCCTGGACTAGTACTGTATCGAAGGAATTTTATGAATGAAACAAATTACTACAATAACGGTAGAGCCTAGATATGCATTTCTGCCGGGGATCATCCGTGTTGGCTTCAGAAATTTTGTAAATAATCATATCTGTCTTGGTTATATATTTATGGTTTCCTTAGTTCGGAAACATCATGTAAGAAAGTATGTGTTCTAAAAACTTTTTTGAATTATCTGGGACAATATGAATATGTTAGTATTGATTACGGAAAAATATGGCAATTAAAATACTTGTATAAGTACCTTTTTATTGAGTACAAAATTATCACAATAATACACTTGCATCTTAACAACATAACATATACAAATATTTATACTTATAATACAAACATACTTTTTTATGTTAGAACGTTTTCACGATCATTTAAATCCCATTTAGGTTCTCAATCTTTCATTATGATTTGGTCGTGAAAACGTACTCATCTCTACGAGTATAATAGGTATATTTAATTTGTGTAACATTATTCACTTGAGTTTTTTTTTTTTTGAATTAGGCTTCTAAAGTTTATTTAATGCTTAATCTCAAGTGACTGGTAGTAATTTGCAATTATTTCCCATGCTTTTGGTGCCATGAATCCCTCTGGTGGATTTTCTCCAGTTCGAGCAAATTCTGTAAAATAAAAGAAGAAAAAAAAAACATTACCAAATTATTTTCAATTCACTGTTATTGTATTCGTGGTAAGATAACCGGAAGCGAGATCCTTATCAAAAAGACACTGATGGGGGAGCTGGACAGAACAATTTTGTACGCATCCTGCAGCAAAACCAAGCCACTCACATTCAGGTCTTGGACGCACTCTGGTGAAATCATCAGAGTAAAAAGCGACGATGACCTGACGTTGAAATGGCTAACAATCAAGGTACGAACCTTAAAAACATGGAAAGAAGCAACACTAGCTGTTGTAAGATTGGACGAGCTCTTCAAGCCCACCAAAGCCTCTCTCTGGATCCCAGGGGAAGCGCAAGCTGACTTTGACGAGAAGGAGGTTGCGCTCGGGCGATTTGAGGGTTAAAACTCCAACTTGCATGTAGTGAAATGGTGCACCTTCCGACATGAAACCAAAAAGACCCTAAGGGCCCGTCTCTTTGGCAACAAGGACATAAGAACCCTAAAGGTAAAATCACTGAGGGTGAGCTATGCGTTCACCTCATTGACTATAAGGCCAAAGGTCGAAAAAGAGGCTGAAGCGGGGCCCAGTGAAGAATCCTTTGCAAAGGACCCTCTTTCCCCCAAAAAAAGCCAACAGTGGAGGCCCTCGAGCCAAAAAAAAATGGCAAGAAAACTCCGAGAAGCCACACGATATCACCCTCTCTCCACTTTCGGAAGAAGGGATGGTCGAATAAATAACCACCTTACTGTCCAAACTTCAACGGAAGACCGGGAAGTAATTAAAGAGGTAAACAATCACACAATATGTAACTTGCAGCACAAAAAGGTACCTATGGCAATATGCTGCAAGATAAAGCAGCACTTAAAAACCAAAATTTTAGGTCTTAAAAATCCAATTGGTTCAATTTTTTGTTTTCCCAGCAACCAACAACTATTTCTAGGAAATACAAAGCCCACTCGATGGCGCAACTTTCCTCCGATTTAACTGCGGTTAGGATGGAATACGCCATCAAAGGAGAAAAGAAAACGTAAATCCTGGCATCTGCATACCTCCCCTCCGATGCAACCACACCACCACCCAGCAAAGATATGAAGGATCTAATTATAAATACTGCTTGGAGCAGAAGTTTAAGCTGATAATAGGTTGCGACTCAAATGCTCATAACTTCAGTTGGGGCAGTAAGGCTAAAAACCCTTTATGATTATATTGTTAACAAAAATTGTGTTTGTATTTTTAAATAAAGGTACTACACCAACATTTTTAAACTCTCGCAGTAAAATACTAATAGACATCACTTTATCCATAACTGGTATCTATAAATCAATTCAAAACTGTCAAGTGTCTGATAACATTTCGATGCAAGATCACCGCTGGTTAACATTCAAGATAAAGTTGATGTGCCACGCTATCTCGGAATCCTAGGAATGAAAAAAACTTATGACGACCTTCTTCAAGAGGCCCTGAAAGAGGTGGAGGTCCAAACAATTACCATGTTTTGTAAAAGTACTCGAACACTATCCAAGCACAATAAACAATGCCTATAAGAAAGGCTGGTTCAAAACAATCAGACGACAGACGACTACCGCATGATGGAGTTGGATCAACTCAGAAAGATGGATAAGAAATCCTTTAATAAGGCAAGAACCACAAAACTTAAAGAGGACTGGGATACTTACAAATCTCGTCTCAGAGAATACAAAAAAAAATCGTTAGACAAAAACATAGAGATGCATGGAGGTCCTACAGCGAAGAAATCGAATATTATCCGCAGGCAGCGAGGCTTCAAAAAGGTCTATCAGACGATCCACACCGCAGCATTGGTGCGCTAATCAAAGAGGATGGCAACTTTTGCTGTCAACACACTTCCCTGACTCGGTCATCACAGACGTGGCCGACTAAGCAGAGGAAGAATACAACCTAACACATTGTAGACTATGATGAGCAATATTCAGCTTCTCTCCATTTGAATCGCCAGGTCCTTACGGTATCTATCTAGTCCTACTTCAATTGGGTCTGGAAAAACTCACACCACACCTAGTAGGTATATTCAGATCCTCTTTGGCTTTGAGGTATATTCCCAAAAAATGGAGAGAGGTAAAAGTATTCATACCCAAACCTGGAAGAATGGATCACATTGTCCTAAAAACATACCGACTAATTAGTCTGACATCGTTTTCCATGAAGACATTGGAAAGGCTATGTGAAAGGTACATAAGGGTTGCGGTGATTACAAGACCCAAATCAATATGTATACACCCCAGGCAGATCTACTGATTGAGCCCTTCTCCTAGTTGCTGTCAGAATCCGCACTCTGCAGGAGATGCGAACAAGAAGATGAGACCATCGAGCATATCCTCTACGACGATTGCCTGACGCTCTCATTTATTAGAAGATTTGTGTTATTCTTATTATTATATATATTTGGAATGATAACTATAGTTTGGTCCATATTTGTTTCGAGCAAACCAATGTTTTCGTATACCGGGGCTGAACGTGTTAGTAATAACGACGGATACCACAAACGACAAAATTGATTAAATCTTTTGAAGAAAATATATACTTACTTCTCATCCTGGTACCAGAAATAAAATCGAACTCATCTTTTCTTTCTGGCTCAAAGAAATCCATTTTCTTCTTCGTCGTATCGTAAGCTGCCACTCGAAATGGGATAATTTCTAACGAATTGAGTCCTGGTGCCGCTTTGAGAACGCGTCCACCGTGCGTTGCGTCATATAGATTCCCATCTGGAGAAGCTTCTTTTCCACGAGGATGAGGAACTCCAGCGGGATCACGGCCTACTATGTAGAAGTTCGCACCAGCGATCATTCTAGCTTTAGCGTGCCATTGCACCTGAATCAAGATGTAAATAATTAGTGATGTAGAAAATTGGCTTTAATCAAAATTTAGAAAAAATGCTTGCAGTAAAAACCAAACCTATGCCTTTTGATATGTAATAATTTACCTTCTGGATCACATATGACAGAAACGTAGATATCTTATGATATAGTAATTATACTTGTTCTAATATAAATTAAATAAATATATTTTATACTTAATTTATAGGGTTTACTCAAAGTTTGTTCTTCGACAATGTTAAATATAAAGAGAAAGAAAACATAGAAGAGAATGAAAACAGAATAAATATCAAGCCCCGTATTTGGTATAAAATAAAACAAACCGAGTGATGATTTTCAGCCGCTTACAAACAAGTCAGTAATTTAGGCATTTTGTATTTCAGAATGTTTGGTTGTCAAAATGTCGTAAACTATTATTTATTTAGGAGTCCAGTTGGAAACAATCGAAGTTTTACAAACAAGATTTTGATAATATAATTTTTGGATTAGCCTATTTAGTGCTTACCTCATTAGGCCCAGCGTACATCATAGGACTAGGAAATATAGCCAAAACGGTGAAATCCTTATTCAGAATATTTTGCTCCAAAACCGCTTGGTGCTGGTGCATTCTAATTTTCAAAGGAACATCGTCATCCTTAGTCCAACCTCCCAATGGATTCAATAGCAAAACTGGCCTTTTATATCCTCTTTCTCGCAATTGACGATGTGTGTCTGTCATTAACAAAGCATGTCCGTTGTGAACGGGATTCCGAAGTTGAAACGCGAAGACGGCATCAGCTTCCAGTTGCTTGAATTTTTGTCTGAGTTGATTCGGAGTTAGACGGTAGTGGTCTAATCCGTCGTTCCATTTTATTGGTCTTAAAACATCTAAGTCGCCTCCGAGCAGCCAATCGCCTGACTCGTAGATCATCTGTAAAATAATAATTGGTAAAATTATTAATAAAAATTTAAATTCTTTGGTACAAGAAAATAAAAAAAATACTAAAAGATGTAAAGAAATTAAAAAAAAATACTTTATTATAGGGATGGCTCTTCTCGACAGTACCGAACTGCCTGGCAATTCTTTCTTCTTTTCGGTTATAATAGATCTCTGGATCCCTAAGAACAGCATACAGTTCATTATTGTGATAGATAGAAATGGCTTTACATCTTTCCAATCTTGTTTTATCACTGTTACTAATAGCCAGAACTATTGGAACGCTCTGGTTAACTTTTTCTCCATTTTTCTCGATGGTGTTGAAATGTAAGACCTTGAACAAATAAACAGGTATATAGGGTGGGACAATTTAAAAAACACAATGGATATCTCATAAACAAATGGCTGATCATAGAAAACATAGACAGACAAAAACTGATATAGTTTGGACTGCTGTTCTTCAGTATCTAACCCACATTTTTAACTACTGTCTTAGTAATTCTATCTTTCCTTCGCTATGAAAAAAATCTGGAGTAATACCACACCCAAAAATATAATCCCTTTGTATATAACAACCTAAGACCTGTTCGCATTTTTTGTGCACTGTCCAAGGTATTAGAAAAGTAATGGCAGAACAAATAAGACTTCATATCTTATGATTTAAAAAGGTCGTCCTATGCAAAAAAGTTCAAAACAACTTAATCACTCGCGGTGTACCACAAGGGCTTATTCTGGTACCTCTCTTGTTAACCTTATATTCATCTCGATTTTATAGACATCTTAAATATGTGCAGATAATAATAATACTCTCCCTAATTCACCCCTTTACGAGTAAATTTCAACCCCTGAAGTCAACTGAACGACTTGTGTAGGGGAAGGGACGGCTATTATTATTATTTGCCGTGGCGCTCCGGGGCGACTTAAAGACGATTGATGGTGCCATTTGACTTACAGGTGAGGAAAACCCGGAAAACCTCACCCACCATCATCGAGACGCTAATGTATGGCGAATTTTTTTAATCTGCATGTCATATCAACAGAAATTGAATGGTCCGGTCTGGGATTCGAAACCCAGCAGTCTCAGACTCATAAACTTGCCTATAAATGAATATAAGCGCGATAGACCGCTACACCACCGTCCCGATACATTACTCTATCAATCATCTTTAAGCCGCCACCGTAAATAATAATAATAATAGCCGTCCCTCTCCCTGCACAAACTCAGCTTTTGGGGTTAAAATTCACTCGTAAGGGGGTGTATTAGGGAGAGTATTATTATTATTATTAATATTATTATTATTATTATTATTATTATTATTATTATTATTATTATTATTATTATTATTATTATTAATTGAAAGAATCTCAAATTGAAGCAACTTCCTATAGTATACATGACCTGAGAACATTATCAGAATTGTCTACAATATTCTATCTATCAATTAATGCAAAATCTATGTTATTTGGTCTTAAGTTAGCTAGGAATCGTGTAAAAAATAGAATTCAGATTGGTGATAAAAAATTATTATTTTTCAGACTGTAAAACAAAATTAGGTAAATATATTGATGATTCTTTCAAATTTTCTCAGAATACATATTCGCTCCGTGCGTGACAGCAGCGCCAATAAATTGGTGTACTAATGAACTATTTTTGCGTATACTGACAATATAATTTTTAATAGAAATCGTAATTTAAAAGTACATATGTTAGTTTTAATAAAAGTATATGGATTTGTAAAACAAGTGAAAACATTAACTTATTATTATTATATATTTTTATCGCTTTAACTAAAAAAAGTCAGTATAATCAATAAAAATCAATAATAATACATAGGCAGGCAACAGTATTTACAAGAAAATGTATGAGAAGTTGTCTAAGTCTAATGAGTTGTCTTTGAAGAATTAACCTATTCTGTCAAAATAAAAAAATACCATTAAATAATAGCGTGTAGTTAAAATGTATAAACAAAAGATTATTTATATTTTCTTCATTCTTGTTCTAAAGAAAACATAGAATGAATGATTAAAACTGGTTTCCTATCAGTAAGACACAAAATTGTATTCCAGGCACATACAATAATCAAAGACACAAATCTACTTCTTGCTGAACATTTAAGAATTGAAGAACATCATAAAATGATAATTTGTTTATGTAAAAACTTTCAAGTTTCTGATGTCTACTATTTCCAGTATTACTGTTATTATTACAAAAATAAAGGTAATTTTTCTTCTTATTGTACAGCTATCCATTTATTTCTTTGATTTAATTTTCACATTGCTAATGAAAATTTTTATTTACACTGTTTTTTGCTACTATTTTTACAATTTACAACATAGCCACTCCGGTTGCTTATGGTATTGTTTTTATCTACTTTTTTGAAAAAAGAGTAAAATTTATTTGACACGCGAAAATACTCCATTTTAGTGATGATGTAATTATGGTTCCACTGACAATTAAAGTACGTTTTGTTCATTTTGTTTACCTAAATTATATCGTTTTTTTACTTTTATAAATATTTCCTAAAGTAAGTAAATAACGTGCATCAAATATACAATCGTTTAATTATCAATTACATACTTTTAAACTATTTTTTATGACCTGCAAACAATATTTAGAAAAAACTTAAAACAGTAGAAATGTATATGTCAAATTTATTGTTTTTGTTAAAAGGTTGGTTAGAATTAAATGTCAGTGGATCCAAAATGACATCACACTAAACTGGCGTATTATCATAAAAAGAAATATTGATTTGGCAATTATCCGTTACGTATGCCAATTGCCACTTCAATCTTGAACAGCATTAAATATGACTAACAGCAATGATTTATCTGTTCAATTTGATAAACAATCTTCATCATTGATGACGTGCAACGGAAATTTCGGGGTCTACCAAAATTTCGAATCTAATTTTTCAAAAACATGTCGTGCAAAGCCAACCCTGTGCTTTTTTTACTCCTTGCTCGCGATATGAAGTCTAGCGCTGGCCATATAGAGACAAACGCATTGCTTCGATAAGCTACCAGAAAAAAAAACGGTACGCGTCCGTTGAGTCATAGAGATGAAATTTTCGGACATTCTAGATCGTCTAGAAACTACTGGTACAGAGCTGGCTTTATATAAATAGCGCGAATTGTCGACGGACGGGCAGTTTAAAATTAAGAGTTGGACAGAAAAGACAAATTGTAATAAATAAATTAGAATTGTGAGTTAGTGCCTAAGCATTATATAAATTAATTAGTACGTTATAAATAAATTGTAAATAGTGTTTTAAATAAATAAACTATAACTAAATTAAACAAATTTTTCGAAATTGTTTTATTCGAAGAGCAGTTTTCTGAATCTCTGAATTTTAAAATAAACATACTTACTTTTATATCATAAAAACTTTGTGATTCCGTTACTGTTTTTTTTATTCGATTTAAATTGTTTGTTGTCATTATGAAGACTAGGTTGTCATATTTATTACTGTCGATGTAATTTTTGATTATCATATTAGAGCACATCACATACTTTGATTTTCTTTTACTATACGGAGAATGGTCGCACTGCGCAGCTTTCTGAGTGTCTTTTAAAAGGAGATAGAAAACTTTGCCATTTTGAACCCTTATTACGTGTTGCCTACATCTTGGCGCAATATTTTTAATAGGTGCGTTTTAATCATCCGCTTCTGCTTCGGAATTGTCGGTTTTCTTGTTTTAATCTGACAGGTTAGAACGACTGAACCGACAATTCCGGAAGCAGAAGCGGATGATTAAAACGCACCTGATATTTTGCTTGCTGCTGTCAGTGTCAGTGAATATTATTTTTGGAGTCACAGTTTATTGCTAAAGAATCAGTTAGCTCACTCGAACCAGTCGAAAGTTCCAAAATAACATCCACTCTAGGGATACAAATTCAGGATACGCAGAAGACTGCTGTTTTATTATAGGCGGTTGTCATATATTATATTATCCGAGTTGCGCAGTATATAAACTGGAACATTGAGATCAAAAGTGCCGACGCAAAGTGAGCGATCTGATTCTTTAGCTATAAACTGTGTCATAGGAATCAAAATGGCCGCGTCCTATGTTGGGCGTGTCGGACCACTCTCTTGCCCCGTATAGTAATCAAAGTATGTGTATTAGCCATATTCGAGCGGTCTCTTTGGTTTAAAAATATCAATAACTTTTAGAACCAGTTGTAATACTACGTCATAGATTTTGAAAGCGCTCAAATAGATAATTTTAAAACAGTGATGTCACTAACAAATAAGGATTTGTGAGTGTGTAAATCTCTAGCGACAGATAATTTTTTGCCTCAAAAAAAGCTCATATATTACCAGAGTTTTATGAAAAATGGATCGTTATATTTAGAATTCGACTTTAACCAGGTCAAGTTTTCAAAAATTACTAAAAATTATAAACCTTCATAATTATGCATTTTCTATTTTTTTTTTATAACCGTAATATAAAAAATCTTTTTTGATAATTAATTTTAATGCATGATCTTCGCTACTATTTTTGACATTAATGACATTTTTATTTCCTTGAACCGTTCTCAATGAAACGTTTCACAAACAGATGCAGCTGGTTTAAACCTATTTCAACGTGACGTCATTGTTTGGTCACTCGAATGGGAATAGTTTAAACCGTTTTCGAACCGCATGAAATATATTTAAACTAGTAGACCGCTCGAATATGTTTTTAATATCTATCCCATTCTCTAACAAAGTGCAGATTTAAAAAAAAATGTGTGTATCCAACTTCCAATCCAGTTATCATGGCGGCAAGCATGACTAAGGAAGTTATTTTCATGGTAATTGTGATATGTAGACGATCTGAAAGCTATGTTTTGTACTTAATAATATTGTCTAATTTTAGACTATCAGTCACTTGTCATTTAGATGTCTCACCTTTGTCAAAATTTCATGTAATGTCAGATAAAAGCATAAAAAATAATACATTAGTCATAACCATTACAGCATGCCAAAACCTTCATCAACATAAACCACGAGCTCCTACTACCAAGTACTTAACAAATACAAAATCAAACGCATCTTTAGCTACTTCTGATAAAACCGATTTTGACCAGATCGTTACTAGCGACAGAAAGGAAAAAGAAGTCAAGCATTTAAAAGTAAATTTTGCGGATTAGGGTATATGTAAAATATGAAAAAAAAGTTTATGTCCGAATAGGTATTATATCTTCTAAACGAGCCCTAATCATAGATTTGAAATTTTTCTACATTTGTCAAAATTCCATGTAATGTCAAATTTTATTGGAGTTCAAAAAAGTAATAGAAATAAACCTCTGGTCATAACCATTACAGCATGCCAAAACTTACATTCACACAAATCACCAGCTTCATCAGTTAAGTGCCTGACTACGCCTAAATCAAAGCCATCTGTATTCATTAAGGAAAAATGTACTGTTAATCGTACTATAAAAAGCGATGGAAATGAAATTATAGAAGAAACCGTTACTAAAACTGTTTCTGACAATCCCTTCGAAGGTAACGTTAGTGATTCAAGCCTAAAGACAGAAAAATGTTGCAGTTGTTCCACTCAGACTGGAAGCGAAAATAAAATGGTGAATGTTCCTTCTGGTATTACTTTAAATATACCAGTGGTGAAGCCAAGATATCATGGACCTTGTTGTGCCTTGGAAATATGCGTATTAGAAAAGCATCAACCACAATGCAAATTCAAGAAAACGAACCCATGTAAAAAACTCTCTCCAGATGATAAATGCGGTAGTTATGAAGTAATTGGAAGGATGAAATTTAAAACGTGTGAAGGTACGGAAACAATTCAACCGCAATGTCCACCGAAATGCCCAATATCTGGTTCATCCCAAAATATCTGCCCTAAAAAGTCAACTTCATCGGAATCATTGACGCAAAAAGCATGCTGTTGTAAACGGAAACGAAGGTGGTATGAATGTTTATGTCCTTGTGTACAAACATTAAAAACGTTTGATGTATGTATCCCTTGATGACAAATTTACAAAAATAAGGCTTTAGAACCGGTCCTAACGTAGTTTAAAACCGTTTTCTACTACTGTTGAAACAAACCAAGTGTAATTCCACATGTGGAACAGTTATCTAAGTTTATGTAGGTATTTAGTTTCATATCTATCAATAGTAACATGTAATATTTTCCTTAAGAACAAATTAATTTTCAAAAGTTTTATATAAAAAAAAAAATGAAAAAAATGTATATAAAACTTACTTGCAATAGCTCGTTTTCTTTCATAAAACCTCTTAACGGGTATGCCCAACCTTCGCTTAGAATTTGTAGCCATTGTAAATCTACAGTGCCGATATCGAGTTTTGGTAAATTTTGAGCTTCTGTTAAAACATCATTTAATTTCTCTTCTTTCACGAATAATTCTGGAACCACAATATCTTGAAGGTGTCCATTTGGATTACTGGATTGTACCATAATTGGCATGTTTGGTAAAATACCCTGAAATAAATTTATTTATTTTATTCAGATCTGGATTCTGTAGAAAATATAACAGATTTACGTAGTGAATAATCCAGTAATTAACTATCCCAAGTAGCACCATAAAAACATTTTGGGTTTATTTAAAATTTAAAATGGTTTTAATGTGGTAAATAAGAAGATACTGCTTTTAAAGTTACCTTGTAGATATACTGCGGGTACTTAAAAGCCGTTTAGCATTTATTACTGGTTTTAAAATATCTAATAAGATTCGCTAATAAGGGCAATTAATCTTAAAAGTTTGTATGTCTTGTAGTTTTAAAATGGTTTAGGTTCAATTTACTTTAAAACTACTTAGTTTTATGAAGGACTTGCAGCTTGTTTGGTTTTATTATGTTCTAGATTGTGACGTTTTAGTTTTCAAGTAGTTTTAAAGAAATTATTAATGAAACTAATAAATCTGCTTCATCTTAGGACAATTTGGTCAGTAAATATTGCGTTTTAAAACTATTTCATTACTTTTCCTTATAACGACTTTCTTAAATGCAATTAGATAGCTATATTAAAACGGAACGCTCTTAACTAAATTAATTTGGTTATCGTAAAGACTAACTGTACTTCTTGTTAAAATCAATAAAATTAAACTCATCCCCTATTTTTACGTGGCCCAAATGAACCCCACATTTTGTATCATGTCAAACAAGGATGTACCTACAATAATTAGAAAAACTGATAACAATATATTATTATTAATCTAAAAATACACAAAACACGAACGACTGATATGGCACGGAGATTTTAAAGTTAGGTTTACATTAAAACCGAGCGGCATTTGTCACAGCCGCCTTAAAACTAAACCGTTTAAATCACAAGCGAACCTTTCTATTGTCTAGGGTATGTGCTCTTGGAACAGTATAAAACTCAATTAAATAAAACCCTTTGATCTTAACGTTTCCTTGTCCATTAACTAAACGGCTTTATTTAATTTCCGGTCATTTTACTTTCTCGAGATGGTGGAAGCCATGATAGATAAAAATATTTAGGCTTGCATAAAAACGACAAGTTAACTACTTAAACGTACAATTTTGATTTCTTATAATACAGAAAAATCTAAAATAATAGATACAATTATTTTTCTTTCTAATTTATGTTTTCCAATTTTGTTTTTTTGGATTATAAAAATTCAGAAATTTTAAGGCCCCTAAGTTTTTAAGACTTTCGTTAACAATTATCGATAAAGTCGGGTGCGCGGTATATATTTCTTTCTACCCTGACATTTCGAAATCAGTACCTTACTTTTTATTATTTTATAGTTCATGGTTAGAGCGTCTCCATATTATCATCTTCAAATATAAATTGCTTTTATTTGCTAAAAGAATTATGTATATAGTTTTAAAAAACTATTTTTATATGTTAACAATAAGATAAATTATCTTTAAAAGTATACATGTAACTAACATTATTAAGTCCATTTCAAAACCGCGTGTGTTTAAAATGTATAGTGGTTTTAAAAGGGTCTTCACAGCAGCTTTAAAATCAGTTGTTCAAGGTAATATAGTTTTAAGGTGGTTTTTATTTTTGGTTTTGTTGACCTCTTTCTGAGTGGGACCTTTTATGCTGAAGGCGTATTTATTACAACCTCAAGGCTCGTTTTAAAACTAATTGGTTTTAATTGCAGTTTTATTTTACGGTTTTAAAGCATCCTTGAAGTACTGAATAAAACCGTTCGGTGCTACTTGGGATACCACTTTGGATTTGATAACATTTTTAGATGTGTTATTTGCGAAAGGCATTCGCACATTATAGAACATGGACATTCTGTATAGCAGTCCCCTTAACCCCTCATTTTTATTCAAATTTTTTTAAATCAATAGGCTTCGTCTCCTATAGAGCTTGATTTTTGATAAATGTTTCAAGTTGATATCATTTTTCGTTTTTACTTAGGATTTTCTTTTATATTCTAACACTCTTAAGCCTCCATTTTTATTCAGAATATGTTTTAGGAATTTATAGTCTTCATTCCCTTGATCTCAATACAATAAAACGAATTATTTAAGAACCTGAAACGACAAAGCAATAATGGAAGTTAAGAGGCATATAACAGACAAATAAAAGATGGAGAGTATTAGATTTTTAAAAATTAAACCATATATGGCCGTCTTATACTAGCAAAATATTAGAAAAAACTAAATGAAAATAAACAGTAATATAGATAAATCCAATTAGATCCTTTAAGAACAGGTGGAAATGGGAAAAATTCAAGGATGTCAAAACTATGTTCCCTTTACTGTTGAACTTCCTTGGTGAAAAAAGGGGGTAGCATACTGTTGGCAATTTTAGACGATTTGGTGTATATTTTTTATTAAAAGTAAAAAAATATTTGCTATTTATTTCAATAAGTATTTGTAGTGCTTGTGTTGTTTGAAGCATATGTTCACTTAATTGATTACTTACTGCTTTAAAAATTAATATAATAATAATAATTTATTTATTCACAAAAAAAAATAAGCAATTTACATTACTACAAAAAAAATACTAAAAATGTGAATAAATAACAATGATAGCCATACAAAACACGAAAGTGTATGTAAGCATAAATACAAAAAATAATAAATTCCGAATATAAATATATATCCATACAAATACGACTAGTATCGGTGTTTAAAATCATGTTCACATACCTACCTATAAAAAATAAAATAAAACAATAGGAATTTCTTATAACTACAATACGGAGACAGGAACAGCATTGATCCATTTTATGTGATAGTGTATGTAATGACAAAAATATATTATAGGCATAAGCAGGATAAAATATTTAAGCTAAGTTTTTCTTTTATTCTCTTATTTTTTTACATTTATAAATCATATAGTATGGTGTAATAACCGTCTTGGAAATTCCAGCAGGTATTTTTTTCAAAGTACTTTAAAGATTTCTAGTCTATTTTCTGATTTTAAGTTAATAGGCAAATAATTGAAAATTTTTGGTCCTAAGAAACTGTAGCTCCTTTGGCCGAGGGATTTATGCATAAAAGGAACTAGATATTGACTATGTCCTCCATTGGCGACGGAATAACTTATCTTGGGAGGGGACTTGAGCCCGCCTTAAAAATGCACTTTTCCATAAAATAAAAACAATAAAAAGGGTGTTTATCTATGCATAATATTTTTAAATTAAAACATAAATAATTATGCATATGTGAAAAAACTGAAATGCGTATATACATGTAAATATACACACAATCATCTATTATTTTTGAGATGTATGAACATTTTTTGTTTATGAATAAAAATCGGTCCTTACCAAAGACTTTTAATGACAAATAACCCACATAGCAATAAAAATAATTAATTAGTTGACAAAATAAACACAATGGTATTTTTTTGATTTCTGAAACGACATGAGATTTAAATTTTTAATAGCCGAAAAGTAAAAACAGAAAGCAAATTGGTAATTTTAACAATCCGTGTTATCACCTCTAACCCTTATGCAAGCTTCTATTTGCCTTGGCATGCTTCTTATTAAATTGTCAACATTTTCTTGGGGTATGTTTTCCCATTCTGCTAATGCTGCATCAATAAGCTGTGCGACATTTCCTGCATTGTTTCGACGAGCTCTAATCCTTCTTTTGAGCTGGTCCCACAAGTATTCGATAGGATTTAGGTCTGGTGAACATGCAGGCTAGTCTAAAACTGCATAACCTTGTGTTTCAAGATATTCTGTAGCCACTATGCTGGTATGGGGAGGTGAATTATAGTGCATAAAGATAAAATTATCCCCAATTGCAGCTCTCCAAAGCCTTACGACTGGTTCTAGCACTAAAGCAACATATCTCGGACCGGTCAAAGTTTATTGAAGTGGTAACAATGTAGTTTTTGCTTCCAGCATAATACCTGCAAAACATTACAGTTCCTCTTTGATATCTTGGGATATATCTGACAGCGTGAAGTCTCGCTCATCTTCCTGGAGCTCTGAGAACCCGAATTCGATGGTGATCTGATCTTAGGCCAATTGTGGTCTCATCCAAAAAAAGAATATTTTGCCAATTCTCAATTGTCCAGTTTTGGTGTTGGAGGCACCAATTTAGCCGGTCAATTTTATTTTGCCTAGATAACGGTGGGACCTGTAACTCTTTCTTACTGTACAAACCCCGTGCGCCGATCAACAGTATCAGAGGCTTTTGTTAAGTCTAGAAATGCACCTATACATGACCTTCTGCTATCTACTGCCTTATAGATTTTTTGTGTCAACTTTAGAATTCCACATTGGGTACTCTTCCCCTCCTGAAAACCGAACTGATATTCGGATATTATTTTTCCTTCTTTACAAAACCAGTTAATCTCTTTTTTATAATTTTTTCGAGAATTTTACTAAAATTAGATATTAGTGCTATTGGACGGTAATTTGTCATTTCTGTATTATCTCCATTTTTATAGATCGGTATAATGGTTGACATTTTAAACAGTGTAGGAAATTCTCCCTCATTTAGAGATTTATTAATGATAAATGTTAGAGGTTTTATAAAAAACGGTATTATGGGTTTTATTAATTCGGATTTTATTCCATCGGGGCCAGGAGATTTTTTATTTTTAAGATCTGATATAACGTTGATGACCTCAATTTCTTATGCGGAAAAGAGAAAAATTGAATGTTGTTTTAAAATAATATTTTCTTTATAAGTTTTATCTAGTTTGCTCTTTCTGACAGACTTTTACCTATAATTATGAAAAAATTAATGAAATTTTAAGTAATTTTGAAAGGATCACTAATAAAATCGTTTTCAAGTTTAATTTGAGAAATATGACCTGTTTTTGTTGTTTTCAGCAGCTCGTTAAGTTTTCCATTAATTTTTTGAATCACTATTTGCTTTTAATCGATTTTTATAGTAATTTTGTTTAGCATTTTGTATTAGTTTTCGTAGTATATTTTTATATTCCTCTTTTAACATTTCGTTGTTTCTGTTAATTTTTAGATTTTTATACATTTTATTTTTTTTTTGTTGATCGATTTTATAAGTGATTCCGTTATCCAGTCTTTTTTCCTAAAGTTTTTTTTTAATAATATTGAGAATCATTATCAATTTCCAGAAGATCTATATTCATGTTTCCAACTAATAAATTATAATTGTATTTTTCTATAATATTTTTCAAGATCTTCTAGAAACTTATCTATGTCTCGAGATGATGGTGATCTATAATAATAATCATCATTTATTTCTGTAGACCTGAATACATAGGTATAGATAACGTCACATAAAATTTACAAACATGTACTTACAAACAAGACAAAAATGTATGAGTAAAAACAAACTTATATATAATTCGTTACAACAATACATTTAAAACATTTAAGTAAAATTATAACAAAACATTTAAGTAAAATTGCAGTGGAGGTATTCCTCAACACTATAAAAAGTGTGAGCTACAGGGTGTTTCAGAATTATGGTATCAAACTTCTAGGGGTTATTCAGTGCAACAGTAGAAAACATTTGAGTACAGAAACCCATGTCCGGAAAAGTGTCACTAAGGCCCTAAGACGCGTTAAAATTTAGAAAGACCATGAATTGCCTAAATAGCATTTAATGCATTTAATTTTTGCCTTTTATACATGATATCACAACAATTGTTCAAAATGTCTTCCTCCAACCTGAATACACCGATTTATACATCGCACATGATTTCGGCAGACTTGACTAAAAATTTGATGCTCGTTTTGAATGATTTCAAATGCTGCTGTAATTCGTCCAATCAAGTCTTGCTCTGTTTCTACTGGAGTTTCGTAGACCAAAGACTTTACATGTCCCCACAGGAAAAAATCTAGCGACGTTAAATCAGGTGACCTAGGAGGCCAAGAAACTGCTCCACCTCTGGCAATCCAACGGTGCCCAAACCGCTGAGCCAAATCTTCACGTACTTGTACAGCAAAGTGAGCCGGCGCTCCATCATGCTGAAACCACATTTGCTGTCGAACGTATATTGGAACATTTTCAAGAAGTTCTGGAAGAACTTCCTCCAAGAAACGCCGGTAAATAGGTCCTGTTAACCGTTTCGGTAGAAGGTATAGCCCAATCAAATAATCATCAACAATGCCTGCCCATATGTTGACAGACCAACGTTGCTGATGTTTTCTAGGAAAAATTGTATGGGGATTTTCTTCGTCCCAAACATGGCTATTCCTGCTATTAAAAATACCGTCTCTTGTGAATATAATAAAAATAAAATAAATAAAATATATCGTGAAAAATTTGGTTGTGCATGAAGAAGCCATTGACAACATTGAACTCTAGAATGATAATCGGCTGCAGACAATCCTTGAACTTTCTGGAAGTGGTAAGGATAAAGTTGTTGCTCGTGTAGCACACGCCAGACGGAAGCGTTAGTCGTATTCATATCCTTAGCAATGTGACGTGTGCTACTTGATGGTTCGTCGGCAACTCGGTGAAGGACCTCTTCTTCAAATTCGACCGTTCTTATGGTTTTAGCAACACCAGTATCATGCATGTTGGTTTTATACATGCCTTTCTCGGAGAGCCGCACTGCTCGTGCATTGCAGCTTGTTGTTCCGTATGCCAAATGCATATCCGCCAATTCTTAATTGGTAAAGTTTTCCATTAGCAACAATTAATTTTTGTCAAATTCTTGCAAACTTCACAAATACGATAGCACGACTAAGGTGATATGAAATGCAGCTACAAAAAACAATCTTTGTTATCGTTTTTAAAGATAACAACACACAAGCGCCGGTAAATTGTTTAACATCATCAGCTATAACATTTTTGAACATTGATATTGACATTTTGAACAATTGTTATGATGATATCATGTACAAAAGGCAAAAATTAAATGCATTAAATCCTATTTAGGCAATTCATCGTCTTTCTAAATTTTAACGCGTCTTAGGGTCGTAGTGCCGTGTTGACACTTTTCCGGACATGGGTCCCTATACTCAAATGTTTTCTACAGTAGCACTGAATAACCCCTAGAAGTTTGATCCCATAGTTCTGAAACATCCTGTAAACTACATTAACGATTACAGTTTGGTTGTTTATTACTGACTTTATTTGAATCAATTTACTATCGCTAATATCGTAAGTTTTATGTGAAAGACAGCAACACTGTAAAATTATAAGTTTTCTTATACCTGCTCTTGCAACAACTCCAACACCATATCCACCGATTCTTCTATGGAAGAATTTGTAGTTTTAAGTACCAATTCTGGATGTTCTGGTTTCTCGTACGCTTGATCTATTCCCGTAAATCCTTTGATTATTCCGTCTCGAGCTTTTTTATAAAGTCCTTTAACATCTCTTTGTTCGCAAACTTCTAATGGAGTATCTACAAAGACTTCAAAGAAGGGCAAACCACTTTTTTGATGGATTGCTCTGGCCATATTTCTGTCAGCTGTTTGCGGCGATATAAAACTGCAGAGACATATATGTCCTGCGTCTGCAAACAGTCGAGCAACCTGCAACGACAAGGACAAGGACAAGTCTGCATTCAAGCAAGCACATCAGAATATACAAATAGAATTGATAAAAGAAGAAGAATTTAGAGCTTACCTCTGCAACCCTTCTAATATTTTCCTGTCGTTCTACTTCTGAAAATCCCAAATTTTTATTGAGTCCATGTCTAATATTGTCACCATCTAAGCTGTAAGAAGGCACGCCGCTAGTGACTAAGCGTTCTTCCAGAGAAAAAGAGATACTGGTTTTTCCTGCTCCAGACAGACCTGTAAACCAGATGGTACATCCTCGAAATTTCTTTTCACCACCGGTTTTCCCAAGACTTTGACTTCTTTTTTCTCTGGTTACATGGTGGAATTCGGGTTTGATGTTTGTGGCTTTCTGGATATTCTAAAATTTGGAATGTTGTTTATTTATTTATATTTAAATTCTATAAAACAATAATAATTGTACTGGAAGATAGTCTTAATAAGCAAAAGAGAAAGAAAACTCTAGCGGGTGTTTCATAATAATTATTGTGACAAACGAATAGAGGTATCAAAATAAGCAATTAAAAATTGAGAGGTTAAGTTAAAAAACTTAACTGCACAATGCCCAAAAATTTTCGTCTGGTAGTCTCTGTGTATGTATGCCGGCACGATAACTCTAGAACGAAAGTTCTGATTGACTTGCGGTTTTGATTTTCTTGAATAATTACTTCTAACTTAGAACCCTATTGATTTTCAGAATTTTCGGTTCATTCTAACTACTTTAATATCAATTTTCTTAAAACCCGCCTATGCATTTCTTATGTGACAATTTTAGGAAATCCAATAATTTCTAACGTCTGACATTCCTAACATTCTTAACATTCCATAAATTGCAAACATTCTCTAATGCCCTGTCAAACAACAGCTGTTGATAGTAAAGGTGAGATTTTTAAGGCGGGTTGCGACCTTTATACTTGCAACTATAGCCATTTTGGAGGCTATTTTTATTCGAAATTAGTCGGCAAGCCTGCCAATTTATGAAAAATATATAAACAGTTTCTTAAAAATGACTTTTTTTATGGTGGTGCTAACTTAAGCGTACTAATATTTCGCCCCTGGCCACAAAAACATCTTCATCAAATTTACAAGCCATTTTATTTGGCAAAAATCAGAATAATGCTTGGCTGTGCCTGTCAAGAATCAAGATGTCAACTGTGATGTGTGAATGGCTCTTAAATGTCAAATTATTTAAAAATGTATGCTTGTGATATTTATTGCAAATAATTTGTAGTGTATCTCAATTCAGGCTTTCCATAAATAAAGGTACAGAAAGACAGATAATATAATGTTCTTATACAAAGCACTTTTTTATTATATAAAAGGGAGGTAGGATATAATGCTGGTTTTTTTGTGGATAATTTTAATTATATGATTTTAGATTACATTAGAGGGTTGAAGTGCAATATTATATAGTCCACATTATACCATATCGCAAAATAGATTCAACCAGCGAATTGTAAATATTAGTAAACTCCTAATCATAAATTTCCTCAATTCATAAAATTTAAAAATGGATCTTCTTGCCTTGGGATTTTAATGACGTAATGTGATCAACCCATTTCAAATTTTGTTCAATTATTATAACCGAGGTATTTTGTGGTTTTCTTTATTTTAATTATAAAGTTGTCATTTATTTGTATGTTGAAAGAAGGCCTTTGTAAATTACATTGCTCTCTATGGATCTACTTTAACACAAAAATAGTTTTGTGGCTATAAGTTGCTATAACCTACAGTCGCAAAACTATTAATAATTTAAACATAGTGAGTAGTATGATTATAACATCAAGTATTTTTTTAGAATAAAGTACATGATCTCAAAACAGAAATAATTTATAATAAATGCGGGTAAAACGAGGGGTAAAATAACAATAAATTAAGGGAAATACTTAAAAAGGGCAGGCTTAAAAAGTTGTATCACAAAAAAGTATATCCGTTCTGTTTATTTATCAAGTATTGTTTGAGGTTACTTTATACATTTATTGTTGTTTTTTTTTTTTAATTTCTGTAGGCAGTCTATTAAATTTTTTAAACCTTTAATAAAAATTGTATTTTGGGAACTTTTAGTGATGGCTTGCCGTACATGACAGTCAGATTGGCTTCTTGTATTATAGTTGTGATATTGCGAATTATATTGAATTTTTTCTAATAGATCTGATGCGATGGTACTGTCATTTTTATTTTATAAATAAATATCAGTCATGTACTGAACATAATTCTAAACTGAAAGCCAATTTATTTCTTTTAACATAGTTATAATACTCATCCTTCTGTCCTTTATTAATAGAACATAAACAGGCGAAGTAAGGAGCCCAAATATTTTACATGAGCAGGCTTAAGAGAGAAAGTAATTATTATTGGATAAATTGCTCGAACAAGTTTTTAAACCCTAATCAAAAGACGATATAGAATGGTTTTAAAAATCAAAGCTTGTCAAAATCATTACATGGTTTAACCTAACTTAATAAAGTTTTTGTATATATATTCCTCATTTTGTGGCAAACAGACTTAGTCTAATGCCATTCTCTCTCTCACACACACACAACCTAAGTAATGCCAATGCTTCACAAACCAAAAAATTCAACGTCCCAATACTACTATCGGCTTCGGTCTTTCGTTCCAAGTTAAATCATTTCTCGTTTTTGTTACGATACGAGTTTACCCTTGTGGGCCTCAGTCTCGATAAGGTGAGAAGCACCATTTAAGCGTCTCTCGAATTAAATTTAAAAAAAGTAAGATCGAAATTAAAAAAATATTAAATGTTCTCAAGAGTAATGCACAGTTTCGAATTGGGCTGTCGGTCTATCGGTCGAAAGACCGATAGGTCCTGGTTCAAGCAGTGGGCCCTGGTTCAGGCAGTGGGCTCTCGTTTAGTAAGTAAGACCTCGTTCAGGCAATGGGCCCTCGTGAATTAAATGCAAGAAATCTTATAATACGTGAGATGACCTTTTTTGCTCTTCAATGAAAATCGGATCATGAAAAAGGTTCTGACCGGTAGGGAGGTCCCAATCCGACACTGGTAATGTAACCTAGTTTTAAAAAATCCAAGCAGTAAAAATATTTTTGATTTTTGAGATACCTACGAACTTATCCAAATACCTACCTTGTGAAACCTATTATTATCAAAATAATACAGTTATACTCTATTTTCAATATACAAGGTAACAATTTATGCTTGAATACATAATACCTTTAATTTGAGTAGATTTTGTCGAAAAATTTGAATTAGGGATGCTCTATTTTGTTGATGAAATTTTGACAAAATTAAATATTTTGGAATTTCATTTTTAAAGTAGTTAGAATTGGAGATAAATAAATAAGACTATCTTATTTTTAAATAAATATACATAGTGGCCCAACGAAAATTTGACGTGAGACGTTTGGGAGTAAAGGTAAAGAGAATTTTGGACGTCAATTTCTATTCTGAAAGGGACACATTTTTATTCCATACACAAATATTACGTCACATCTCTCCCCTTCAAAGTTTTAACTTAAAAAAATTAAATATGCAATTTACCACTTGAGACACACCCAGTGGCAGCCTGTAGTAATTTAAAATAGGGGTTCATTTTTTTCCAATAATTATAGTATTTGTAAAACTTTGTACAAGCACCAATATCCCTCAAAACTTCTTTGACATTGCCTGTTTGAATGCAATTAAATTCTAATTTTTTTTAAGATTGAGAGATTGAGAAAAATTGCGATACCATTACTAGAAATGGTACATTGCGCTTCACAAGCGCAGAAACTATTTTAATATCTACCGTTTTCATTTCATCTGTTACAATGACATTTTCGAAGAATTTGTTGTTCTAAAAAAGCAAAAGTTTTTCCTGTTATTTTGGTTAGTTTTTAGAGAAAACAAATCTTAGAGCTGCCTGTGAATCCTGAAATATGCATTTTAAACTTTGCACAATTATGCTTTTTTAGGAAGCAATTCTTGATTAAATTTTTTCGTTACCTGGCTATACAATAGCCTCTATACCCAGCCTGCAAAGTCAAGATGAAAATAATGGTTTTTCTCTATTTCGCCCGGTAGAACTGTTCAAAATTTTATTTACACTACACCACAACAGTGGCGATTCGTGGGCACTAACGGCAGTGGGGCACACACTGGAAAGGAATTTCGGGATTCATTTTTCCCTTAGGAAAACAAGTTCTCCGCTTAATGAAAATTAAATATATTTTAAAACAAATTAAATATTACAAAATTAAAGACTAACTGCTAGGTACCGCTGCAGTTGTATACTATTTCTTATAGTTGAAGTCCATTCTTCTGAATTTTTTGCTAGCGAAGTGATCGATGACCAGATTATTAAAATTTGGAATGGACCGAATAAGTTTTTTTTTTCGATGTATAACATGGCTAACGCGCACAATCTATCTTGGCACATAGTGTTCCTTAAAAATGTTTTGATACGTTTTAGTGTCGAAAAACATCTTTCACTCTCCACTGTGATCATGGGAATTGTACACAGGATAGTTAGCAGCTCCACCACAGATTCCGAAAATGTAATTGTCAAATTGTTCTTAAAAAACATTTATAATAACGGTACGGCTCCATTGAGTTGCACAAAGTCATCTCGGGTGTAAAGTATGGACAGTTCGTTTTTGAATTTTAAGCTGTTTACACACAGTTTTAACGTCCTCATTTGGAAAACAACCTCGGTAGTCTTTAAATTTTTCACTATCAAATAAACTTGCAATTGTTAGGTGGGTAGTAAAACTAAAACGTTCATTTACCTGCACTACTATTGTATCACAAATTTCCTTACATATCCTTAAATTAGGAATTGCTTCCTCCTTTTCAACAAACCGTCTCTTCTTGCTTGTACTTGGACCTGATTGGGTGTTGTCGTTTAAGTTTAGTTCTTGTGGGTCTTGTTGTGATTGCCATTGTTAATGAAATAGCGTGTCTATATTATTTCTAATATTTTGAATAGCTGCTGCAAAATTTAATATGTTTATCTTAACCTTGAGAGCATCGAGCTGTCTACCCTGCAGTTGATCAAAAAGTATATCGCAATTTGGCATTATTTTGCTGAAGAAAAATAACCAGAAAGTAAAATCTGTCTTTCAAAATTTATCAACCCTTTAGTCTGATTAATAGTTTTTTTTTATCGAATTCGATGTAAAATTCCATCATGTAGGAGCATTTTAAAGCATTCGACTCTGAAGAAAATGTGTTTGGCAATTTAAAATCTCTTTAATATTTTCAAATGAGAAAAAATATTTATATCTCTATTTGATAGTTTGTCAACTAAGCTGGAATTTCCAAAGCATGCCTTTTTGAGATGAGCAAAATATAATTTGGTCATCCTTGTCAATAATTATAATACATATAATACTCTCCCTAATCCACCCCCTTACGAGTGAATTTCAACCCCTGAAGTCGACTGAACGACTTGTGTAGGGGAAGGGATGGCTATTATTATTATTTGCCGTGGCGCTCCGGGGCGACTTAAAGATGATTGATGGTGCCATTTGACTTACAGGTGAGGAAAACCCGGAAAACCTCACCCACCATCATCAAGACGGTAATGCATGGCAATTTTTTTAATCTGCATGTCATATCAACAGAAATTGAATTTCTATTAATACGGCACACATCAAATCCTAAACCGAACCATGCAATTTAATTAAAAATCCACATGGTCTGGTCTGGGATTCGAAGCCCAGCAGTCTCAGACTCATAAACTTGCCTATAAATGAATATAAGCGCGTTAGACCGCTACACTACCGACCCGATAAATTTGCGAAAATGTACACCATTAAACTATTTATAAGAATTTTGTATGCTCTTAAATATGCAAATAGAGATTTGAAATCTTCGAAAAAGTCAGACAAAACCAAAAGAAAAATTAAAATTTTGTCCTATTTATAAATATTCTTGATTTTTTGACTGCTTTATAAAAAAAGTTATTTTTCTTTGTAGTTTTATTTCTTAACTATTCCAATGGTCCAACTAACGTTTCTTCGTAATCACAATAAATAAATTATTATCATTCTCCAACAAACGCGTACCTAAAGCCGAAACCGGCATCGCCTTTGTGAGGGAGCCGGTAAAAATGCCGCTGCGTACATTCGTATCTGGTCTAGGTAATCTGTGCCATGGGTACAGCACGTCACGATAAGGACAGCGCTCCGCTTATGACGTATAATCCATCGCATGTGTTCATCTCTTGCTATGCGATATTGTCGTTGTCCTTGTTTTTCACATCATAATGAGAGAGAAAACAACAGAGGCACACATTTACTGTGCCCTGTGCCCATCTCCACTTAATTTCGGAATTCTCGGAACGTCGCCCAACGCCCGGTCGTCCAGTGTCGTGCCAACGCGGTTTGCGCTGAATATTAGATAAAATAATAATAGGCATTGAGCGAGGAAAATAAAAAATATGTAAGTTATTTTTTTTTTTTGGTTTATTATACTAGAGCACGTGCCCAAGTGCCCTTACGGGCAAACCGCCACTGCACCACACTATGAGTAAAAGCAATCGTATCAAGTAAATTCAAATATGTACTGCAAACCATTAACAAAATACAAAAATTAATCAATTATTTTAGATTATTCGGATATTTTCGATTTTTAATCGATTACAATATCATACTGTTTTCAAACACTGCCTTAACTAACTTGCTGTACTCTAGTGATAAATAATCGATTCCTAAGAATAATCGATTAGTGGAAAATTCGATTAATCGAAAATAATCGATTAATCGAAAATAATCGATTAATCGAAAATAATCGATTAATCGAAAATAATTCATTATCGAAAATAACCGAATAATCTAAAATAATCGATTAATAAAAAAATCGATTATCAAAAATAACCGATTAATCGAAAATAATCGATTAATTGAAAATAAACGATTAATCAAAAATAACTGATTATTTATTGTGATAATCGCCCGGTTCTAACGGTTTTAGCAACATTATTTAAATAAGAAGTTTTATTTGAGTAACTGGAATTGTTTTATTAATTTATTGAATTCTACTAAAATCTTCCAAATTAAATTGTCGACTAAAATAATGTGTTTTTATGAAATTTAACTGGGTGTTCACTGCACAAATGAACCAATGAAGAAACCGCCCCTGGATACACCATAGAAAAAGTAGTTTAATTGGAAATTTAGCAGTGTAAATATTAATACCCTAAACTTCGATATTAACCCCGGAAAAAAATTGTTATGAAAATAGATCAACATTAAATTTTGCTAAAGTCACGTCCATGATAACTACGCACGGCTTTGAATTAAATTTTAAATGGCACCTAAATAGACGAAAAATTGTACAATTCGACATGGGTGAATTTCTCCAAGGCCTACTAGAAATATTTTTGGGGATCTCTCCATATAGCCCAAAACAAGTTTTCGTTGGGCCACTCTGTATATTAACTGTTTCTTTACTACTGCTTGACTGCAATTTTGTTTTGACTTATGAAGACAGTTATTATTATTACAAAAAATTTTATTTTAATAATTTAAAGTCACGTTTACTGTCACTTTTATTAAAATAAAAACAATTGGGTACTAATAATTATAGAAAATGAATTATTTATTTTTTGCTTCGTTTATTCCTCATACAACAATAAAACATGTAAACAAATTAGCGGATGTTATAGATTCTAACGCATTATGAGTGTGTTTATGGCAATCAAATCCAAAACATAAAATACAAATAATCAGCAAATAAAAAAAAATTAGTTTTAATGTTGTTTGTTTCTTTTCCCCTAATATAACACAATGTAACTAACATACCCATTCTGATACACATCCACCTTTGCCCATTGTCAAGAATCATCAAAGAAAGTCCGGATCTCTATTTTCTTACACAGTAAAATCAAAACTATCATTACTCACATACCAACGAACCGAACGAATATGTGATTTCGTGGAGAAAGTTGTGCCATATCTTTATTAAATCGCAAAATACAAAGTGAGCATTATTAGCTAAGGATTATGTAATTAATGTAGTATTCGTAATCAAAATCTTGGTACACTATTACCAAATATTCCAGAAACAAATACCTATTAGTGATGTAGACCAAGGATTAAGATCAGATGCAGAAGTGGTGACCAACTTTCCAAAATTATAACAAAAAAAGGCATTTACCATGATATTTTTTATTTTCGGAAATAATAAATAAAAATATCTTTGTCTTTATAAGGATGCGTACATAAATAATTATCAATGGAACCTGCAAACCTAGGAGTTAAAACAATTTATTTACAAATATACAGGGTGTCCTGAAATTAGGTGGTCATGTTTTAACAGCGTAATCTGCATCCTAAAATAGTAGTAAAAGTTTATATAAACATAGGTCCGAAAATGTTTTGTTTCCGAGGTACAGGGTGTTAAAAGTGAAGTCCTGATGACACATTTTTGTAAATATTTTCTAAACCTTTAAAGATAACTAAGTGAAATTTGGTACAAATTCTAAACTTTTTACGCTCTATTTAATGGACTACACGCCAGTTTTTAATCATCTTCATAGGTGGGTAAATTAGGGGAGGGGCTTAGGGTTAAATTGATATTTTTTTTGTTGACTGTTTTTAACATTTTTGACTACAAAATTTGGAAAACCAATATTTGCTTTATAATAAAGCTACTTTTGTTGTATTTCGCTAGGACGCACCATTTTCAAGAGAAAAGCATTTGAAAATTTCATGATAAGTTGATGTTATCTTATTCGAAAGTGAAAACAATAATTAGTAGGGCTCTGTGGAATCAGAAATTTTATTTTTTTTAACGTTGGAAAATCGGCGACTAAAGAAATTTTAGAAAATATTTACAAAAATGTGCCATCAGGACTTCACCCTGTATCTCGAAAACGAAACGTTTTCGAACCTATGTTTATATGAACTTTTACTTCTATTTTAGGATGTAGATTACGGTGTTAAAATATGACCGTCTAATTTTGAGACACCCTGTATTTTATTTATGAACAATCACGCAAAAAAGATAGAAGCAATTCAACTCAAAAATAGAAACTGGGTGTCCTATTTTTTATAGATATACTTTGTTGCTATGATATAGCTTTTAGTGCATTTTTATTTGCTAATAAAAAGTTATATAACTTACTACAATGTACATTGTAGCTCGAATTCATAACATTGAAGCGCTGTTGAAGATGTCGAAAAATATCTTTGAGCTTAGCTATTTTCGATTGATGCTTAAATCCGGGAAAATTCTGGACAAGACTCTGTAAAACCGGGACGAAAAGGACATTTCTTTTACTCATGATCTTAAGCAAAAACCCAAAAACTGTCCCGGCTAAAACGAGATGTACTAATATTTTTATGTTAACTATACGTCCCTTTAATTGAAGACTTTTTGGAAAAGCTAATTAAATAATAACATACATTCTGAATTTATTTCTATAAATGGCTATAACTGTGAAAGAATTAATAGAGCTGGAAGTAATGGTAGGGGAGGCGGCTTATGTTAATATATTTTCCTACTTAAGAACCTTAATTATAACGTTATTATCAAAAACGAAACAGAGAACGTAGAACAGCTATGGACTAAATGTAAGATTGAACACAACATTTTTTGTTTTGGAGTTGTATATCGCAAACATAAAACAAATATTCCCGATGTCTTGAGTGAGCTGGAAACTACTTTAGTACAACTTATAACGATATGTGACACCATTATTTTTGCTGCTGATTTTAATATTGACCTGCTAAAAGACAGAAAACCTAAAAACTATTTTTTGTAACTTTTAGATTCTTTTAATATGACTCAACTTATTAATGAACCCACACGCGTTACTAATACTAGATGTACTTTACTGAATATTATAGCAATTACTGATGCTGACTTTGTTCAAAAACATTATGTATTTGACTTAATGACTGGTAGTGAATTAAATATTCCAACCTAAAAATTAA